GGGGGGGGTTGTTGTTGGGCGGTTATGGGGCGAGGGTTACTTGTAGTTTCTGCGTGGTGATCTGCAGTTTCTGTCGGTCGACCTCGTGTGCTGCGGAGGCCTGACGGGTGCGCTCCTGCCACGTGGACACATCCTGACGCTGCACCACGGACAGAGGGGGGGCGGGGAGCCACGGTGCACACCAACTCTCACACACACATAGAAGGTGAGTGAGTGGGTGGCTGGCTGACCAGTGCGTTCTCCTTTTCTCCGAATCTGTCGGCCTCCTCCTTCAGTGCCAGCAGCTGCGCCTCAAGCGACTGTGCGCGGGCCTTCTGCTCCGCCAGGCCCCTCTCCGCATCATCCAACGCCTGGTGGAACACACACACACACAGACATACCCACAGACAGAGAGAAGACGTCCTACAAGTGGCTATATTCCTCTCTCTCTCTGTGGGTGGGGTTGGGGGTGGTGGAGGCTCTTTCCTGACCTTTTGCTTCTTGTCCATGAGTGAGTCGAAGGTGCCGGAGACCGACTGGCGCAGCTGCAGCTGACTCCTGATCGACACACAGACAGACAGATGCCGGCCTCCCTCCCCCGCTCCCTGTCTGTTTGTCTGTCCTACTCCTGCTGCTGCAGCTGGTGTTTGGCCTGGGCGAGCTGCTCGCGCAGGGCCTTGACCAACGCGTCACGGTCACCATCGCCCCCTGACGCAGACACGTCCACACCACTAGATGCAGCTGATACACACACACATACGAGCGCCCGCAAGGGAGAATGATAATGAGTGGGTGTCTATTTGGGCGTTGGTGTGTGGTGTGTGGGGGGTGGTCGCCCACCAGCAGCAGCTGCGGCGCGTTCCGTGTCGAGCGTGATGGTCAGGCGGCTGCGCAGCTCCTCGTTAGACTTGCGCAGACCCCTGCTCACACACACACACACACACATACACTCAGGAGTGTGTGTGGTCTGTCTGGTGTGGTGGCCGCCGAGAGAGAGGTGTTACCCGATCTCGTCGGCGGCCTTCTGCATCTCTGCGATGTGTCGTCTGTTGTCGGTGTCCCACTTCTCCCGCGACTCGGCTAGCAGCTTCTGCAGGTCGTCACGCTCACGCCTCACCCTGCACACCATCACACACATAGACCTCATGGCATGGGTGGCTGCTGGTCGCTTACGCGTCGAGTTGGTTGGCCTTGTCCTGCGTCTTTTGGAGCTCCAGTTTGGCGATCTTGACTCGCTCCTCGAGCTCGGCTGTCTCTCGAGCGTGCTTCTGGTCGTTCTGAGCGGTGCGTATCTCGAGCTTGTCGAGCTTCTCCTCATACTCCTCAACCAACTGCTGGTAGCTACGCGACTGATAGATGGACACATGAGATGGACAGAGAGAGTTTATCGCTTTGTGTGTGTGTGTGTGGGAGGAAAGGGGAAGGGGGGCTTGACCTTTTCGAGTTCTTTCTCGTTGAGCTGGTTCCTGTGCTGGCTCTCGAGGGCCTCCTTGCCCCTGTTAGTGGCCTGAAGCTGCCGCTCTATCTCAGCATACCTCGACTGCTCCACACGCCGCTGCGCCTCGGTGGCCTCCTTGTCCAACGTCAGCTGCCGGATGGTGTCCTTGAGCGCCTCCATCTCGGCCCGCAGCGCGTCGATCTTGTCCGCCTTCTCTTGGCACTGCTGCTTGAAACGGTCTCGCTCCATCTCCTGCACACACACGTGTGTGAAGGGGTGTGTGGGAGGGGGGGAGGGATGGCTTACGAGAGGGGGGAGTTGGTCGATGTGTCCGGTGAGCTTGCTCTCTTCTCTGAAGTAGTCGCCCATCCACTTCTCCTTCTCCAGCCTCTCCTTGTCGCAGCGACCCTCCTGCACACACAACACAACACAACCACACACACACAGCGGACGGCATTGATGACGGGTGGGTGGACGGACGGAACGGAACACGCCGCACATGTGTTTGTGTGTTGTGTTGGTGGTATGTGTCTGTGTGTGTGTCTGTGTGTGTGTCTGTGTCTGTGTGACCCCCCTCACTCACTGACCCATTCTTTCGCGAGTCGCTGTGCGGCCTCGTGCCGCTCTCTCCAGGTGTCCACATCCCGCTGCCAATCCCGACGCACCTCATCCCTGCAGCCATCCATTCACCCACCCATCCCTCACTCTTGATGAACAAAGAGAGAGACCAACACTGACTAGATAGTGCGTGTCGCCCACACACATACAGCTTCTGCTGCGCCTTGGTGAGCTCCTCTTGCAGACGCTGCACATCCGCAGGCTCCCTCGCGTACTCCCTGACACACATACCACAGGTAGGTACAGAGTGAATGAATGCCGGTGTGGTGTCCTGTTTGTTGCCTCCCTCCCCTCTGCTCGCCGTCCACCCACTTGTATGCGTTGAGCTCCTTCTGCAGCGTGTCATGCTGTGCGGGGTGGACATACCCGGCCTTCTCCTCTAGCGACTTCTCCAGCCCCGCTATCCTCGCGTCCTTCGCAGAGCCCTCACTCCTCAACCGCCTGATGCAATGCACCCACCCCACAATACAAAACACCACACCACACCACACACACAGGTCCTCTCCCTCCCTCCCTCTGTGTGCGCCGTTTACTCGTTGTGAGTGAGGAGGTCTTTGATGAAGGCGATGGGGTTGAGGCCGAGGTCCAGGTCGCTGTCGGTGTTGGCCCGGGGGCGGGGCGGCAATGGCCCCTCGGAGGAATGGGATGCAGCGGCGGCCGCTGCAGCCGCAGCAGCGGCAGGTGGGGATGGGTGGTCGAATGAGAGCACGTTGGGGGTGGTCTCGCCGCCAACTCCGACGCCCATAAGCATGGGCGGCCTCCGTGGCTCGGTGAAGAAGCCCATAGTGCCCTGCAGATTGGCTGACACAGACACAGACAGACGGACAGACAGACAGACACACAGGGCAGAGAACACAGGGCAGAGAGAGAGAGAGAGAGAGAGAGTTCTTCCCTGTGTCTGTGCGTGTGTGTGTGTGTGTCTGATGGGCGCGTGTGTGGCTGACTTACCCGAGGCTAGGGATGGGTCGAATCTGTTGAGTTTGGCCTCGACGCGTCTGCAGCGGTCGACGTATGTGGCGAGGCAGACGTCCTTCCTCTCAAGCTCGAGGTCCTTGTGCCGCAGCTGCTGCTTCAGCGACGACTCGCTCGCCTCCAGCAGCCGCACCTGTGTGAAATCAGACCAGGAGAGCAGCATGTGGTGTGTGGTGTGTGTTGAGAGTGTTCCTGAGTGTTCCTGCCGACCGACCGACCGACCGACCTTGCTGCTGAGGTGGAAGGCATCCTTGCGACGAGACTCCTCGAGCGCCTTCTGCAGAAGAGCCAACAACTCATGCAACGCAGCTGACAATTGTGTTTGTGTGTCTGCTAAGCTTCTCACCAGGTCGGCTGTCGTGTTTTGGCCTTGGTTTTGGTTCTTCTGGGCCTCAGCCAGCAGGTTCATCAGGTAGGCCTCCTGCACACACACCAACGCACACACAGAGAGACCATGCACCCACCCTTCGTCAGTGCTGTCCTGTCCCCCCAGGCCACCCCGCCTCCCTCCCCACTGACCCGGGCGTGCGCGACGGCGATGGCCTGCTGCACAACGACCAGCGTCCGCAGCAAATTCTGCACACACATAGTACGTACAAGCACACAACACAACACACAACACACATATCACCCAGCCCCGCCACACAATCATTCAACGAGGTCCCCCATTGTTGTTTTCCTCACCCACCCGATCAGCCCAGTACTGGGCGCCTTCCACCACGGTGTTGAGTGTCATGCCACTGCCCATGCCGCTCATCTGGCCCCCCAGCAGCTCCATCAGCCGGTCCCTGTGGTACGCCACGGCCGTCTGCAGGGCCTCACATCTCGCCTGGTCTTCGAGTGCGTCGTAGCCCCAGGACTTCTCCTCGGCCAGCTCCTGGATGTGGCCGCGGAAGCCGGCGTCCATCCGCCGCACACGGGCGGCGTCGCGGGCGTTCTGCGCGGCCTCCTTGGTCTTGCCGTCCAAAGCCTCCTCCAGACGCCTGTTGCGACACTCCAGCTCGGTGAACTGCACACACACACACGATGGGAGAAACGTATGTGGATGGGGTGCATTGCATTCCTCCTGACTGACCTTTTCCTTCATTTTGTTGAGCTCGAGGGCCTGCTGTGCCGTCTCGGCCTTGCGCGCGTCGAGCTGTGCACTCACGTCGGAGAGCTCCTTGACTGCCTTCTCGCGGTCGGCCTGATAGATGGCCACCCGCTGCTGGATCAGGCCCTTGACCTTCTCGTGGCTCTCCTTCCACCCCTCGTGGACGCGCTTCGCCTCGGCATACTGCTCCTCGCATGTCGCACACTGCTCCAAAGCCTTGTCGCGCTCCTCTCGGATGCCGTCACGCTCCTTGCTGACCTGCTCAAGCTTCTCGGAGAGCTCCTTGGTCTTGTCGGCGTGTGTGCGGTCGTCGCGCGTCATGCGCTGCTGCAGCTCGGCGAGGCTGTTCTCGGCGTCCCGTCTCGCCTGCTTCTCGTTGTGCAGCTCGGTGAGGAAGCTGTCGCGCTCCTTGGTGACGGCCTTGTTGGACTTCTTGGTGACGGCGTGCTGCTTCTCCTGCAAGTGGACGATGGCCTTGAGCTCAACGATGTCCTTCTCACGGCGGATCACGTCTAGAGCACGGCTGTCAGCCTGCTCCTTGGCGGCGACGCACTCCTGCTGGAGCCGCTCGTTGTCGGACTGCAGGGCCTCGACCTTGCTGTTGGTGTCGCTTTCCAGCTGCGCCAGGCGGGCATGCAGCTCGGCTTTCTCCTTCTCGAGCTGCGCGCACCGGCTGTCGCTCTCCACAGCCATGCGGTCGGGGTCGACAGACTCATCGCGTGCACGAGAGGCGGCCGCCGCTGCCCCTGCTGCTGCTGCCGGTGCCAGTGGTCCTGGTGCGCGTGACTGTTGCTGCAGTGTCTTGATCTGCTCCTTGAGAGCTCTGTTGTCGGCCCTGACTTTGCGGTACTCCTCCTCGAAGCGCTGGCGGACCTTCTCGGGGTCGCTGCGGATTTCCACCCACTCGTGGTCGGGCAGAAAGCTAAAACAGTCGTCCATCGCAGAGGATAGCTACACAAAACGTGGGAGGTTGCGGAAGAAAAACCGGGGGTTTTAGGGTGCAAGCTTGAACCGCGAAATGTCGCGAAATGGCGAGATGCATGCAGCGAACCACGCGCGAAGCCTTGGCCAGCTTCTGGGCGTCCAAACAAGACCACACTGTGTCGCTGCAAAGCTCTTTTACGACTTCTCCAGTGCGGGCCGGCCCCCAGGCTCTCGCGTCTTTCCCGCGGAGGACAGTGAAGGACATTAGACCTCGATTCACCAGCATAGCATTGCAGTCCCCTCCCCCCCTTCCCCTCCGGGACCCCAGCAATCCATCAGCTTTCTGACCACCCCCACCCACCATGGCAGGGAAGCTGGACGAGTCGGCCGTGACCTTCTGGGAGCAGGACATCAACGGGTGGTTCCTGCTGCTGCTCCTGTGCTGCGTGCTCATCGTGCTGTGCGTGGTGTTCTGGTGGTTCTTCAACAGCAGGGGTGCCCTGCTGGCCGACCAGAGCAAAGAGCTGGCTGAGGTAAGGGTGGATGTCGAGAAGGCGCAGAGCGCTGTGGAGGCGGGCGAGAAGAAAAACGAGCTGCTGCAGACGGCTGCGGAGCGGCTGGAGAGGGAGAAGGGCGACATGGCAAGGCAGATGGAGCAGTACAGGAAAATCGATGAAGAGGTAGGCAGGGAGGCGGGCAGGGAGGGAGGGCCTGCGGGAGCGATCTATCCCGTTGTCCACTGATGGGTACTCAGCGTGAGGAGATGCAGCAGCTGCTGGGCGAGTATGACGAAAAGCTTCAGCTCGCCAACCGGGTATGTATGCCAAGGAGACAGAGGCAGACGCGCGACAGGCACATACATACAGGTGCCATGTCTCCCTCCCTTTCTCCCCGGATCTGTGTTGGCTGTCTTTCAGTGCCTGCAGTCTCTGGAGAAAGAAATGGACCAGGAACGATCCACCACCGAATTGCGCGAGAAAGAGGTACACACACACCTCAAGCCACCCAACCCACATGTTTTCTCTCTTTCTCTCTCTCTCACTGTGCTGTCTGTCCCTGTGTGTGAGTGCAGTATGCGGATCTGCAGGATGAGAAGGTCAAGGCCGACGCCGCCCTGGCGGAGCTGCAGCAGACCGTGGCCGACCTGCAGGCACAGCTGCAGCTCACCCTCCAATCCCCAGACCAAATCGACAGAAGAGACGAGATGCATGAGCCCCTCTCGCGACCACGAGAGCTCACGGTGCGCTGCGCACCGTCAGCAAACACAGGTTGTAATGTCGTGTGTGTCTCGCTCACCCCCTCCCTCCCTGTGTGTTTGGTTGGCAGGAGGCAGCAGTGGTGGGTGCTTCCCGTCCCGGCACTGCCCTGACCAAGGCCTCTGAGGGCAGTCCTGCTGGTGTTGGTGGGGGCGGTGGGGGCGATGTCCGTGTTGGCTACGACGGTGGTGGTGCTGAGGAGCACCTGCCCGAGGAGGAGGCCTACTTCACCATGCCGGAGCCGCAGCTGAGGCAAGAGGTATGTCAGACGGTGGCGGGGTGGGTGGCTGTCGACCCGGTACGTATGCATTCATCTCTCTCTCTATTTCTCTCTCTCTCCCTCTCTCTCTCTCTCTCTGTGTGTGTGTGTGTGCCTGTGTGTCTGTGTGTCTGCAGGTGTTGGGTATGCGTGAGAGGCTGCGAGAGAGGGAGGAGGAGTTCGGGGGGCTCGAGAAGGTCAGAGTGTGGGGGCAGCCAGCTGGAGACAGCACCAGCCAAGCCACGTCATGCACTTGTGGTTCCTTTTTTCTTGTACACACACAGCGTCTCGAGGAGCTGATGGAGCAGCACGCCCACGCACAGGGGGAGCTCATGCAGGAGCGGACCCGCAATGAGGGCCTCCAATCCCACATCAAGTTCTACGAGACGCGGCTGACCATCCTGCACCAGCTGCAAAACATGGTCACTCACTACACACGTTCTTCACCGGGGGCGCGCGGGAACATGACATCCTTGTCCTTGTGTGTGTGCGTGTGCAGGTGGGCGAGTCCCACTCTTTGCTCAACACCTTTGTGCAGTCCTCGACACACCTGCAGGGGGAACTGGTCAGCGGAACCTTGGAATGAACGCATCAACCATGCCTTCGTGTGTGTGTGCTGCAGGAGAAGGAGCGCGAGGATAACCGACAGATGCGACGCGAGCTCGACCAGGTAGTAGGCGGCTGAGCTGGGGACTTGACACAAAACACATCCGCTAATGTGATGTGGTGTGGTGTGCCCCTGTGTGTCTCGGTGTGCAGGAGCGTCTGCGCGTGCAGCTGCTGCTGCAGATCCTGAGGCACTTCAAAACCAAACTTCTCGAAATGTCACCGGTCGGCCGATCCCCCCGCACACACACACACACAGCAGGCAGACGCCATGCCTACCGTATGACGTTTCCCCTCTGTCTGTCTGTATCGACCCCCACACAGGATCTGCAGCTGCTGGGCAACAATCTGTCGTCCTCCGGCTTCTCGTACGGGTCAAACAGAGCTGCTGCGGCGCTCAAGGACTCGCCCGAGCGCAGCAGCCCGCCGCAATCGCCACACTTCCCCTCCTCTGAACACAGGTGGGTCAGTGGGCGAATGGGCGGGCGCATGGAGAGTGCTCTCGCTCTCACCCGTGATTCTCCCTGCCTGCCTGGCTGCAGCCCGGATGAGCCCTACCAGTACTGCCCGTCCCCTCGGTCGGCCCATCTCACTTCCATGATGCCCATACCCCCGCCAAAACGGTGAGGTGTGATATGGGTGAAGTTAGGTGCAACGAGACACACACATTCACCCTCCTTGTATGCGCCGTGTCTCACTCTCCCTCCTCTCGATATATGCAACCACCGTTCGCAGGAACGGTGGCGCGAGGTCGGTGCCTTTTCAGTGCTGTGCGGGTGCGAGCGGTGCCGACCACCTGGACATCTCCTTCAAAATGCCGCAGCCTTACGCACCCTGCCCCGACCGCATGACCCAACCCCTCTACCCAAACCCCATTCCCACACAGGCGTGGGCCAAGAAGAATGGGGCCTTCACGGGCCGAAGGAGCCCTCCTGTCAGTGCTCGCAGGAGCGCACGGTGATCTAAGATGGACTGATGCGGTGCATGGTGTGAGGGGGATTTGGATTAGGATAACTGCAGGGAGAGTGGAGGTTTGGCGTGTGTGTGTGTGTGTCGGGTCCTCGAGTGAGGACGGGTAACGAACCAATGGATGGATGGATTCCCGACAGATTCTATGTATCGTTCGTTGAATGACGGGTTTCTCCTGGTCCGCAACTCACACACATATGTAGGGACACTGACACACATACACATACGTCCACGTATCCATCAGTCAACCAGCCAGCAAACAAAAGCACAGAGAGAGAGAGAGAGTGACCACACCTGCACCCCGCTGCCTGCCTGCCTGCCTGCCTGCTCGCCAGCACCAACAAAACCTCAGAGCATCCATCTACGTCTGGGCAAAGCTGTATGGCCAGGCCAATGGGGTGGGGCGGTTGGGCGGGTGGTGTTGCAGGCAGCACAGACAGGCAACCCAGGGAGTCAGGGAGGGAGGGAGGGAGGGAGAGAGGGAATGCACGTCAGCCAGAGAGAGCAAGGCAGAAAAAGATGGAGGGTGCTGGAGAGGATTGGCACCACAACCGGAGTGTGTGTAGTGTCAGGTCAGCCCTTTCTGCGTTGTCTATCTATCTATCTCTACCTACGTCTGTCTGTCTGCGTGTGAGTCGTTCAGATCTTGCTGAGGGATCCGTTGAGGAATCTCTCGTGCGGGGTCGTCTGTGTCGTGCCGACGAACTCGTACAGCTTGCCGTCCTGCAGCACGCACATACATACCAACACCACACACGCCACACACACCACACACACCACACACGGGGGACGACCCTGCGCACATATGGCGGGTGGAAGTCGTGTGTCCATATCGATGATACCATGGCCGTGCACATGGCTTTGATGGCCTCGGCCTTGAGCGCAGCGACGTCACCTGACATCAACAGACACCCACACCCACACACACACACACACATCCAGACGGATATGTCTCTGCCTGCTTGGGTGCGGGTGCGGGTGTGGGTGTGGGTGTGGTACCCTTGTCCGCCTTAGTGAACCACAGCTCGATACGCATCTCGCGGTCCTTGCGCACCTGCACACACGCAGGGCACACCCACAGAGAGATAGCGCAACGCATATATTGCAACGGTGCGCACCAGCCAGTTGTCTGGTGTATCTACTGACCCACCCACCCACCAGCTTGACTCCTGCGATGATGTCGTAGTTTTGGAGGGTGTTGCCAATCGCGGCACACACCAACGACATCCAGTACTCATCTGCCACACCACACATACACACACACACACACACACACAGAGGATTGTCGTGTTCCCTCCGCCCGGACTCCCCCCTCCCCACCCCACCCCGGCTCACCGACTATGCCCATGCCGCCGGTGGTGACTTTGCTGCCGAGGTCGAGTGAGGCCAGCTTGCGGTACTGGAAGGCGAAGCGGATGCTGCCTCCCCCCTTGTTGGCCGGGTGCTCCCACTTGGGCTCGATGCGGTCCCTGCACACACCACACCACACCGCAGACCACACACCACACACACGAACACACCCAACATCGGTGCGTTGTGTCGTCTTGTGTGTGTTGTGTTGTGTTGTGTTGTGTCGTGTTTGTTGCGTGATATTTCTCACTTGAAGATCATCACTCCCTCAACCTCCTCCTTAGACCCATCACTCAAACACACCCTGCAAAGGCAGCATAGCATGATACGCCGCAGAACAGAACACCCAGATGCACCCATCCATCCATCCATCCATTGTCCTTTCTCGTGAATTCTTACTTCTTGCGGTCCATTTGGGAGGGCATCGGCACCATCTCGTACAGCGGCCAGAACTCCCGCAGGCTCCTCATCACACCCACAGCCTTGACGTACTCTTTGTAGTTATCGACGTCCATCCTCTGCCCGCCCTTGGCCCGCAGCTGCACGTATACCGTCCAGTCGTCCTTGAGCAGCGGTCTGGTGGGGAGGGGCGGCCCGTCGAGCTCGGGCCACTTGGCTATGGCCGTGTTGAGGGTGAGCAGGTTGGCGGTGCGCTCGCGGTTGGGGAGGGACATGGTGGATGGATGGAGGATGAAGAGGAACCGAGAGAGGGATCGGTGGATGGAGTCGCCTTGCAATTAGAGGCTTCAGAGCGCTGCGGATCCAGAAGTCGGATCTAGAATTTACACGACGATCACTGGCTTCTTGGCCAAAAGCAGGACAGATCGCCATGTTCCGATGGACGCTGATGGATACATGGCGATCTGCACGGCTACACACAGGGCTGTCCGCACAGATTAATATGTATGTAATGTACACTCACACACTAAGAAAGATCACACAAACCTCAACACAAGGAATGCCCCATGCGCTTTGTTTGCACCACTCACTGTGACACTGACACTCGTCCGTCGCGAACGCACCAAGGAAAAAGACGACAGACATGGACATCGCTCGAGGCTGTCTTTCGAGCCCGCAGAGACACGAAAAATACATACCCCCACCCCCACACCTACTAGTAGTAGGCGGGAGCGGGGGCCATCCCCCGGCCCCCGCTCACTCGACTCACTCGAGCTTGCCGTTCCATGCCTTCTTGTCGTCCGTTATGACCCTTCTGTCGACGGTGTGCATCTCGAGGGCCTCCTCGTCGAGCGATATGCCCAGCCCCGGGCCGGTGGGCAGGTGCACCTTCAGCAGACCGGACGCATTGTCCTTCCGGATCAGCGACGACGCGAACGTCGTGACGTCCTTGAGACGCAATGTCGACCTGACACAGAGAGAGGGCAGAGAGTGGGCTGCAGGGATGGGTGGGGGGGAGGGGTGACGTGTCTGTGTGTACATGAAGCAGTGTCCGGATGGGTAGAGTGTGGGCGTGACGGCGGCCAGGTGGAGGGCGGCTGCCTGGGCCACGCCCGTCTCGAGCATCGAGTTGAACAGGCACGGAATGCCATATAACTTGGCGACCCCTGCATCCATCCATCCATCCGGCCATCCATCCGGCGATGAGCAAACAGCACATCAGCTGGCCTTCCTGCTCTTGCGTGGACTTTTCTGCTCACTCACCGCATATTTCCTTGGCCTTGCTGATGCCGCCATTCTTGACGACTTTGACACTAAACACCCCACACCCTAAACACACAGAGACACACACACAGTGCACGTCTGCTCCCGTCCGTCATTTTGCTTCATCTCTTCTATCACCTTGCTGCTGCGCAAAGTGGAGGGCGTCCTTGACGGTGACGAGGGACTCGTCTATCGACAGCGGGATGGACGTCTGTCTCTGGAGGGAGACCATGTCCTGCGGCCGCTCCTTGGACACGGGCTGCTCCACAAACAGCGGACCCTTCGACTGCAGCGGCTCCAACCCTCGCAGCAGCTGAATCGCCTCGTCCTTCGTGAAACCTGCACTCTTGAGAGGAGACACAGAGGGGTGGGTGGGAGGGAGCTGTGGAGGGGGTGCTGTCTTGCCCGCTTGCCTTGGTTTGCGTCGGGCACGATGACTAGTTCTTTGCCGAAGACCTTCCTGGCGGTGGCGATGCGCTCTATCTCCATATCTATGTCCTTGTAGAAACCCATCCTGACACACAGACACAGACACCGACAGGTAGGTGGCCATACACAAGACAAAGATGTGACAACCGTGGCGCGCCTCGCACAAGTGGTGGGCTGCTTACTTGTACATGAACGTTTTGAAGCCCTCCTCGACCTTCTCAGTCACCTGATCACAAGACAACAAACACACGCGTGTCACATCGTGTGGCACCGTGCCCGCCCACCTCTTTCGTATCCTCTGCGGGAGTCTGGTCGCCCATGGGCCACAGCAGATCCAGAGAGGTGCGGAGCGGCCCGCCCAGCAGCTGATAGATCGGCGCACCCAGCTTCTTCCCTGCAACCATATCACAACACACACGATGGATGGATGGATGGATGGTGTCGTTGGCTTACCGAGTATGTCCCAGCACGCAACATCGATGGCCGCTTTGGCTTGTGGGTTGCCGGGGATGATGGCGTCCATGATGCGGTTGATGTCGTTGACGTGCAGCGGATTCTGGCCGATCAAACTCGGTGCGAGAATCTCCTACATCAACACATCACACACCCACGTGTGGTGCCGGAAAGCAAGTGAATTGATCAGGCCGTCCTCCCATGCCGCACCTCCAGGACACTCATCACAGTGCCGGGCGTCTCATCCTGGAACCTGGAGCAGCAGAAAAAGACAGAACCATGCCACTGCGTGTCAAGAGATCTTGTCGTCTGCCTGCAGCACATCATCTATCCCTTACTTTGTGGGATACGGGCATGCCTCGCCGATGCCGACCAGTCCGTCAGACGTGTGGACGCGCACAATGACGCACTGGGTTGTCTTGAGTGTGCCTGCGCCGGTGACGTATGGCTGGTTGAACGGCAGCTGGAGTCGACGGCACTCGATAGATGTTATCGACGTCATGATTGGGAACCTCCTCCCCTCTACCCTCTTCGAGCTTAGCTCGCATTCATTGTTGTTAAACCGCTGCTGTTGTTATGTGGCTGCATGCAGCACCGCGCGCACTGCCAGCTGCAATCAAATGGCAATGGATCATATGGATGAAGACATGACATTAATTGTTCGCGCACTCATGAGTATGAGAAGGGACTCGATTATTGAATGAGGAGCCACGTAGACGCGGCTATGGAGAATCTCAATGAATACACGACAGCTTCACACGTGCACACATCAAAAATTTATGATCGATCACACTTTGTAGCTGCGTACACAAACAGAAGCGTACAGCCCTTCATCTGACATCTTCTCTTCCCGTCAGTCAGTCAGTGACTGCGTTTTCCCTTCGGTGATGGAAACAGCCCACCGAATGGACTGATCGACCGCCCACTAGCCTGGCCCTCCGCCCCTTCAGACCTCCTCCCACTTGATGCGGTGTCCTCAAGAGCGGAACTCGGACTTGCTGAGGCAGCAAGAGGGCTGAGCCGTTGACTGCTGTCTTCAGCCCTATCCCCCCCCGACGTCAGCCCCGCTTTGCCCAGGGTCTTCCCCAAACTCCCAAAGAAACTCGCGAATCCCTTCTTTTTCTTGCCCTTCGTTGGTTCGCCGGGAGACGTGCTGGGAGAGGTCGACGGTCTGTGTGTATCGGGCGTGGCCGCCTCTTCTATCGTCGGAAAAGAGTCGGTCTCCTTAGTCTCCTTATCGACATCTCTCTTACTCTTCTCTGTCGGGGAGCAGTCGATCGTCGAGCACCGTCTGATGACTGCCTTCGGCATTTCAGGTGTCTCGAGCTCCTCTCCGACTTGCTCCAGCGAACCGCCGCGCCTCGTCGGCCCGTGTTTGATGCCAGTGAGAAAGGAGGGCAGGGTGGGGGGCGCCGTGACAGTCCACGCCCATAAATTTGACAAAGCCGACGCTGCCGCGTCGCCTTTGGACACAGAAAGAAGGTCTTCTTCCATAGAGGCGTCGGGTGAAGGGGCGGCAAGCTGCTTGAGCCGTGAAGGCTGTATCTCCCAGGGGTTGCTTGGGTCGTGGACGACAGCCTTGGGGTCGAAAACCTCCACTTGTGTGCTGAGGGTCTCCACGAGGGTGGCTAGATTGTCCTTTCTCTCCTCCATCTTTGCCAGGGTGTGCTTTTGGCTGACAAGCAAGTTGACAAGGCTGTCCTTCTCAAGGCGGAGCTGCTCAATCTCGGCCCTCAGCTCGATCACTAATCTCTGCTGCTCCGACTTCTGCCGGCCCACAGAAAGGACGAGACAGCAAAGGGGACGGACACAGAATCGGCAGAAGGAGATACAATAGATTCACCAAACACAGAGACACATGGACGGTGTGTCGATACCTCTCTTGCGGCCTGCTCGTGCGTCCTTCGAAAGTCGGCCTGTGTGTGGTACTTTTCGCCGACAAGCCTATCGCGCTCTTCTTTCAGTCGTGCCAGCTCGTCCAGGGCAGCTTGTCTGTGCCCCTGCAGGTCATAAAACTCACCACGAAGCTGAGAAGAAAGACACACACGCACACAAAGCAACGCACAGGTCCTCGGTCAATGGCATGACTCTGTTGTTGCTTACCGAGTCGAGCACAGAGTGGGAATCAGCCGCCTCATCCCTCTTTCGTTTCATCAAGGCACAACTCGCCCCATCACATCGGCCCTGAAGAGCTCTTGCGTCGGTCACAATCGATGCCGCTCGGGACTGCAATTCCATCAGCTGTTGTCGCAGTCCATCAGGGGCCCTCGAATCCATCGTCTGTCTCCCTCCGCGTTTTTTTGCGAGCTTGGATGTACCGGATCGTTGTCTTTTCAGATGAGATCTGGGCTTTCTTGCTGTCGGGCGACCACCAGCACTCTCCGCTGCTAGATGGCCCACACAGATCTCGACGCGCCGGCGTCACCCTCGAACGCTTCGACGTCTGGTTCCACGTCCGACGACGACCCCTGCTCTCCATGCATCCCCCCGCCTGCCACTCGCAGCTGGTCCCCCGTCCCCTGCAAAACTGACACAGATGCCGTGACCGACCGAGGGGCGACTGCGCGGACTCTGCCAGCCTCTCCTGCACAACCGGCCTCTCAGCCCGCAGACGAGCGCGTCGCCAAGTGCAAGCGGCAGACGTGGTTCCTGGCGCGGTGGTTCGGCGTCACGGGGCTGGTCTTTGTTTTGGTATCGGTTCTGTGGTTCTCGGTGTTCCGTCACCTCTCTACTTTTGGTCCCGACAACGAGCCGAGGAAGCATGCCCTGAGGGGCAGGAGGAAGGCGATGTGGTCCCACACTACCGAGGGCATGGACCAGCTCCTCATCGAGAGCATCAGGACCAACTTCGCCAGGTCAGGAAGAGGCCACAAATGTTGATGATGGCGGGGGGCGGAGCAAATCTGTACCTCTGTGTGTGTGTGTGCGTGTTGTGTGTGCGTGTTGCAGGTGGGACGAGAGCGATGATCCTTTTGACGTGCTGGAGTTCGAGTGAGTGACTTTTTCCTGTGTTTGCGAGAAGCTTGCGAGTGGACGGACGACTCGGTGCTCTAGGCTTGCTGACGCTGGTTTTTGCTTACTTTCTACCTGCCTGCTGACTTCTTGTGCCTTCCTGCCTGCCTGCCCGGCTGCCTAGCTGTCTGTCTGCCTGCCTGTCTGTCTGTCTGTCTGTCTGTCTGCCCTCGCTCTCTCTCCCATACACACACACACACACACGCATCCCGCCCCTCGCTTTTCTTACCATCGCACCGACATAATAAATGGACGTAGGCAGGCTGTTTTTTGGTCTCTGCGTGCCTGTCTGCCTCGATCCCTCCCTCACTGCCTCACTCCCTGTCTGTCTGTCTGACTGTCTGTCTGACTGTCTGTCTGTCTGCCCTGCCGCTGTTCTCAGTGTATATGTACACGACGCCTCGCCTGCATATCACCGCCAGGCGGCCATTTTCACCAGGCCACCTGGCGAGCGGCCTCACCCACTGAGGCACTCACTCAGTCACTCACTCACTCCCTCACTCGCCCACACACACACACGTGCACGCGCATTCGTTCACATATGTTGCCGTATCGTATCGCTCTTTGCGTACGCCTCCTGCTGTGATATCCGCTGCTGGCCTGCCGAAGTAGTGGCGCTTTTTGCAGGCAGGCCGGGCGGGTCGGTTTAGAGCGAGGCAGGCATCCATTGAGGGCGACTCACTTACTGATTCTGGTGCTGGCTTCGAAGCACATGGCGGCGGCCTTGGCGGCAACGGGTGGCATCCTGATCCTCTACGCTGTCTGCAGAAACAGCGTCGTGGATTTGGATGCCACGCCTATCGGTCAGGGTCACCCCTGTGTGAGAGAGCAGCTCTGAGATGGAGGGAATATCTCGAGAGAGACCCTTCATCCATTGGATTGCCTCACCACATCCGTGCCAGGCACACATCATTGACTCACTCACTCACTGACTCATTCGCTCAGTCACGGCCATGACATGCGCGTGTCGTGTGGTGTCGTGTAAGGCAGCCAGTCCTTCTGCATCAATCGGCATGCACACCATGCACACACGCATACATACATACATACATACACACATATTACACGTACATGTGATGTGTAAGTGTACGATTTTGGCTGAATGTCTGTCTGTCTGACGGACGGCTGGCTGCCTGTTGTTTGACCTTGTTTTGTTGCGTGCGTTGTGTTGTTTGCTGACGTCAAGTCTGGCTGTGGTGTAATCGCATCGGGGACGCCTGATGGATGGATGGATGGGTTTATCAAGAAAGAAAGAAATCAAGCAGGCAGCGCATCATCTCTCTCTCGTCTTACCTCTCTCGTCTTACCTGGCTGGGGTCTGTGGCTATGCCCAGCCACAGCCTGCCTCGGTGCCGACCGACTCTGACCACGGTAGTGCACACCTTCCCGGCTGCCTGCCTGCCTGCCTCCCTGTATACCTCTTGTCCCTAGCTTGTGGTTGGTGCGTGCGTGGTCTGCTCCTCCGGCAATGGGCTGAGTGTGGTCTGTCTGAGCATCTGTTATCCATCATCGAACGATGCTTATCGGATGTCAGACTGACAAACTCAATCAATTGCTGTGCTGCAGAGCGCACAAACTGAACGGACGGATGTCGTCGGACTGACCAGTCAGTTTGCATGAAATTGATTACAGATGAGACGTTGGTTGATATGTCAGACGTTGAGATGTCTGCACTCACTCGTCTGGCAGGCATCGATCCAAAAAGGCCATCGTACACACACACACACACACCCACGCACACACACACAGACCTGCTGTGAGGTATACTACCAAAGAGCTAGCACGAAAGCTACTCATGCAAGCAACCGACATGATCAAATCTCTTCCAACCACCACACCCACCAGATCGCCGCCGCAGTTAGAGCAGGCAGCCACTGCAAACAGCCCAAGAAAGAGCCCCAAAGCCCCCAACAAATACACACACACACACACTCTCACTCTCTCCCTCTCCACTGACACTCCCCATGTCCGAAAGGACGAACAATCGTATGTCATCGCCCTCCGTTTGTTTCTTCACTCGCTTCTTGAAAACACAAAAGGCCCCTCTGTCTGTCTGTCTGTCTGTCCAAAAAGGGTCCAAAAGCGGAGAAAGATGCCGCCTCGCCGCCCTCCCCCATCCCAGTCAGTCCCCTGACGCGCTCTGTCTACCGATTCAGCGCGAAGCGTGCCCACCCCTCATCAGCCATGAGCCGCCCAGACTCGATGGCGCGCCGCAGGTGGGTCTCGAGCCCGATCGCGGCCGCCCTCTGATGTGCTTTGTCCACAGCACCGTCCGACGGAAAGCCGAGCGCGCCCTCAGCGGCACTGCCGCTGTCCTGTGTGATCATGCTGATGGCGGTCGCCAGCAGAAACTGCCGCACAAGTGTGCGGTCGCCGCCAAGGCTGCTGGGGACACGATGATTGGCCGCAATGACGAGCCTCTCGATGTGCCAGGTGGTCAGCTCGAGGCCGCGGGAGTGGTTGATGGCCTTGAGGGCCGCCACGGTGTCCTGCACGGGGGGCACGGTGAGGACGGGGTGGTGTGCGTGGTTCTCCGTGTCCGAGTAGTTGTCCGGCACCAGCTCGAGCTCATGGCCGTATGAGTCGGTCACTCGTATGGTGCGATGGCTGCTCTGGGCGGGTGTGAAGTGGGCTGAGGCCTCGAGAGCGGCGATCAGCCGGAGCTTGTCGGTCTTGGTGAACTGGGCGCCGCCGTTGATGATGTACAGGCAGTGGATGGTCGACTTGGTGTTGCCGGTGGCCTGCAGCACAGCGGTTGGACACACACACACACACACACATTGATTATCCAGACAGAGAGGATGCATTGCATCCATCCATGCGGTTGTTGGATGGATCTGACTGACCTTGACGTAGCCTCCGCCCGTGACGACCTGCACTGCGGGGCCCAGCACGTAGGTGCAGATGTCGCGGATCTGCTCGATGGACAGCAGCAGACCGTCACGGCTCGCCAGCACACAATCTACCTGAACACAACAGACACATCCACACGTGCGCTCGAGCTGATCTGATCTTTCATGCATCGGCCAGGGGGTGGGGTGTGTACCTGGGGACCATAGCCCTGCATGTCTGCTGTCGGTGACAAGGCCTGATGGTGGCCTGGCTGCGAGTGACCCCACTTCACGTAGTTGGTCCCTCCGGCCGTCCGCGCGACAGCATCCATGGCTATCTGCTCATCTCCGCCCCTCTCTTAAGAAAGGAATGGACGCAGCCAACAGGCAACCACCTCCACGTGTGACACAGCCCCTCTGCTGCCTGCAAATTTTCTTCCCTCTCTCTGCGAGCTTGAAGCCAAATGGAAGAGGATGAAGATGGCAAGGCCGGCTTCCTCATTTGCTGCAGAACAACAGGGCTTGGTAGGGGCAGCACTATTGACCCATCCTTTTCATTCGTTTATGGTTCGTGTTGTCGAGAGTTTTTATCACTGGTTGAGGGACGGAAAAAGTGTGTGTGTGTGTGTGTTTCGAGTTGGCATATCAACACATGAAGGGAAGGTAGCCCCTGTCGGCTGCGTGCCCCGCCCCGCACTTCCAACCAACATTTATATACAAGACACAGACATATTCAGAACACACTCCGGCGGCACCCCGATAGTTCACCCACTGACTGGCCGGCCCCTCACTGACACAGCAGCAGCTTGTGCTTCTGCCGGTCCATCAGCCACCTGACCACCGCCACGTCCACCATAAGACGGTCGCTTAGTCTCGCTGACACTCGTGGCAGGTCACGGACTTATGCCCCAGCAGAAGCAGCCAGCTACCGAGAATCGGTCACCAACCACAACGAAGCTCCTTATCTCGTCTTCGTCGCGCCATGTGCACTTGCCCAAGACCACTTCAGCCAAGAAGAAAAGGCTTGGCTATCTCGGTCCGCTCCACTGGCAGGGGCAAAGTGCACACGCGCAGCAGCTCATGGCATACGCGCGCTTCCCACTCTCGTCAAGCGGCCCAGTACAGGTGCGACCTCAGCGGCCAGAAGGGACAGCGCGGAGGGGGTGATGTCGGCCGCACTGCCGCATATGACCTGATTGACACACACAGAGAGAGGAGGAAAATAACACGAACATAACATACTGCCACATTGCCTGAACAGAGTGCTTGTCCGCGTATAAACCTCTCACCTGGAGCCATCCTCCTCCTCCCTGCCTGCCTGCCTGGCTGGCCCTCCATCATGCAGTGCAATGCATGTCACCTGCAAGTACCTGCAAACACAACAATGAAACAGCACGAGCACAAAGGAAGCGGCGTGACAATCACCGAGATGCGTGTGAGATCAGTGCTGACTGCAGGAGTGTGGTGCGTGCGGCTCAGCGGACGTGAATTTGTGGGTACGCATCGGCTATCTGCCTTGTCAGCCGTTACCTCATTTCATGCTTTCATCTCAGCCTCTCCTATTGCCTCTGCGAGTCTGTTCTTTCTCCTCTGACAGTCATCTTACCCTTTCTACATCGCTCCTCGACTGGGCATCCTGGTGGCACCCTGCCATGCTCTCCCGAACGAACGAACCACTCGACAAGACAAAAAGCTCGCAAAATGGGATCGCTGGAGCTTTGGGTCTGGGAGGGAAAGGCTCCTCTGTGAGGCGAGAGGCCGCTGCTGAAGGTCTTTGAATCATCAACCTTCCAATCGGTGATCCCGGTGAGGTTCTGGTCTGAGTCCAGTAACTGGTCTGAGTTCTCCAGCCTACTCATCCCAGCGAGCGAGGATGAGCCAAATCGAGGTGTGTAACGTGGACATGCCCGACGCGACCCTCTACCAGTTCGCTCTGTCGCGCCTCCCACCGCCCAGCCAACCCGCCTCCTTCCGCCCCTCACTCGCAAACCTCAAGACCCGCGTTAGCCAGGGCGAGCCGCTTTCCCTCCTGGGCAAGGATGCGAATGCTGCTCGCCTCACGGCCTCCATAGCCGACCTGGAGCAATTCAAGCGCGGCCTCTTCGGTGAGGCGCCCATCGTGGGAGGAGGGAAGGCCGTGACGATCAAGCAGGAGGAGGCCAAGAGCCCGTCGGCCAAGGAGGGGGGAGGGGGAGGCGACGGCGACCACCGTGAGATCTTCCCCAACGCGCCGCCCGACGCCCCGCCGCTGTTCGAGTGGACCAACCAGATGGCGGCCAACGCGCGACTGATGCGCCACCTGCAGACACCCAAGGCATCGTTCGCCGCCTCGCCCCTCGACCAGGCGGCCATGGACGAGCTCGACGAGCGGCAGCTGGAGGAGGGCCTGCCCACCAACGCATTCAACATGGCCATGGAGGGCGAGGGCGAGGAGCTCATGGATGAGGAAGAGGACGAGGCGGGACACAAGCGACGACCCATCCGCGCCAAGCTCCACCCCTCCTCGCAAGACCAAGACCGCACCAACGGCGACGCGGGCAAGAAACGGCCATTCCCATACGGCACGGCAGCCGGGGCCAAGGGTGCGGGTGAGGGCGAGGTCAAGTCGCCCCTGCTCCCGCCCTCTGTCTCCACCATGGCGTCACGCCAGCAGCCTCGCCGCGCGGCAGCCACAGCAGCCGGGTCCTCCGCGGGTGGCGGTGTGGCGCCTCCATCACCCACGCCGTCGAGCAATGCCAACACAGGCATCTCTCAGCAACAGCAGCAGGAGCAGCAGAGCTACTATGACAACACGCACTGCTACTGCGGGAAGGTCATGGCAGGGTCAGCGATGATAGCGTGTGACCAGTGCCACGTGTGGTTCCACTCGCAGTGTGTGGGAATGACCAACGAGGAGGTGAATAACTGGCCTGAGGAGGAGCCCTACCTCTGCCACCGCTGCCACCCCGCCAGCAAGTGCCTCAAGCCCAACAATGGCAACGCCAAGGCCGCGCCCAAAAAACGCGCCGTGCGAAAGTGATTAATTGATGAAACCCATGGATGGATGGATGGAGCAGACAGGATGGGACAAGAGGGTGGGTGGGTGGGGCGAGGGATGGATGGTTGTGTAAGGGTCTGTCTGCCTGAATGAAGGTCTGACTGTCTGTTGGTTGCCTGCCTGCCATTCTCTGCATCTCTCTCTTATGTGTAAGGCTGACAAGGGGGAGGGAAGAGGGAAAGTGTGAATGCGTTGGTTGCTATGCGTGTGAGCTCCGGGCAGCGAATTCGTGAGTGTGCGGTGCAGTGGTGCCGTCCTCTTGTCAGTCAATGTGTTTGGACGAGACGAATGAGTGGAAGGACAGACACGTGTCGCGTATTCGTCGGTGTGGCTTCCTTTGTCACCCACCCGCTGTTCGAGAGCCATGCGATGCGCCGGCACTCGCACAGACGGTGGCAGACAAGACAGGGACACAACACACGCGCACAGCACACGTGTCTGGGTTTTTTCGATCGATCGAGAGATTTGAGCGGGGAGGGGCTGGTATGCATGTCATGGGACAATTAACACTCGATCTGATGAAAGAAGTGACCATGGTCTGTCTGTCAATCGTCCTCCCTCGTGTCGGCTCACTCACGACACGAAGAGATACACTTGACAGACATCAAGAGTCGAGTCGAGTCATCGGCTGGCTCATTTATTAGCCATTCGTTCATTCACTCATTCATTCATTCGGGAATCTGCACGACATGCATCTGCCTGTCCTTGTGCGGCATGACGAGCAATATCCCCTCCCCCTCCCCCAGCAGCCGACCCCCCTCCCCCACATGCTCGGCAGCCAGACGCTCCAGCCGCCGCCCGTCCCATATCTCTAAAAGCCCCCGCCGCGGCGCATACAGCACCAGGCACCGCCGGGTTTGCTGTGCTGTCCAGCCCCACGCCACTTGGGCGTCGCGGTAGCCCTTCCATATGTGCAGGAACTGGAGCGAACTCAGATGCACCAACACCACCTGCACACACACACACACACACACACACGGCCACAGGGGGTGCCTCGTGGTGTCCTGTCTGTCCCCACCATACATAAACCCCACTCACCCGTCCGAATGTGTCGGTTACTGCGGCAATCGTGGGGTTCCAGGGGGCCGGCAACATGGTCGTCCCGCGTCGGGTCGGATCAGCAAACTCGCGGCACTGACCCAAACTCTCATCTGCAATATTTGCAAAAGCACCACACACGACAGTCACAAACAAACCAACACGCACACCAAGACGCCACGCCCGACCTATCCCATCCCCGCAAGGCAAACCACCTGGTGGTGCGGTCGGCAGAGGCGGGCGGCAGTCATCTTTGTCGCCTCTCACAGAGGGAGTAGTCGTCGGCTCCCCGGCGATCTTGGAGGATAGAGTGGCGTCAGGCGGAAGGGATGCCGGCGTGTGGCTGGGCGTGCCGCTTGGCGAAGCCTTGCGGGCGACGGCCCCGCCGACGATCCATGAGGCAGCCGCCGACAGGACGGCTGACGCGGCCGATGTGGCCGAACCCACGAGTGTGCGGCTGGTCGGCGAGCTGCCCTCCTGCAGGCATTGCATGTAATCCATCCATCCATCAAGCAACACGTGCGCAGCGCTTGCATGGCCTCGTGTGTTGACACACATGAATGAATACCTGTGGCTGCCTCAGATGCAGCGATAGATAAGGGTCCGACCCCGCCGCCACATAGGCCATGATAGGCTTGTAGCCCTCCACACCACCACCTCCAGCGCCAGCCACGCTGCTTCTCCGCCCGTCCCTGTGGGCCCTCTGGATGGCGTCGTACGCCATGTCGATGGCTGACAGGTCGGTAGAGGGCAGCGCACGGCCAGTGAGTGCCAACACCGTCACATCAGAGGTCTCGCCGCGATCCTCCAGCCTGACAGATAGACACACCAAACAGACAGAGAGCACGGTGAGCGTCATGGCGAGCGTGAGCCATTTATTCATCGTCGCTACCTACTTGACTTTTCTGAAGTCCCTGACGGCCACGCCAGCAGTGTCGTCGTCAGTGCGTGTGGGGGATGGGAGCCGGCGTGAAGAGGGGGGCGGTGTGGGCTCGGAGGGGAGGGGGGGTGATGGTGGCTCCTCCAGAGAGATGGCAGACGAGTTGGGACGGGCCGAATACACCTCGCGACGAAGCGCCTCGTTGGATGTGTGCACCTGACAAACAAACAAACAAACAAAGACACATCAATTCAATGGCGGTGTTAGTTGTGCCTTTAGGCTGGGCTCCCGTGTTGGCTGCGTAGATATCTAATCTCACCAGTGTGTGGTCCGCGTACAGGATGAGCACAGCACACAGCGCAGGGCTCATTGAGGTGTCCATGCCGCTGCTGCTCGCACTCCGCGTGCTGTCATCAGTGGCGTGGGGGTGCTGCACAGGCTGCCGTCCGTGCATCATGCTGCTGCTGGTGGGGCTGCCGTCGCTGCTACCGACATTTCTGGCGCCCCTTGTGCTGCGTATGGCGATGACGGGCAGCGGGTGCCATATCGCTGAGAGGCAGAGGGCGCCCTTGTGTGTGTACAGCGACACGCGGCCGCTGATCAAGGAAGAAAGGAAAGCCACACAACACACAAAACACACGAGTGGAATGAATGAGTGGATTGAATGATCTTCATTCAGAGGCACATGCACCACACGGACGGACCTGCCGAAGCCGACAATGAGGTGATGGATGCCTGGGACGACCTCCGTCCAGCCCTGACAGACAGACAGGCAATCACTCACTCAGTAAGTACTTAAGGCTTCTGCCTCCCTCCCTCCCTCTGTTGCTTGCGTTGCTTTGTACCAGGCAGGTGACTTTTTCCCTGGCATGTTCAGCGGTCAGCCAGATGAAGTCCAGGTGCTGCAGCTCCCCTGAGCTGCAGTACCACCGCCAGTAGAGCAGACGGTCCACCTGCTGAGACGGACTCGCAACCGCAACGCCCAGCAGACCGCCCGACAGGTACGTGGCGAACAGACTCTCAGACGGGTTGTAGCTCTCCGCCGATGGCGTCGGGGACAGTGCATGCAGGAGGGAACTTGAAGGCATTGTCAAGCAAGGGGGGGGCTCAGTCGTCAGATGACTGATTGTCTCATTTTTCGCCAGGCACTCTCGGTGACACGGCGGCGCTTTTGCTTCTCCCTTCCTCCTTCTTTCTTCGTTGCGAGCTCGAGCTCGCAGCAGCGGCGGGTGGTTTCGCAGCAAACGAAGGGCTATCCCCTCTGTCCATATCTCATCGTTGCAGACGAGATGCGTGCCGAGATCTGAGGCTTCGTGTGGGATTTGCAAGGCGTGCAGTGAGTCTCTCCCTTCCACGATGAACGGCTGCAGCTGCACCAGCTGTCCGACCGCTCAGATGGAGACCGACAAGAGCCTGACCATCACAGTCTCGCCGCGGTCAGACGAGATGCTAGGCATCATCGGCGGCTCGGGCCTCTGGAACACGCCACTCTTCAAAGAGTTCCAGGAAGAAATCGTCAGGACAGAACACGGCAGAGGTACCAGGCGTCAGTAGACAGCAAGCAGGATGCGCTGATGGAAATGGCACACGTGTGTGTGTTTCTGTGCGTGTGTGTGGTTCGTGGACAGTCAAGGCCCATGTGAACCGCGAGAGGACCTGCGCCTTCATTCAGCGCCATAATGCAGACCCAGACACCAGGTGACTGCAGACAGACACACGGCAATGCAGAGATCTCGTAAGCCCACTCTTGTTTGTCGTGGCCTGCCCTTCTTCTTCCTTCGTCTGTCGTGTGGGCATCAGCTACACGCAGCCGCATCTCATCAACAGGCGGGCGCTGTGCGGTGCCCTGAAGAAGCTCGGCGTGACGCGTGTGGTGTGTTTCTCGAGTGTGGGATCACTCAAGCCAGACATTCACATTGGCACCGTACTCATACCCAGTACGTTAAGCGATGTGCCATATGTGTACACACAGGCGCTCCTGACGTGCTCATCTCAATGTCTTTCTGTGTGTGTGGTGTTCACTGACCGATGCAGACGACTATTTTGCTCCGTGGAGTCTGCCTGGCTACCACACAGACCACAAGGCGCATTTTATCCCCTCCCTTGACACACCAATGAGGCGGCAATTACTGGAGCTGCTCCACCACGATTCGGAGGAACTGCAGGGGGTAAGTGGATGACACAGCCATACGATCCCACACCACACACGACAGTCACCACCCTGTCTGTCTGTCTGTCTGTCTGTTTGCCTGGTCTATCAGGTGACGATCCGCGATGGCGGCTGCTACACGCAGAGCAAGGGTCCGCGATTCGAGACCAAGTCGGAGATCCGCTTCTACCAGGATTATGGCGATGTGGTGGGCATGACCACCGCTGGCGAGCTGACGCTGCTGCAGGAGCTCAACCTGGATTACGCCTGCATCTGCATGGTCGACAACATGGCTCACGGGGTGACGGCCGACGGCGACACTCTGACGCTCAAGAAGTTCCGCGACGCGCAGGACACCAACCAGGAGGTGGTCGAGACCATCGCCAAGAAAGTGCTGGAGAGATTCCTCACCAATGACAGGACGGAGCTGGCGACCACACGCGGCAGCTCGCGGTGAGGGGTGAGTGAGTACAGTGCATGGTCGGTCGATTGGCGCCATTCGTGGATTGGTTGGTCTCTACTGACTGAGTGTCAATGAATGTGTGAACGCATTCGTGAACAGAATTTAGGGCGGGCGGAGTTGGAGTTGTGTAGTCGTGTGTGTGTGTGTGTGTGTGTCTGGCTGTCTGCCTTTCTCCCTGCCCGCCTCCCGACCCGCCTGCGTGTCTGCCCGCCTGCTTGCCTGTGTGTGTGTCCCTCTTTCTCTCGTAGTACAGTGTAGAGCGAGCGATGTTGAGGTGAGGTGGGTGTTTTTCCATGATTGGTGCAGCCAGCCAGCCGGACAGACAGACAGACAGACAGACAGACAGCTGTAGCTGCGGTAATTGCTGTAGAGAGAGAGGGCTAGAGAGGGCAGAGGACGGGAGGGAGAGAAGGGGGGAGAGCGTGGATGGATGGATGGATGGATGCCTTGGAAGCCTCCATTCATCCATCCATCCATCCATGAGCGACAGAGAGGTGCGGAAAGCGAAAAGTGCTCGTCCAGTCGAGCCGTCACAGCTAGAGTGAATGATCGAGTCAGGGAGGGAGAGAAGGGAGGGGAGGGAGTTGCGGGTAGCCAGAGTGCATGCAGCGAGACAGCCGGCCAGTGATCTGTGATCCTTCTGGATCTGCCTGTCTGTCTGTCTGCCTGCCTGTCTATCAGTTCGTTTGTATATTTATTTTTATGGCCCCGTGCCATCCGTATACACATAGCATGCCATGCATGCCGTTGACGGCCAACGATAGAGTCGAGTCGAGTGAGTCGAGTCGAATCTAAGTCCACTGAGCTAGCCATCCATGGTCATGGTGAGTGGGTGAATGAGTGACTGCGAGGGAGGTAGGGAGGGGGCCACGGTGGCAATTCCATGCATCCGTGCACGCAGCCACGTGGCACCCCCCTCACATGACATACATACGAACATGTGTATTGAACGAATGAATGAAGGAGAGAATGAGAGAGTGAGGGAATGACTCACAGTTTTGATTGATTTATATGCTGCCTGTCTCACCCCGGGAGATAGATGACTGTCCGGCGGCCGGCAGATGAGATGAGATGAGATGAGATGAGATGAGACGAGTACTCGGGGGGGCTGTCACTATGTCTGCCTGCCTGCCGGCCAGCCTGTCTGTCTGTTTGTCTGTCTGGTGTGGGTGAACAGTCATGCATCGCCACGCCCATTGAACGAAGTGAGTGATCGACGTCAACACATAGAGCATTCAGTCACCTTCCTTCATGCAGTTTTGCTGTCCCCCACGTTGGCGAGTGCCACTTTGGGGTCCGCCCCAGCCGCGTTCTTGGCGTGAGCTATCAAGTACTCGGCCTGCATGTGCAGTGCATGTGCACCCACCGACCCACACAACCACAACAGACAGTCACCCGTCACACGCCCACCGCATTCATTCGTCTCGCTGGCTGGCTGACCAGGTAGTCGATGGGGTCTTCTGGCACCACCTTGCACACCTCCACAAGACCCTCTGTCAGAGTCGGCACCTACACAACACACACACACATCCACACATGTGTCTACACCACGCCCACGGCTGTGTGTGTGTGTGTGTGTGTGTTGGATGGATGGATGGATGGGTGCATACGACGTATTGCATGAGGTAGTGTCTGAGTGGTATGGATTGTGTCTCGAGGAGCTCCTTCTCGTGCTCCTCGATCAGCTGCATCCGGCGACGCTCCTCCTCCACACGACGCACACGCATCGCATCCTCATCAGCCTCCCTACAGCCATCCATCCATGCACTCAGACACGGACAACCAACGCCATAAGGACTCGCTCACTGTTGTTTCAGCTCCGCTTCATGCTTCTCCTCAGCCTCTTTCTGCACACGGATGGATGGATGGATGAATGGATGGAAAGTCATATGTTGAAGTGTGTCTCTGCTTCTTTCCTGGTGCCTGGGCTCACCTCTACTGCCTCGATGCGTCTGTGCTCCTCGAGTGCCAGCTCCCTCTCGCCCTTGAGGAAGTTGAAGGGGCGGCCCTTGCGCTCAACATAGATACGCAGACTCGGAAAGAGCTCAGACACTGAACGAGACAAAGAGATAAGAGATGCACTGTCCCGAGACACGGTCCTTGCCGTGTGCTTACGGGCCTTTCCATCCGCGTCGAGATTGAGCACCTCAATCTTCCGCTCCTGCGCGTCGAGTGCAGCGTACACACACACATGCGTACCTTTCTCTCTCTCTGTGTGCGTATGTGTGTGTATGGCCACTTGGAAGAACTCCGCGAGGGATGGTGCGCCGTTCTCGGCCTCGTTGTCGGCCCTATACTTGGCCCACCGCCTCTTGAAGCCGTCCTCCGTGTTGTGCGTGCCCTCTACCGCATCCTGAGGCAGCGCTGTGTCCGTATGACAGGCGTAGGGAGAGATGGCATTCTTGGTGCTGGTGGTGTCTCAACTGTCTCATCACACGTATACCTACCGAGAATGCGTTCCTTGGCACACGTCTCTGACGCCTTGAGCACGACGACATGCTCGGGGACGACGGCATCGTTAAGAACTGATCAAACGACGGGAGAGGAAATCAGACCAAGAGGCAGCATGCATGGATGTCTCTGTGTCGGTGTGTCTCGTCTGTCTCACTTTTGGGTTTGGCCTCTCCCTCAGCCTCCTCGGCCTCCTCCTCTTCACCCTCTGGCTTCGGCGCATCTGTAAGCACCGCAGGAGAAAGGAGGTCCGCCCATGGATGGAGGCCCACCGACCGACCAACCGACCAGTGAGGAGGAGAGCCTCGGCCTCAGCGAAGTTGCGGGGGTAGCCATCCAACACGTAACCACGGTACCTGACCAGGAAGAAAGAAGAGGAAATCAGCTAGCTATTCTGCTCAGCTAGTTGCTCAGTTGACCTACTTGCATATGTTGGATTTGAGTTTCTGCATCACGATCCTGGTGACAGTGGCGGCGTCGAGGCGCGGTTTGGCGTCGGCCGCCGCGCCTTTCTTGCCGCCCTTGGCTGCGGCCTCCTGCAGCTCGGCCCACTTCTGCCGCAACTCCTCACCGAACTCATCTTGCTGACACACAGACACACAGACACGGGGAGGCGCAGAACGTTCCACTGTCTGAGGTGCGCTTGCTCGTTTAGGTAGGTGGCGTACGGCTTGTTTGGCCTCCTCAATCATGTCTTGTATCTGGAGGAGGGGCACGTTGTAGTGCTCAGCCAGCACCTGCCCGCAGAAGGTCTTGCCCGACGCCGGAGGGCCGGATACCAACATCTACAAGTGGACACACACAGGTGACATGATGGGATTCCAGGGTGTGCTGTCATTGGTCACTTTGATGGCCCTAAGGTTTCTCCACTTGAGGAACTCGGCGGCGACTTTCTCTATGTTGGCAACCATCCCGCCCTATCAAACACACACGAGAATCGTCAATCCCCCCCCGGTGTCTGTCCACGAGCCCATCGCACCTTGCTCCACCAGTTGAAGTCCTCTGCCTTGAGCAGGTCAGATGGCTCCAGGCTGAGGTCGAGGGTGAGCAGATCGGCGTTCTCTGCCAACACGGCCTCCTCGGGCGCTATCGACGGCACCTTGTAGGGCGTGGCGATGTTGTTGACGATGCCTTGTATCAGGGATGCCTGTGTCTCGTCAGAGAAATCTACTGCCAACAGATAATGCTTCTCCTCCTCCCCTGAATGTCCAGCCAGCAAACAAATGACCTGTTGGTCTGGTGGGGCGTGCCACCCCCCAGTCACCCACCAGGCGCGAGCCGTTTGATGAGCCTGGCGCAGTCCCTGATATGTATGGTGGGGATGTGGTTGTTCCCCGGACCGATTGTTCTATGCGTCTCCTGACACAACCAGCCCGCCTGGCCCTCACACACACACACACACACACACACACACACAGAGAGAGAGAGAGAGAGTGAGAATGAGTATAGGAAGGACATCATGCAATGGGTGGCTGGCTGGCTGGCTGGCTGGGTTGCCTTGAATGCGTCGTAGAATGTCTCTTCCCCGTTGCCGTAGAGGATGCCCGCGGCCACCACGTAGCACTTGAGGTTCTCCTTGGTGTTGAGGGCCAGTAGCAAGGCCTCCAGGGTCTTCCAACTCTCATACGCCGGTGGGGCTGTACGCCGCCTGCAGTGGTTGAAACACCCACGACGGAGGGACGACCGTATGCCAACTTCCCTCGATGTGCGTGTCTGTCGCTAACTGACTCAAAGTCGTCATCTTTGAGTTTGACAGGTTGTGTTGGCACAGGTGGTGGTGGAGGCTTCTCCTTGCCCTCCTCGCCCTCTTCGCCCTCCTCACCCTCCTCCCCACCTGCCTCTGCAGGCACAAGCAAGGGCAACACTCACACCAAGAGCCGAGGCGGTTTTCCTTACCTGCCTCAGCGGGTTTCTCTTCTCCTTCTTCGCCCTCCTCTGTCTCGATCTTCTCGTACTCCTGAACAACCGACATGCAAAGACGTTTGCAGTTAGCTGTTATCCATGTCTCTCTCCGTGTATTGGTGTGTGCGTGTTGCTGCCTTTCTGGTCTTGGCCCAGACGATGACAGACGAGATGAGCACCACCACCATCGGCTTCTCAATCTCGGTGTTCTTCAACGCTGAACACACGAGACACACACACCAGGCAGGCAGACAGACAGACACACAGACACCAAGACGTGTACACGCAAAGGTGAGATGGGGCCGTTGTACGCCCACTTTTGATGATGAAGTCGACCTCTTCCAGGTCCGCATTGTGCAAGTCATACACGACCAACGAGCACGACAGCAGCGTCTTGAGCAACATCTTCGGGTTGCTACGCTGCACACACACACACAGTGCATGCAGTCCGTGCACGTGGGAATTATGCAGTCTGCGGGCGTGGTACGCTCACCCCGACAACTCTTCTGACAGATGGCGGGATCTGCGCCCCTCCCTCGGTGCCCTTGAGTGTGCCGAACAGCCGGTTGGCCACTCCCTCGATGCGCCGCAGGTCCGCACACAGCGCATTGCCGGAGTAGGTGTCCACATGATTGATGAAGATACGCATCCTGACAGCACCTCCAGACAAGACACCTCACGCCGAGGGAAAGACGGCCAAAAAGCTCGCGTAAGACTGGGGGCCGCTGCGGGCGGATCGCCTGGAACCACTCCCAATCTGGAATTGTCGCGCCGCTTCCGCCTCTCGTCCCGCGTGTGTCCGTCCCTCTTCCAGCATGCCGCCTAAGGTGCTTCTTCCCCACAACGTGACCAAGGATGATTTTGAGTGGGGGCAGACACTCGGCACAGGTGAGTGCATTCCTGCCTGAGTAGCAGTCGGCCGGCGTGATGGGTGCATGAGGGCTGGGTGTTGCAGAGAAGGGGGCTCTTCCCCAATGCACAGCCACGCATGCACCATGCCCCTCTGGTTCGTGTGGATGGCCGCAGGTTCGTTTGGCCGTGTGCGCGTCGCCCGCTACAAGAAGAGGGCCGACTATGGTTCGGACCTGCCCGACCGTCTGGCCATCAAGTGCCTCAAGAAGGCCGCCCTCATCAAGATGAAGCAAGTCGACCACATCAACAACGAAAAGAACATCCTCCTCATACTCGACCACCCACTCACAGTCAGCTCTTCCACATACACACGGACACCAACAGAGAACGAAAGAACCATACGGATCCATCGTGGATGTGATGTTGGTGTCCTGTGATTGCAGGTGCGCTGTTACGGGTCGTTCCAGGATGACCGCTATCTGTTCCTCATTCTGGAGCTGGTTGGCGGGGGTGAGTTCTTCACACACCTGCGGCGTCAGGGCCGCTTCGACACAGAGAGTGCCCGCTTCTACTCGGCCCAAATCTGCGACATTTTCGACTACCTCCACTCCAGAAACATCATATACAGGCAGGCAAAGACAGAGAGAGGGAGAAGGAGAAGGAGACACGAGCGCGCCTGCCTTCCTGTCTCGTCATGTCATGTCATGTCATGTCACGTCATGTGTGTGTCTCCGTGTTGACGTCACGTCAGGGACCTGAAGCCAGAGAACATGTTGTTGGACAGGGACGGGTACGTGAAGCTGACGAACTTCGGTTTCGCAAAGGTGGTGGAGTTTCGCACCGACACGCTGTGTGGCACGCCCGAATACATCGCTCCCGAAGTCCTACTCAACAAGGGTCGGCGCCAGGCACCCAGAGAGACAGCGAGGAAAAGATGGAGAGAGACACGCAGCTGGATATGTGTCGTGCATCCAGGTCACGGCAAGCCAGTCGACTGGTGGACGCTGGGCATTCTGATCTACGAGATGATCGTGGGCTACCCGCCCTTCGTTGATGAGGACCCCATGGGCATCTACCAGAAGATCCTCGCTGGCAAAATCGTCTTCCCGCGATTCTTCGATCGGTCGGCCGCTCGCAGATACAGAGAAAGATACAGACAGCTGTTCGTCTGTTGGTCTCTGGCCGTCCGTGTGTTGATGCAGCGATGCGAAATCTTTGGTCAAGAAGTTGTTGCAGGCGGATCTGTCGAAGCGTTTGGGCAATCTGAAGGGCGGCAGTCAGGACGTCAAGGACCACCGGTGGTTCGGCCCCATCCACTTCGACGACCTCCGCAACAAACGCCTCCCCGTCAAATACAAACCACACCTCAAGGCACAGACATCACACGACGACACGCCGTGCACAGAAAGAGACTTTCAGAGAGACATGCTGGTATGGTCTTCGTCCCCTCCCTTCCTTTGGCCTGTCTGCATGTGACGTGTGCAGTCTGCTGATGATCTGAGCAACTTCGAGTTCTACCCCGACTCAGAGGAGCTGCCCCCCGCTATCAACCCAGCACACGACCCCTTCAAGGACTGGTGAAGGAAAGGAATGGACGCGCAGACCCCAGTAGAGAGAGCTGATGAAGTGACTGGTGTTTGGGGGGCGACGAAATGCAATCCCTCCCTCCCTCCCTCCCTCCCTGTGTGTGGATGAGTGGATGAGTAGTCTTTGTTATCGCGAGCGAGTGTGTGTGTGCGTGTCCGGCCGGACGAGAGGAGAGGAAGGAAGGAACAATCGCTCGTGTGTGTAGCGTAGCACACGCACTGGTAGGTAGGTAGGTTGCATATGTGTGTACTGACTGGATCGATCAAGAATGAGTAGAGAAGAGACATTCAGAGAGACCAATACACATCAAGTAGTTAGTTCCCAAGTAGCTAAGCTCCGTGTGGTCACCACAAGGGGTATTGTATTGAGGGTCTACATGCACTGGTCGGGACAGCTACCTAGTCGGCCCCTGTGTGCCCATCTTTGCTGAATAGAACTCCGCTGCCGCCTTTGCTGCATCCTGCACCGACATGTTGTCATTCGCTGTTATCGATAACCTGGACACACGCACACGAGCAATGACACAGACATGCTCGCACAGCGGATTGTGCTGAAGGGATTGTTATCTCATCCCCACCTCCTCAGTGTGCGCCTTCTGTTGATGCCCTGGACGTTCTGTGGTCGGCCGCTCAGATAAGTCAGCAGTTTGTTCCGCCGCTGCTCAGACAACGTCGCCGTACCGGCTGACATCACCCAAAGCATATATACATGCAATCGACAAACCATCGCAGCCAGCCAGCCAGCCGTAGTCGCTCACCTTTTTCGCCCCTCCTTCTGTCCGCATGTCCGCCTACGCGAAGGAACTCCCCCGCCACCTCTCCCTCAGTGCTGGCAGGATGCTCCTCGATAATCATCTCATCGTCTGCCAGGCCGGCCTGCTTCTGCGCGAGCTTCTTGATCCTCACCTTCTGGACCAGCGCATGACGGTCAGCGACTGCATGTCGCTTACTCTGTGCCCTCATGGCGCCCCCCGTCCTTCTTGGCGACGCGGTGGGCGTGTCGAGCTGGGACCGTGACGACTCGCGAGACACGTGGGAGCGCTGGCTGAGCTGTGCGGGGCTCGCTCTGCCAGACATGGAGATGGATGCCCGCCTGTTGGCGATGTGGACGATGGAGGCCCGTCTCGCGTGGATGCCCTCGAGATCGTTGTTGGCAGCCGGGGTTGTGTGGGTGGGGGTGCGGGCCGTGATGGAGGCGATGGATGTGCGAAGGTGGGTGGTGCTGGACCGGCGGCTGGCTGGGGTCGGGCCCGTGCTGTCGAGTCGACGAAAGGGGATCCGCTTGGGCGTTTGTGAGGCCTGCCGCTTCGTGTGTCGCGAGCGGGGGGTAGAGGGGGCGGGGGAATACCTGTAAGGGGAGACGTGAGTGAGGCACGTGCGCAAGCCGCATGTATGTGTGTCGTGCGCTGTGTCTCACGGACTCTTGGTTTTCTGTGGTAAAGTCGAGGAAGATTTGAGACCCTCTGCACCCATTCGAGACGAGGAGTGAGAGACACAGAGGGTCTGTTAGGCTGACCTTTTTGGCCTGAGGGCGAATTCGTTCACAGGAGCCGCCTCGCGAACGAGATTGTGCATGTTGTTCATGTACTGAACCACCAGAGGAAGAGACGGCAAGAGACAGAGACATACACACGCCAAACGTGCAAGCCCCAATACCGACCGTGAGTACGGTGCCGCTGTCCAAATCTACGACGGAGGTGCCTTTGGTGGCCGCACTCATGTCGTGCACCGCCATGGCAGGCGCCTTGCCCAACAAACTCACTCGACGGGCTTGCGAACGACGGAATACTTCCAGACGATCGTCCTGATAGCTCCACAACACCCATGAATGAGAATGCGCGATAAGCCCTCATCTATCACATCGCCTCGCATACCTCCTTCTCCGCCGTGGATGACCGTCTGGACGACGGCACCGATGCACTGGTGTGCGTCTTGGAAATGTCTCCGGTCTTGGTCATCCCCCTGTGGAAGCGTGCCAGCACTCTTGCCACCTGCACCTTCTGCTTGAGCCGCTTGACCAGCTCCCGCCCGTGTGCTGGCCGGCGGGGCTGCGTCGCAGACGGTGGCTGATGATCAGGGGTTGGCTCGGGTGAGCCTTCTGGCGAGGGAGTGTCCTCTGGTGGCGGTGATGTCTCGTTCTGTGGAGCCTTGGGGGCTTCAGCGGGAAAGCGAGACTCTGACAGGCAGAAGCCCAGACACGATGAGAATCAAGCATGGGTAAAAGCGACGCCTACGGTCCGGTGAGAGGAGTCTTTGGAGAGGGGACAGTGCGCCCTTCTCCAAGCTTTTCCTCCCCTTCGCCGCCTCCCCTGTCTGCTGCTCGCCCATGCGCATCTCGTCGAATATGGTCTCGAACCGCGACTTGGGAGGCTGGATCTGGAAGCTGAGGTCGGCGCCGTGCACCGCCACCACAGGCAGGATGGAGGGAGCCCGCGAGATGCCCTTTGACAAAGACTCGATGACTTCACCTTGGGCAGTGAGCTCTACCTGCCCGTGTGTGGACGTGCGAAAACGCTGATGCGCTATGTCGAGCATCTGACGCGTAGACACAAGCAGAGAGAGACAGGGAGACACATGGGCGATGAAAGGAAAGGATGAATGGCAAGGCAAACGGGTATCTACCTACCTACCTCTGCTGCGTTGAGGACTTCGATGAAGTTCTCGCGGTTGGGCGCAAGCCACTCGCCTGAGATGGGACCGAAGCGCTTCAGCCGAGCGCCGCGGTCGTCCAACGACAACACCGCCATCTGCATGCCATGGCAGAGATACGTACAAACAAGTCGACACCTGCCCACCTTCGCTGACCCTTTGGAGCAGTGAGCACAGCTGGGCCATCGTGGCGGGCGAGTATGCCGGATCAACGTGTCGTAGCGACGCGGGCAGCGCTGCACGTATGACGGGCAACGGGCCACCGGAGGGCAGCAAATCGGGTGCTCGACTCGCCGCCTAATAAACAAGCAGCCGAAGGTGAGTTACATTCATTCATCGTGTGTGTATGCTGTGCTGTCTTCCTTACACGGATATCAGCCAGCGCGAGTGCCGAGTTCCTCATGGCCGCAGCAAGTGCCGTCTCCCTGGTCCTCCCCGGTGGCTCCAGGTCTTCCTTGACCAGACCCCTCTCCCTCTCTCTGCATGTCTCTCTGTCCTTCTCTCGCTGCTCATTCGACCGCTGGGACCTTGCGCTCATTATGCTGGACCGCCGGCTGTGCGTTTGGCTGTGAAGATCACCGCTCACACTGAGTGGCCGACGAGTGTCCTCATGTCCGCCACCATTGGCAGCTGACGGCAGCGTCACCGTCTTGATCTGAGACGCGGCGAGAGGGATGGGTGTTGGTCTCGGTGAGGCGGTAGGAGGATGGTGGTTCAGCGAGGTCTGTGCACGAATGCATCTCAAGACGTGTTGGGCGAGGTCCGATGAGCCCTCCCCCCCGTGGTCGTCTTCTGCAAATGGGCCAGCGAATCGGACGTTCACGGTCTGGTTGGGCGCGTTGAAGATGACTGTAGGGTGGAGGGAGGCGGTGCTCATGAGCACCGGGTACTCGCCCACCACATCCTCGTTCACACCCACCACCACGGCGTGATCGAACTCGCCATGTGCGCCGAAGGAAGCGGACAGACGAACCCTGTGTGAGACAGACACAAAGCTCCAGCTCTGAGTGCGTGCCATAGGCAGGCTGTTGTGCGTACCTGTCACCGATCTGTGCTGTCCATTGCAGGGGTAGCGGCGAGTTCTCGCGGTTTGTCTGCATGACCCCGAGCCTCGGGTGGATGGCCAGCGAGTGCATCTCGTCACCAATCCGCGGCGGCTGGTCGTTGCGGAAGTTCCGGTGGTCGCCACCCAGCCCTATCAACACGTCCGTCGTGTCCGTTAACGTCACCTGGCCGCACACAGGGAGGGACATATGTGCGTGTGTGTGTGTTTTGACTAGCCGCCTGCCTCGAAGAACGGATTGCCGGGTGACAGGGGGCGCCTGAAGACGATCGCAGCGGCCGCTCGGCCCTTTGTTGGCACAGGCACATCGCCGGACACGATGCTCCAGCCATTGAACACGCAGCGATGGCACGCAAAAGGACCGAACTGCTTCACCTGCACAAGTAGGTACGCACACACGAGACAGACACGCCGTCGCAGAACACTCGCGTCTCGGTAGGCACAAACCACAATGTCCTTGAGGTATGACAGGGAAAGGCTTTGGCTGTATAGTGACGGCGGCCTGGTCTCGCTGCTCTCGGAGAAATCCATTATCCCACGGGCCTCCTTGGGCGCCCAGTATCGGACACTCACGCCTCCATCGAGGGTAAATGCCGGATACACCTTTGTGTCTCGTTTGAGCCACTCGGGCTGACAGCTGCCGACCAGCCGGCCATTCAGCGTGACAAACACGCACCCGACGCCCCCCAGACCCATACCTGGAGAGGCCACCTGCCGCCGTCCTCCGCCAGCACGGGAGGCCATCGATCTCAGCCTCCCGCCGCTGGGAGACGACTCCCTTAGCGATGGGGCCACAGAGAGCAGAGACTCCTGGGATGCTCTTCGCTGTCGATCAGCAGCTGTCTCATGAAGGACGATCGAGTGCGGCTCCTCGGAGGCTCCGGGCGCGGGAGATCGCGGTGGCTCCTGCTGCTGCGGCTGCGGCGGCTGCGGCGGCGGCTGCTGCTGCTGCTGGGTGGGTTCTTGCTGCTCCTGCACGGAAGTGGTGTCTTTGGCCATGTCTGCCCACAGTAGGTCATCAGGGGCTTCTGGTGGTGGCGGCTCCTCACTAGTGACGGTGGGAAGGGCGAGGACGGCCGTCCCCTCTGCTGCTGCCGGGGACTCGCCCCCGGGTTCCAATTGAGCCCATGCGTTGGCTTCCTCGGTGTCCTCCTCACCCTCATGGATGGTGTGGTCAAACGACGAGAACTGCCGGAGGATGGTCTGCAGCTGGGTGGTGTCCTTGGTTGACAGGTTGGCTTGGCTCTTAAGCTGGTCGAGGTAGAAGGAGAGCTGCTCGTGAACCGCGGCGCCGATTGACTGGAGGGACTCGTCCAAGCTGCTCGCGAAAATGGCCTCCATCTTGGCCAAGTGGGCGGCATTCCTGCATGCAGGGCAGGAGCCGATGGATGACCAAGATGCCAACGGGTGTCTCTACACGCGTCTGTGTGTGCGTGTGTCTCACGCGGCTCTTGCGGTGAACCTGCCGGCGTTGCCGACCGTGACCAGGCTGAAGAGCTTGACCCTCGTGTCCTTTGTCTGCTGACGCTTCAGCAGGCTCTCGAGCTCATCCACCTGGTTCCTCTCCCCGTGTGGCGTCCCGCCATCCAAGCTCTGCGGCGACTTCTCCTTCCCCGCGCCGCTCTCCTTCCTCCCCGCCCCGCCTGATCTGTCGAAGAGGAACGGCAGGCTAACCATTCGGGGGGCATCTGCAGGAGCAGCAGCAGCAGCAGCGGTTGTCTTCGTCTTTGGCAGGGGGGGGCGGTTCTGCTGAGACGCGGCCGAGGGGCTGCTGGGAGAGGTGGGGGCAATGTCGGGTGGCTCCTCCTGGATGGATGAGCCGCGGCTCCTCTGCTCGCGAGATGGGGATTTCTTGGCGCCGCCGAAGCCCATCATGGCCGTGATCCGCGTGAGTGTCGTCTGCTGCCCGGAGAGGAGCTCAGGGGAGGCCCAGATGATGCCGCAACCTGCATATAATGAACACGATGCAGCCTTTGGTGCGTGTGTAAGGGTGATGGAGGATGGATGGATGGTCTACCGATGCAGTCTCCTGTGCTGATTGAGATTTCTTCCTCTACTTCGGTGACGGAGCAGTGCCCGTCCCGGTGGCGATTCAGCAGCACACCGCGGGCCGCGTCGAGGCCCGTCTCAAGCGGCTCCTGTCAAATGAATGAGACGTACGCACAGATACACCCTCTCAGCCTGGCTGGCCGTCCCTCACTGTGAGCAGTTGGTCGGCGGTTGCGATGCCGACGGTCAGCCCGGGCGGGCCGATCTTCTGCACATTCAACACCACTACCTCATAATAATTCAGATCGCGGGACAGAGCCTCGGTCACGCGGACGGTGCCCCTCCTAGAACGATAGAACGACACACAACAGATGCCGTCAGACAAACACACGCAGCCAAAGACGAGACACCCACTTGCTGATGTTGCCCTGTATAGTGTTCTTGAGAGTGCCCTGTGTCGCCGTGACATATGCCGGTGTCATGAACAGTCCTCCGTCCTGGGGGAACCCCGGGGCCGCTGCCGGCTGGCCAGCGCCGCCGCCCTTGCTGTCCACCAACCCGGCGAAGGACCTCGGTGAGGGCACTGGTGGGAGGGAGGAAGGGGCGGGTGGCCGGAAAGGGCTGGCGAAAAGGTGGGGGAAGAGGCACACACGGTCACCTGGCTGGCTGACACACAACACAACACAACACAACACGACAGATGACATACATCATATACTCATACACATCAAGAAGGCAAGGCATTGCTTCCATCCATCTGGCGCGCAGCGCACCTCTAGCAATGTGACGGTGGGGAGGAGGTCCTCTCTGGGCTCCAGGTCGTGGAAGGCGATCAGAGAGCCATTGAGGGCGAACCAGATGCGGCGGGTGAAGCGGTGAGGAGTGACGGCAGTCGGGTAAGGCTGTTGTTGCTCGCCCACAGGCGGTGTGCTGGCACGAATGAACTCCACCCATATGCCGAGCTCATCGCCGACCCTTCACAGATGCAGCAGCGCAGGAACAACACCTTAGACAGCAATCGAACGATGCCGCTCGTCCCCTCCCTCACTTGACTGTTGAAGTCTCTCTGACAACGGCGGTCCCCCTGTGCAAACACCAGCCCGACATGGTGTTCCAGCCAATGCTGTTGCCGTACTGGCCAGGGGAGTCCGACAAGGGGAACAGCCGCTCAGCCATCCCCAGCACCACTCTGCTGCAGGGCAGAGCGGGGTTGAGCTCCTCATGTGTCGACTTGCACCCGGGTCTGCGGCGCGAGAGGATCTGCACATAGAAGAAGTCTCGGGGGCTGTTGGGGTGGGAGAATGGCTTCTCCAGCAGCTGAACGGCCGTCGCACGGGCTGGCGAAGACACGCTGCGGACACAAACAATGTCATGGGCATGGAACCGACCGACATGCTCTCCTGACTTTTCCTTCCTTACTCTTCTTACTTTTCCACAACGAGGCAACGGTCCCAGGCTGCAACAAGTGCATTACGCACGCACTCGTACGCATATATGCAACAAACATGTATGTGTGTTAAGCTACGTATCCTCACTTGTTTGCTGCAGTCGAGTGTTGGCTGCGTAGTGGAGGTGGCGTGCTGGCGCGGTGGAAGGAAACTGTGTATCAGCTCCTGCAACCGGTGTTTCCGCCATCTTCGACAATACGCTGCTCTGAGGATGAGAAGGGAGCGGAAGGGATTTCGTCCACACAGTCGAGACGCGGGGGCAGTGCGAGCTGCCCGCAGTCTCCCCCCGCGGTGCTTATCTCTCATGCAGATGATATACGACGACAAGTTCGAATGCGACGACATCTGGGAGTCCGAGGATGACATTATGATGGACATCGACATGCAAATGAGACAAGAGGTGGACGATTCCGCACCGCCGGAAGCCGACACGTCCACTGCCGCCCTGCTTGACGCCCTGAGCGAGGCAATGGATGAGTTTTCATCCATCATGGAGACCAATCGAGACGCCGACATCGCCCAAGTGACCGAGACCAGGCGGAAAATCGACCATCTACTGGACCCCGACACGAGTACGGCACCGATCTGCCCGCCAGAGGTGCTCACGGCTCTCACAGCGCTGCCCGAGCGGTCTGTGGACAGCATGGTGAGGGACATGGAGGCATTTGTCACCATCGGGAGAGACGAGGATGACATTGCTGACTGCAGAGAGGCCGCCGACACGCTGCGGCAGTATCGGGAGAGGCTCAAGACAATCGATGCGCAGAAGGCTGCAGCGATTGAGGACTCTAGGGGCAGGAAAGAAGGCGCTCGAATGCGCCCGGCTTCCGCAATCATTGCCAGAACACAGCCGCCGAACAGGGAGACACCAGAAGAGAAGCCCCAAACTGCTGCGAACTCCCCAGACATCGAACACAAGGCTGCAGAGCCAAAGGCAGCGCAAGCACAGGAGGCCCCGGCGGACCCCCCGTTATCGACTGAGGGATCAGATATGAAGGACGCATTGCCTTTATCGGATGACATTAGGCGCGACACGGCTGAAGAGGTGCCCAATGTCGCTGCCACGTGTTATGTGGAGCCGGCTGCAGGAGAGGATTTCCAAGCTGACTGCATGGCAGAAGCGGAAAGAGAGCGCCGAGAGGTGAGCGAGAAGGACACAGCAAGCACCACTTATTTGTATGCCTTTGTCTACACATGCACACAGGCCGAGACAGCCTTCAGAGCCCGTGTTGCAGCCATCGAGGCGGAGAAACAAAGGTGTGGCGGTGTACAAGGAACACAGAGGCAGATATTTTTCTTTTGGCAAGAATGCGCATTCCTTCGTGAATGCAGGATAGAGGAGGAGTGGCGTCGGCTGCGTGAGGAGACGGCCATGTGCTACGAAGAACGAGGACAGCTTGCGTTCGTCGCCTGGGAACGACAACAACAGAGGTGGGCAGCGCGAAATCAAGGATACAGTGACTGCTCTGGGAGAGCACAACAATGTGACCCCAACACCTATCTGCAGGGCCTCCCGGCGTTCGATGGAGAGGGAAGACGCCATGTCTTGGCTGATGCGTGCTGAGGAGCGATCCAGACAACGCGAGTGCACTGCCATGGCTGCACAAGAGATCTATAGCGAAGCCCTCAGACAACGTGAGCAATCCAGCAGAAAGAAACGAAGTCATCCATAAGACAGCACACACACATGGTGTGTCTTTGCAGAGCGACGCGCAGAAGAGGAGAAGCGTCATCGCCGGATGGGCTTGGCCACCCGCATCCAGTCCCTTTGGCGCGGATGGCGGCACGGCAGACAGGAGCTCAAGAAAAGGAAACACGAGCTGGCCATCGAGAAGGCCAGGGCAGCGGAAGAGGAGCGCCTAAAACGAGAGAGGGAAAATTCGGCTGCAGTGGCGATTCAGGCGGCTGTCAGAAGGTGTCTCGCCCGGCACGAGGTTTCTCGAAGGAGGAGAGACATGGCGAGGCGGCGAGGCATTGCTGCCACCGTCATCCAATCGGTGTGGCGCGCACAGAAGGCGAGAAGGCTCGTCGACGAGCTGCGGAGGAGGAAGGCCTGGCGGGACCGGCAAGTGGCCACACAGATCAATCGGACGCAGCACCGCTACCTTCGCACTACTTTTGCCCGCTGGCGCCACATATGCCGAGAGAAGGCGGCCGCAGTGGAGATCCAGCGGCACTGGCGGGGTTATGCTGTCCGCAGCGATGCTGCAATGCGGATCGCGTGGGCATACATACACTACTGGCGCGAGAAGGAGGGGAGGCGAGAGGCGGCGGAGTCTGCCGCAGGCTGTGTGCAGCGTTGTTGGCGAGGATGGCGAACGAGGAGTGCATTAAGACGGCGGGGTGTCGCCCTGCCATGTGACAGAAAGAGACGACTGGCTGCAGTCAAAATACAGGCAAGTCATGGCAGATACCTCCCTGTGAGTCCTCCACTTTTGTGTTGACTCCTTCTCTCTGGCACTACAGGCGGCTCACCGTGGTCACCAGCTGCGCCACCGACTCACTGCCGCCCTCGATCTGGCGGGCAGCATCGATTTGGACCCTTCATTCTTCTCGCTCATCGACGTCAACCCCTTCATCCACCCGCCACACGAATTCCTCAGAGAGCCATTCTCACTCGAGGTGCCGGCGCATGCGCACGAGATACTGGGTGACGGCTACCCCTCCCGCCCGTCGCCCAAGGCCCTGCTTGAGGCGGTGGCCAACGTCACGCGGGCTATGATGACTGAAGCAGGGGGTGCAGGAGGGCATGAAGGCGAGGCCATCACGGCGTGGGCCACACCGCCCGACACAGCTGCGTCGGACAAGCGGTCCCGACACAGAGCGTCGCCAGAGCCATCGTCGTCAAGCCACTCGCCGGTGTCTCAGCGTCTCTCCGCCAAGAGTGTCCGAGTGGCTGCAGTCCAGCAAGAGTGGGGATTCCAAAACGCCACGACCGCCAAGTCAGTCACTCAGTCAGTCAGCCAGTCCTTGTGGGAGATGGAAAGGACATCCACAAGCAAACAAAAGAGCCACGAGTGACACTGCGCCTTCCCTCTCTCTCTGTGTGTAGGGCGTGTGTTGCCGCAGGGCAGAGACAGAGAAGCAGCAACCATCAACAACGGCACGTGAAGCCCCTGCAGCGTCAGTTTGTGCGGTCGAGAGGCGTGAAGCGGGGCGATGGTCACGGCAGTGGCAGTGGCAGTGGCGGTGGGCGGCCGCCGAACGCCCAGGATGTGATCAGGGCGTGGAAGAGACAACAGGCCAGCCGTTCGGACGAAGCAGAAAACATGGAACTCGAGAGCATCCGCTAGATGTGATGTGTCTGTCACTTGGCGCTTCCAAGTATTTTGTTTGTGTCTGCATTGTATGTGGGTTGGGTGTGGGCGTGTCATTTCACTGGACTGACTTGACTGGTCGATTCGGTCGCTATTGACGACAGCATTCATTCATTCATTGATTGATTTTGTGTGTTTGTTTGCGTCCACGTGATGTAGGCAGGGTACCCTATCTATCGTGTCCATGCACACCGCACCCGAACGTGTGTTGGAGAAAAATACAACCACAGTATACGTGTATATCACAATGCATGTGCTGTGCCAATGCAGCCTGTGGGTCTGCCTGCCCAAGGAGTGCATCCTCCCCTTTTTCCCTTCATCCCTACTACCTCCCTCTCTCACTCTCTCGGTCTCCCTCGCTGTGTCTCTCAATTGGAGTCTCTCTCTCTCTCACTTGAAGAAAAAAGAAGAGCCAGCTACACACACGCCCCCTTCCACCCCGTACTCACACACGGTGCAGCTGCCTCTCATGCTTGCGCTCCAACAAGAAACTGCCGAGCGCAGATTGGTCGTCTGACTGCTCCTCGTCCCCTCCCCCCTCCGGCGGCTGAAGCAGCGAGTCTTCCTGCTGTGTCGCCTGCTGGTCGATCTCCGCCTGTTCTCTCAAACGAGACAGCTCGTTCTCCCGCTTGCGCAGCAACAGAGCATCGCCTAACACGGACGGAGAATCCCCCGCATCGGTCGAGTCATAGTCGTCCTCATCATGTTCTTCGGGCGACAGCAGCCGCTTCTGTGCTGGTGCTGCTGCCAGAGGGAGGGTTCCGACGGTGCTGCCGCGCATGCGCTCGAGGTGCTCGATCGACGGATGGAAAGGGATGTTGTAGTCGGTGTCTCGAGGCCGGTCCACCGCTCTTCCCACCATCGTGTCTTCGGGGTTCAGGAACGCGTCTTCGTTGTCTTCACGCAGCTCCTCCTCCAGGAGGTGGGCGGTCTTGCGCCGATGCAGGTCGGAGGCCGGTGCCGGCTCGTCACGGTGGCGCTGCACCTCATGCTTGCGCTCCAACAAGAAACTGCCGAGTGACGAGTCAGTCACGGACTGCCGCACAACAAGCTCCCCTTCCCCGCCTTCCTGTGCCAGCTGTCGTCGTTGGGCCTTGCTGAATGGCGAGGTGTCATCCTGGCTCACACTGGGCATCTCATCCGACGTGTCGCTCGGCAGCGGCGGGGCAGCGGCCGTCTCCAGCGCATCTGCCGGCTCCTGCCCGAGCATCCGCGCTGCCAGCTCCTGCCCGAGAACGCCCGTCGGCCTGTCGACGGCTTCGAACGATGGCTGGTAGGGCAGAGGCGGGACATTCCTCTCGGGTGCTGGTGCTGCTGGGACTACTGGTGCCGGAGGGGCATGTGAGTGCACCATATGGTCTCCTGTGTCTTCCAGGGGAAGGTCCGTGTGCGTCCTGCTTCGGGCGGACCGTTTGCGTTGGAGGAGGGCCGTGCCGAGCGGTGAAGAGTCGCCCTCCTCGTGATACTCGAGCTCGTCAGGGATGGTCTCCCCGGCAGGCACCGTGTCGGCCCGCGCCCGCTGCCACGTGTGCTTGCGCTGCAGGAGGGCCTCGCCCATGCGGGAAGAGGAATCCTCGTCATCGTACTCGATCGACGGGACGAAGGGGAGCGGAACTGACTCTGTGGACCGCGCCATCTGTGCCGACCTCTTCCGCTGCAGGAGGGCTGCACCGAGGGGGGAGGGACACTCGCCGTCTTGATCCACTGTCGTGAGCTCGGGCGCCGCCTGCTGGGTCGCTGTCGCTGCCCCAAGGTGGTGATGCATATGTCTCTTCCGCTCCACCAAAGCTTTCCCGAGCGGCGAATCGTCAGCCGTCTCCTCGTCTTCGATTCCGTTCTCAGGTGCCGGCGGGGCGCCATCGCCCTCGAGGGGCAATCTCAGGCGCTCCAGAATCATCAGCCGCTCACCAGGCGACGGTTTGCGCGGCTCTACTTCGGCCGTGCGGTCCTCGAAGTACTCGCTCTGTGTTTTGCGCATGATGTAGGACGGGTTGCGGACGCGCGTGAATGCATCCTCGGTGTCGCCCCCTTGCGTGAGTGTGAGGTCGTCTCCACGCCCAAAGGCTGCAGCCATTGTGGGGAGACGGCGGCAGAACTGGTTGGCTGCCTTTCGTCTGAGCAGGGCCGTGGCGAGGGGCGACTCGTCATCGGACGCTTCCACATCTAGCATCCTGAACACACATGCCGCATATAACATCACCCCTGAATGGGCGGATGGCCGAGAGTGTCTCTCTCACCCGCCGACGGGTATGGAGGCGATGCTGGGAGGCGGCGCCACCGCCCCCTCTTCCGTCGGTGATAGACCGGAGGGAGAGGGCTCTCTCAGGACCGGTCCCGACGGAGCTGAGGACACAGTGTCACGAGAGAGAATGCCACAGGCTTGTAGCTCCCCCATTGATCAGTTGCCGTACCGGTCACATGTGTTCTCTGCCGTACCTGTCAGCGTGGAACGACTGCAACACTGCACGTGCAGCTTGGGGAACCGGTCTCTCAGGTGGTGGTCACTCGGGAACGAGGGGGGATCAGCCGACGAAGACTGCTGTCCATCACTCGCACCGTGATGCTTTTCGTCCCATAGTTCCATCCTCTTCTTGTCAGACATCTTACGGGAATGAGAATCGGTCGAACCGGCTGATGGCCCAGGGCTTTGGGACAGCTTCTTAGTGGAATGATGACAAGGTGAATGACAGCACACACAATGGTTCTGTAGCCGATGGGAACAACTTGAAGGGGCGTTTTGTCGTGGGGGGTGTGTGGGGGCGCAGTCTCGGGGGGGATCTTTCAAGGATCTTTTGATGACTGCGCTTTCGTTGCACACTGTACAGGCCTCCACTTATCCACAAGAGGCACATCAGCGCCTCTTTTGGTTGTCAGGACACGCTCGCAGATACCGAGTACCGAGAGTATCCAAACACAAATACATGGCCGGGCTGCAGGACATGCACACGCGAATCGTCGGTCCTGCCAGCCGCTGCCGCCCGTCTGTGGTGAAGACAGACAGCGAGACAGGGAGACACGTCTATCGTTCGCTCGTTTCCTTCTACATGGATGCGATTGCTGTGTCGCCGTGCTTCTTGCGTTCGCCCGTCGACCGCCGTCTACGGCCGCACGCAAGAAGCACGGCGACAGCTGTTGAGATCTACAAGCGGCCTTCAGTAGCTGGCATACACGTCAGCCCCGCCCCTCCTTGCATCCGTCCACTGCCCCACCGCACCAGCATAGCCCTCACCGGACACAGGCGCAGTATGTGGGATCGGCTGCTGCTGCTGCTGCTGAATGGGCGGGCCAATGGGCGACTTGCCAGGGGGCGGGGCGAACATGTCGGGGCTGTCCGAGGGGCCCTCGGCTGCATAGCGGTCTGTCGGTACGCAGCCAGAAGATCAGAAAAACCATTTATGCGTGGGCGTGTGTGTGTGTGTGTGTGTGTGGATGAAGGTATGCAACACTCTCTCGTTGGTACCTGCGAGAAGGAGTCGCTGTTTTTCTGGGTCAAGGAGGGCACTCTTGGCAACGAACGCTGATATCTCAGTAGCCTGGATATGCTCGGCAACAGACCACACTGACGGATGGATGGATGGACACATACACAGCACACAAACAATGGAAATATCCATTGTGCAGTGCGTGGTGTGGTGGTCACCCACCTGTCCATATGGCGTATATCCAGAACGAGTTGATAAGGATGTCGACGAGGAACATCCCCAGCCCCAGCAGCCCACACACTGCACCCTCCTGCCCACCCGTATCCTTAATCGACTCTGCACCACACACAAATGTGTCTTCGAACTCAAGTGTGTCAGTTATTTGCACCATATGCTCACTCACCTGGCACGAGCACGCAGAGGCCCGCCCCTTGTGCGAAGACGAACAAGTGGCAAAGGGCCTGCGCGGCCCAGCCGATGAGCAGATAGTAGTAGTAGAGGCGGACGTGCCAATATACACCATAGTAGGCGCCCCACACGCCAGCTATCACCACCGTAATGCCCACAAGGGACCACGCCGCCACTGGAAGAGAAAGAAAAGAGAGAGAGGGAGAGAGGGAGCATGTCTGCAGTGCATCCGTCATGCGTCATGTTATGTTGTGTGTGTCGTCCATCTATCCGTCCGTACGCACGTGCGAGTTGAATGCTGGGTGGCAGGGGGATGTCGAAGAAAAGGATCTTGTCCCTGTTAGACATGAGCGATATCACCGTGATGCTGTACAGGAGGTTGATCAGACCGACAATCGCCACCTGCACACGCATACACAACACGCTCGTCCATCCATCCATCCATTCGCTGATGCATCCATCCCCCTTTGCTCGCCCCGAGTATGAGATTGATGCCGCAGAAGCGCTTGAGCAGCGGCAGCTTGAAGCCTGCGCCTTCATCATCAAGGCCCACCTTGGCGGGCCTTCGCCTCATCGTGGCGCAGGTCGTGGGTTTGAGCCAAACGTAAACGCGATCTCTATTAATTCCGAGCCTTGTGTTCTAGACCCGCGGCGTTGTCTGTAATCGTTTTTGACGTCGCAGTGGCGCGATGATGCATCTGACGTCGGCCATTCTCCTATCAATAATCGGATTCCTCGTTATCGTGTGGCCTCTCCAGGCAACACAGCGCACCCATGGCCGAGGTAAGCCACATGGACGTACACACGCTCCGAACTGACCATGCACCATGGCAGATGCCCAAAATGCGCGATTTTGGTCTCCTTTTGTCCACACGAACGGCCGTGTGGCCAACGATGTTTGCCTACAGAGCTGTGGGTGGGCGAGGAGAGCTACGATGCCGACTGCGAGGGCACGGACTGCAATATCGACATGCACGGTGGGCGGATATACCTGAGATCTATGCATGTGAGGCTCCGTCTTTTGTCCGCCCGCCGTGTGCAGGTGCGTCGTTTGTCGGCCGTGGTCAGGAGATCCAGGCGGAGATCCAGGCCGCTAAGCTTGTCGACCATCCGAGCCGCAAGAAAGGAACCAAGATAATATCCATCGAGATCCGTCGGCTGAAGCTGCCCTTCAACAATGCCTACGTCATGAGCACACGCGCAATGACGCACACACATTTGGTCATTGTGCGAGTGCACACGTCTGACGGACTGGTCGGCATCGGCGAGGCATGCCCGTATCCCACAAAGTAAGGGATAGATGATGTGCTGCAGGCAGACGAGAAGATCTCTTGACACGCAGTGACAGAACCATGTTGCGCAGTGACAGAACCATGTTGTTTCTTTCTTTCTGGATGTACGTGTATGTCGACGGCCGCGGAGGTGAGCTCTTTCATATCCTTCTCGTGAACTACGATGCGGTGGGTCTTGTGTGTGACGTCAGACACATACGACAGCTCAAACACCTGGCCAGCACGAGCAAGACGACGCATCGACTCCACACCAACACTGAACACCCACACAGCACACCCGCCCTCACACACGCGAATCAAACATCCATCCGTATTGTGTGGTTCCCATGTGTCACCTATACGCGATGTCCGTCGTCGCAGAGCGCTGGCCGTGCGCCCGCTCGGAGAAGTGTGTGCGCACAGGTGGAGAAGGGTGGTAAGGAGGTGGCGGCGGAGCCTCATGGTGGACCCTACCCACAACATTCCCGCAGCACAACACGGCACGACACGACACAATGGACACAGGTGCCACTCAGTCTGTCAGTGAGTGCTTTGCCCCGGCTTACGGTGTCACAATGGGCGTCTTTCCATTCAGCATGACGAAGGCGGTGCAAAACAAGAGGAACACCGAAACCGAGAGGAAGCCGAACAGCAACACGAGAGCTGTCGCCGCGACCAGGAAAACTGAACACCACAACACGGCCATGACGCGACAAACACAAAGAAGACGAGGCTGTGCAAGGTTCCTGTGGTCATACCGCTGTAGCAGCAGATTCCTGCCACATCCCACACGTTCTTCCCGCTGCGGGCCACACGCCCAAGTAGTCAGTCAGTAGTCGCTTCTCCCCCGCCTTCATCTCCTTCATCTCCTTCATCTCCGTGCCCTCCTTGCCCTCCGTGCCCTCCTTGGAGATCTTCAAGGAGATCTCCTTGGTCGTGTGAGTGCGGCCAGCTGCGGTGGGCGCGGGAGCCTCCTCGTCGAAGGCGGGGTAGGTGGAGTCGCCACAGGGCGGGGAAGCCTTCGCGTCAGCCTTCTTCTTGAACATGGATGGCCCAGCAATGCCTCAGTCGTACTCAATTGGGTGAAAGCAGTGCCTTGTTTGCCAGAGAAGGGCACCCCACAACGATGGAGGACAAATGCGCCACGAAGCTTACGGGGGAAAGCGCCGACTCTCTCTACTTCGGCCAGCTCGTCAATTCTCGCCAAAGCTCGCCTTTTTGTCCGGGCGTCCTTGGATACGACAGGCTTGTCTGATGCATCAAAGCTTCGACGATGGGTCTGCCTCGGCGTCGGTGCCTCTCCGACTGAAAGCTGTGCGAGTTCAAGAGGCGGAATGCCGATTTCTGTGAGCGTCTGACGTGGCGCAGAGAGATGCGCTTGGAGCTGAAGACGAAGCTTGCCATCAGTGCTCTCAGCCATCACAAGGAGGCCTACGCCTTGCAGTGCATCAGCGAACTCCACAACCACAACGCGCTTGACCGGACCAAGCACTTCTTCAACCTCGCATGGTTCGCCGCCTGTTACCTCAACACCCGACAGCCAGGCGACAAGTCAGCCCTCCTCTACTTCAAGCAGCACGTCCTCAGCGGAATCAAGGCCGTCCTCGCAAAGTCATGCAACCAGGACGGCAGCAGCAGCGTGGATGCCGGGCGGTCCGCGGATGACATCTCGCAGCTGCTCGTCACGGCTGAGACCTTCATTGCCATCGGAGTACGTGAGTGTGCCTGGTCATACATAGTGGAGCTGCTCCATGTGTCAGACGGCGGCACGGGGCGGCTGTCACCGCCGATGATTCAGCTCATCGCCGTCACATCCGGCCACCTGATCCACCGCATCCAGCGTCGACTGGCCAGCAAGGACTATGACGGTGCTATTGCCGCGTGCCGCCAGGCCATCCAGCACGTGTATGAGCCTTTGCTGGCACACATCCATCACGTCAGTGTGGCGGCCGGGGAGGCGGGTGCGGGTGGTGATGCGGGTGGTGCAGTGGTGGCGTGGCATTATGTGTCGTGTGTGCTGCTGGAGGCGTATGTGCACTGCTTCGGTCGGCGTGACTACCGTGGGAGCATGGCTGAGGCGGCTCTGGCCAGGGTGCGGGAGCAGCGGCACTGGTGGGAGAGAGGGGGGGAGGGGCAGGCCAAGTCGCCGTGGAGCAAGGCCCAATGTGGTTGGTGCAGGTAAGTAAGGTACACAGGCATCGCATTGAGGGAGGGGATACATGGGGCCGACTCAATGGTATGTGTGTGTGTTGGTGTTTGTTCAGGTGTGTGTATGTGTGCATTCAGCTGACGTGTCTGCTGTGGCGCGAGGGCAACCCGTACGTCACCAAGCAGCCGTCGGTGGAGGAGGACGTCAGGGCGGCGCTGCAGGACATCAGGGACATGATCGAGTGGCTGGAGGCACTCCTGCAAAAACCCAACCACACACTCGTCCCCGCACAGTGGTTGGTGCACACGCACACACCAACACAACACCGTCAATGAATCGGAATAGGAGCACGTGACGTGTCATTGTTTCTCTTCATCGCTCAGGCTGACGCCGGTAGAGTTGTATCTGCACACGATTGACGCGTATACGGTCGGCCTGGCCAACTGCCCGCACAAGAACGACGTCAAGAAAGAGCCCGTGCGCACCATTGTCGACTTCGGGACGCTACAAGCCAAGAAGGTGAGGCTCACAGATAACGACTCCGCGGCCCGGAGTGGGGAATGATGTGACCGGCTTCCTTCCTTGTGTCAGGTTGCGGCTTTGATGAGGCATCACACCTTCTCGCTGAGCGTCCATCGGCTGGCGTGGCGGATCATCGTGCACGGGTAAAATACATACCAGCAAGCAGAGCAGACAGAGCAGACAGAGAAGACACACAAACCCTGCACAGCACAACATCCCCCCTCCTCACACCCTGTGTGCATATATTCAGCATCCAGGTGTCGTTCGTGCTGTACCCTACGGCCCCTGTTACGTTGGAGCTGCTGCAAGAGGCCTGCCAGGTGCTGACGCGGTGGCAGACACAGCTGCCGCCATGCACCAAGGACAAGGGGCTGGACGAGGCGGCCTTCCTCTTCTACCTGTGCTGCGGCATGGACCTGCGGGCCTACACACTGTGGGCGGCCGTCGAGTGTGGTGTGGTCGACAGACCGTTTGTGCGACAGGCCAGGAACAGCCTGCTCAAGGTCAGATACAGAGAGAGAAGAGGCGGGAATATATGCTCTGCTGCTGTGACGTGACAGATCAGATAGATGTATGGGTGTCCCTTGTGTGTTCAGTCGGTATCCGAGTTGTCTCAGTTGAGGCCCACATGCGGCCTGCCGCAGCCAGATGGCGGTGGGGCACCCGGCCAGACAGACCTCGCAGGGCCGGAGATGCTATTCTACCTCTCCTCACTGTAACCACACACACACACAACACACACACACACACAGACACACCCATAACACTCGCAGTCGTTCCCTGTCCCTGTATGTGCGCTGTTTTGTTCGATGGATCAGGTGCATGGCTGACGGGGCGCTGCTGTCGCACCTGCTGCCCCCCAACGTGCCCGAGCGCTCCCCGCCCAACATCCCCTCGGTGCTGTCCCACCCCCTGTGGCAGTCCCTCTACCGCACCCTGCTGCTCATCGACCCACATCCGGCCACCGCCATCAGGCAGACCCTCGACGACGCCCACAGGGCCATGGGCAGCCGGTCGCCGCTGGAGGGATGTGCGTCGATGGAGCAGCGCATCCCGTGGAACGAGCTGGAACCCTTCAGTGTGACGGCCAACATGGGAATGGCGCACGGACGATTCGCGGCGGGACTGGTGGGCTCGACAGACACGCAGCGGCACGAGAGAGAGCTCACGTGGGTGCGCCTCGCGTGTGTGTGTGCAGGTGTTGGCTCAGTGTGAGGTGCTTCTGGCCGAGGCGCTGGCCGGCCGGTCATTGTCTCTAGACGTGCCGGACAGGCCCAGTCCCGGTTCAGGCTCCCCTGCTGCCGACACAGCCGCCAGTCAGACGCACGGTGGCGGGTCGCTGTATCGCAGCGGCGACGACCTGTCGGCCTTCTACCACTGGCTGTACTCGAATGGAAAGGCACTGCTGCAGACAAACCTCAAAGTGAATGAAGCAGACGGACAGAGACTGGAGAAGGGGCGGGGTGCAGGTGGGTGTGGCGTATGTCTGTCTGTCCGCTGTGCGTGTGAAGGATGCCAATGGGAGCAGATACCGTGACGTGATCGGCCCCTACATCAACGCACTCACGAGGGTCTTCATCGGCAAGAAACGGGTGAGCTCAGCGACTTGTGTGTGTGTGTGTGTGTGTGTGTGAGTGATGGGCTGGGCTGCACCGATCCCTTGTGTGTCTATGTCTGTCTGTCAGTTCGAGACCATCATAGTGTCGGCCAAGCAGCTCGCGCAGGAGTTCTCCAACGACAGACATGAACTACTCGCAACCATCGTCGAACACACACATGTAGGAAGGAGACCCCGGCACACTCTGTCCATCGTCCATCTCTGCCGTGCATGTCGATTCGGTGGTGTGCAGCTGCAAACGTCCGAGCAGACGGAGCACACCCCCGTGGCCCTCAAGGCCTGTCAAGAGGAGCACGCCGCCGCCCGCGAAAGGCTCGACGCCGCCCGCCACGCCCTCATCGCCTCGCCATCATTCGCCATTTTGGAGCGCATCGGCTCACATCACCTCCCCTCCCCCCTCAAGAACCTCGCCCCAGCGAGACACACGCCAGAGACGAGGAAAGACGGGAGCCACCAGCCAGCAGCAGAGACGAATGCCGCCATGGCGCCGGTGCCTGACCCTGAGGCATCCGCTGCGAGCAGCCGGACGGGCGTAAAGCGGCCGCTTGAGCCCGACAGGGAGAGGGAGGGAGCCGATGGAGGGGGGGAGGTGGTGCGGTACGGTTCAGAGGGAGAGGGAGAGGTAGGGGCGGCGGGGAGGGGTGGCAATGGTGTTGGTGGTCGTGGAATTGGTGCCATGTTGGCGTCGGTTCCCGTGTACAGCAAAGGAGAAGGATGGATAGCCAAGAAGAGGAGCAGGGGGGAGGGAGAGGGGGGAGTGTAGGTAGATTGGCCCATGGTGGTCACGTCAGGTGTAGCGTAGCCGTGTTTGCCCTGCAGCCGAGCCGTGTCCAGATGGATATGGACAGACGGACTATTTGTTAGTTAGCCACTGTCTCCCTCCCTCCTCCCTCAGTCTTGTCGTCTCTGTCTCGTTGTTCTCCAAATGCACGGGCCCCATCATCCCGTCACACCCCCACCAGACCCCCCACCACCCACCCCCACGAGCCAAAAACGAGTATGTACCTGCTGTCTCGACGTAAAAGGATAGCGGAAGAGCTAGGCACGCTCGCTCGTTTGTGGCTGTGACCGTCAAGAAACAAACAACAGCGACACGCAAACCAATGCACGCAACACGACACATCACGACACACACGCGAGGGAGCCGACACGACGCCCCACGCTCACCTATCGCCTAGCGCGACGGAGAAAGTGCGATACACGTATTTACAGGAAGGGAGTGCGATTGTGACAAGGAGAGAGGGAGAGAGGGAGCAAGGGAGAGAGGAGACACACATCATGTAGACAGACAAATGTCCCACAGTAAGCAAATACGTATAATGGCGCAGGCAGCCAGCAGTGAATGGCACGGCACGGCACGCATGTTGGGAAGGAATGGCCGCATCGTTGCATGCTGGTACATGCTCTCGCCCCACCCACCAGACATGACAAGACAGCAACCACGCACCGGACGGACGGACGGACGGCAGCAAGTTCCTTCCTGGCTTAAAGAGCGTTCGTCCCATCAGGCTGCCATCCATCCATCCATCCATCCAGCCAGCCAGCCATCAGCTATCGCCTAGCCTAGTATCTACTTCCTTCCCTGTCCCTAACTTGCGCACACAACCAAAACCAATTACCAAACTCACCCACACCCGTCCATGCCATGGATTCGATTCACGCATCTCCCCGTCCCTCCTCATCATCTTGAAAAAGCGGTCAGCTCAGCTCGCTCTGCTTATCCGTCGCGACGTTGCTCGCAAGATTCAGGGGCCCAGCAGTGACAGGGGCCCGGCTGTGTCTGACGAGCCACATCTGAACGACCGAGTGAGTGTGGCTGAGGAGGCATGACAACGAGCAGGGTCAGCCTGACACGCTCAGCATCCGGGAGGGGGGTAGAAGCAGCACAGAGGGTCGCCGGGACCTGCAGACACACATCACATCAATCAACACACACAGAAGACAGGTATGCCATCACGAGAACAGACCGTCAGGCAGCCTTATCGTCTCGTGTTGTTCTCACCGCCAAAGCATGGCGGGAAGCACCGCTTCTTCCACTTCTTAGGGTCGCATGTGACGATCACTTGGCTGACGGGCGCAGGGGGACCGGCAGCGGGGTAGCCTCCCTCCTTGTAATGGTCGTGGGGAGCGGCAGCTGACGGCCCAGCGGCAGGGTAGTAGTTGGCAGGCTGGTAGGCGACCCCATACGTGTGGTAAGAGTCGACGTGCTTGAACGGCACCCCGCCGGCACCATACTGCAGCTCGCGCTCAGCTGCTTCTTCTGTGAGCTGCCGGACCCCGCCTTCAGCATCAGCACTAGGATCAGCATCAACATCAGCATCCGGGTCGGCATCGAGTCCCGGTGCCTCGGTCACCGACGAATCGGTGTTGACACCGGTGATGGGCTCGAGGTACTGGTTGACCTCATCCACGGTGTCTTGGACGTTCTGCTGGACGTCCTCGATGGCGTCCGACACGGCCTGGGAAGCCTCAGCTTGGACAGAGTCGACGGCCTCAGCAGCCTCCTGTTGAATCGTCTCGACAACAGAGGGCTGCGCCTCCGTCGTCTCCACAGGATCCGCCACACCACCGGGGTCGGCGGCCGCAGAGTCGGCCACATCAGGCGCAGGCTGTGCTTCAGCATCTTGGGCTGCTGCTGGGGTGAAGGCGAGGCATGCTGCTGCCAGGAGGAGTAGAAGTGGCTGGGCACGCATGGTGGTCGGTGCCGGGAGGAAGGCTTGAGAGGAAGGCTTGAGAGGCGAGAAGGATCAAGGCCAAGATATGCGATGGTGCGATAACAGACGAGAATACAAGATCAGTGCGATAGAGATCCAGACGGACCGCACGGGCCAGACGGAGAGAAAACAGGAAAAGTGTACATGGCGATGAGTCTGAGACGACTCGGGATGCGAGCTTGAGCTTGCAAAACCGGCGGCAGAGAATGAAGGCGAGTATCATCCCTGCGTCGCTGCGGTTCATCTGTTCAGCCGCCTGGCTGATACAAACAATCACAAGCGTTGGAATAAGGTCTGCGGGATCTCGCAGCTCCCAGCTCTGTCCGTCCCAGCTGCCAGCTTGTGCTCACAGCGATGCGGCCTCGTCACGGCGAGGGCTGCAGAGAGGACCATTTGCGGCGAGAGATGCTTTTGCGGCACCGCCGACACACACACATTTGGTGAGGAGATGTCCCGTGCAGATGTGGTCTGCCTGGTTTGGAGCACTGCATATACACTGTGGGCGTGGTCGCCTGTGTGTCTGCTTTGTTTGTTGTATGTGTGTGTGCAGGTGCGTACGCTGATAGGTGTGTTCGGCCGCATCTCTGAGCATGCCGCTGCGGGTTCGGGTGAGGCCTTCTCAACGTGGGTGTCGCTGCCTGACCGCCCGCTGCCCCGGTGGGATGCCTACCTCTTCGACGGCGGCCTCGACGCCATCAAGTACCCAACCTTTGAGAGCAATCTCAACGACCTCAAGTTCAAGTGGCCTCTCAACCGAGCGGGCGGGCCGCTGCTCCAGACACACGAGGTCTACACCGAGCTCAGGAGTGAGTTCCCCGACATCAAGAGCCCCGTCGAGATCCGCAGGCGGATCAACGAGGCCCTCACAGCCGCTCCCCTGGACCCCGACATCGTCCGGCGCGTCTTTCGGTTCTTCTCTGACGGCTCCGACACGGTCTGCACTCGGGATGCGTTTGTGGCCAGGCTGGTGCAGCACGCCAAGAATGAGGACGACATTTGCACGGGGGTGAAGCCCTACTTCCTCGTCAACGTGGGGGACGTCCTCGACTGGGAGATTTTCTATGACATGATCATGAACTCGAAAGAATTTGCCGACCTCCGGGACCTGCCGAGGGCGGGCGAGGCGGAGGCAAAGGCAGCAGCAAAGAGGCGGGGGGAGGAGAGGGAGGTGGGGGAGAAGGAGAGGCCGCCGGCAGCGGTGAAGGAGGAGAAAGCCGTGGAGGTGGAGATGGACTATGCGTCATGACACTGTCTGTCTGTCTGTCTGTCTGCCTCCGTACATGGTGTGCTGATTGAAACCGTTGTGGGTGGCTAGGTTAGGTAGAGATGAGGGCAGGGCGATGAGAGCCGAGCCATGAGTCTATCAATCTATAGTGGGTAGGTAGGTGGGTGGGTGGGTGGGTAGAGCTTTGTGCCCTGAGTGAGTGATGGGTGATGTGGTGTGTGTGTGGTGTGGTGTGGGTGTGGTTCTCTGACCGACTATTTTTCTCTCCTGACACTGTTAATGCTCATTGCCTTCGCCGAAGCCTCCTGAGAGGGCCTCCACTATGAATGAAGTAGAGTACGCCGTAGACACGAATCCATTTGACTGGTAGCCACACACGAATCCACTTAGCTGATACCCACTCCACACACACATACACACACACACCCACACACGCCCTCAATTGCCAGTAGGTAGGTTAATAGGCGAGTGAGTCAAGTCAAGTGGACTGACTAAGAAAACGATCTCACGACGGCGGGATGGATGAATGAATGCATGCTATGTGTGCTGCACAAGTACCAGCCAGTACACAGACAGCTGTGGCAGCCACATCAGCCATCCACCCAATAAGCCGCCATACGTCACGCGTAGGTAGGTAGGTAGGTTACCACACTGTACCAACCACACCAGTCAGTATGATGTTTACATATGTAGTCACTCATCTGTACAAGCAGCACATCTGCCAGACACCCACCATCCGATCCACACATAACATGCATCCCACGCATGACACGCGCACACACACACACACAACAAGAACACGCATATCGCTCACCGAGTCCTTCGATCCGTCCGTCCGTCCGCCCGCCGTTTTTCTGTCCGTCTGTCTGTCAGACTGTCTCGCTAAGCCATCACATAATCCAACTCGGGCCCGTGAATGAACACGCTGCGTTATGCACACACACACACACACACACGCGCATGCTCACACACGGACAAGGAAGGGAGCAATAGCGGCAGGAAGGTCGGATGGATGGATCGGTCCTCAGGCAAAGCATCACAACAAAAGAGGCAGCAAGTAAAGAAACGAGTGAGTGAGCGAGTCCATCGGTAGGTGGAGGGAGCATGACGCAAAAACGAGTGATGGTCAGTTCGTTCTTTCTGTACGCACACTAATACGTTGGTCGGCTGGCTGGCTGCCTAAGCAGGCAGGCAGGCAGAACAGATTCTCCTGTCGGTCCTTGTCGCTGCTATACACGAGGGGGGGACACGACTGTCGAGTTGCCGGGGCGATCTGTCGACAGACAGATCGATGACGTGAGCGTTGTTGCGTTGCTTGCAAGCGTTGGTTTCAGGTTAGGTAGGTGGTCCTGGCAGCCCACCTAGGGCCACCGGGCGGCAAGGCCAGGCCGGTTAGGCCTGTAAGAGGGGCGGCTTCCGGATGCTACCGCCGCTATACCACCACCTACACACATCAATCACATTCATTACACACCCATGCAGTGCAGCATCCGTCTGCTGTCCAAGTGGTCTTTGTGGTTGGGGCTCACTGACTGACCTCTTGGCCGCCTGCATGAGTGACGGATGCCCATGGTGGTGGCCATGATCGTCCTCCTCCCCTTCGCTGAGATGACCATGGCCCGACCTCACGCCACTCTCGACATCTCCTTCCGGCCCCAGCAGCATCTCGCCGCCTCCTGCCGTCGCCTTTTCCCTCCTCCTCGCGTGGTGGAGCTGGTCTGCATCCGACGTGACCATTTCGTCGAGGTGGCTGTGAGTGTGGGTGTGATAGGCGTGGGGGTGGGGCAGGGGGTGGGGGAGGGTGGTGAGGTCGCTGGGGGGCTGGATGAGGGGGAGGGGGGACGACTGCCGCCACACCTGCCCGCCGGCCGCATCGCCAGGCAGCTGCACATAACAAACACAGGACAAGACACGCAAAACAGATCGTCTGTATGCGTCTTCTGTGTGAGTGTGTGTGTGTGTGTGTGTGCTACCATACCATGGGGCTGGGGGTCCTCGACATTCGTATCGGTTCCAACGGAGGTGCCACATGGGGTGCATCACCCCTGCCCGTGTGGACGGTCAGGCCACCGCTAATATGGGCAATCTCCTGCGGCTGAAGCACAGGCGTCGGGACGCGCACCACCAGAGACGACCACGAGCCAACAGCCGCCATGGATGAAGACGCCTCTGCGTTCCTCGGCGGGCCGCTCTCCGCCGTCCCGGGGGAGCTGCCGCCTGAGGTGGTGCTTGACGCAGCCGAGTCGGGCAGCCGCAGGGGCTGCATCGACGACTCCTTGGTCTGCTGGGGTGGGGGGACGGCGTGGTGCGACGGTGAAATGGGCAGACAGTGCACCTGCTGCTCGAGCTGATTGACCGTGGCAGGGTCGTCCAGCCCCGGATTGTTGAGGAACCGAGAGCCCTTGCTGACGACGAGGGAGTCGTCTGCGGCGCCTCTGGGGCCGCGCATGGCCATGTGATGGTGGTGTGAGAGCTCGAGAGAGGGGAGGGGGTGCTGGTGGAGAGAGAGGGGCGGCATGGTGCCTTTGATGGGGTGGTCGGCTGTCGCTGGGAGGGGTAGGGAGAGGTCGGGTGCCGGCCCGATGTCGGCCACGTCCACCTCGGCCCTGCTCTTGATGTCGGGGGTCGACACCGACCGCAGGATGGTCTTCTTCTCTTTCTTCTGAGAGTGCTTCCATATCTGAGGGAGGAACGACATCCACACACACACACACACACACACACGTGTCTGGTCTGCCCGTACTCCTGTGCGCGTCTCTCTCTGGGGCGTTTTCTCACTCACTCACCACGGCCACGAAGATGGAGGCGACGGCCGCCCACTGCGACATGGCGAGAGAGGTGTTGAACCAGGCCACCGACACCAGCACCATGAAGAGCTTGCGTGTGGTGGTGATGAGCGTCGTGGGCAGCACCCCCAAACGCCGCACGCCCACGAACGACGCGAACTGCCCGAGTGCGCCGCATACGCAAAAGATGAGTACGTCTGCGTTGATGTCGGGGTAGCGCGCCATGAACTGCAGGGGGGCCGACACACCCTCTACCACCACCATGCCGCCAACTGACAGAGAGAAGGGGGAAATGGGCATGGTACACGAGGGAGCTGGTCGGTCAGTGTGTTCGTCTGCCTGTCGTGGTTGGTTCAGTGTTTACTCGCGAATACGATTGAGAATCCGTTGAGGACGCACATCATCTCGTAGGACGTGAACCGGAACTGACGCGACAACACATCCTGCCTGAACGACCAACAAACACAGAGAGAACATGGGCAGCGGGCTTCCTGTGCTCTGCGCTCAGCGGATCGCAAGCAAGGCGTACCGTGATCCCGTCATCCCATCGCACGTCAACGAGAAGAGCAGCATCAGATTACCCCACAGAGTGTTGACAGCCTGCACACACACACGCGCGCGCACCTCAGATGCCAAGTGAGGTGAGCCTCCCGATGTCCGTCCATTCGCTGCTTGCTCGCCCCCCCCACATTGTTTTCAGCGGCTTTGATGTTGGCCAGGTTGAATATGACGAGTGAGCCGACGATCCAGAAGGCGTTGACGACCTCGCTGGTGCTGTACCGACGCTTGAAGTGGAGGAACCCCAATATCACTATCGACACCTGCACTCGACAGACAGACAAGACAGACACACGTCGTTCCTATCGCCCACACAGCAGGAGAGTGCAAAGGAGTGGAGGGTTCCCTGCCTGCCGTCTGTCCTGCCTGCCTGCCTACCTACCGGTTTGGCGCACTTGGCCAGTGCTTGTGTGGGGTAGTCCACCAGCGTCAGGGCATGGTACCCACTCACCTTGCCCAGCACACTCGTCAGCGAACAGTAAAAGATCTCTATCAAAACCACCACACCAATCGACACATATCATCCATGTGAGCATCGAGTCGCTCGCTCACCGAGGAAGACGACTCGGTTGAGGACGGCCTTTGTGCAGAGGTGCTGTGTGGCACGGTGCCACGAGAACCGCTTCCGCACCAGGATGATGCCGAAGGAGAGCACGAAGTTGGCCATCGATGACACCAGCAGCAGGAAGTTGCTGTAGCGGAACTTGTCGTGCCCTGCAGACAGACAGACAGACAGACCACCAACACACACACAACACACACAACACAGTCACCAACGCACAACACAACCAGCACATGGCGTTTGCTGTGTGTTGCTCACCTGTGCCATATTGATATATCTTCTGCTGCGAAAGGCCTGCAATGACACACACACACCCGAATACACACAGAGCGTCGTCCTCTCCCGTAGCACACCCCTCCCCTCTCCTCTCCTCACCGAAGGCAAAGAAGAAGGTGTAAATGGCGAGAGTGATTGAGGCCGACTCCGCAAGGGTGGCAGCTGAGGTGTGTTCCAGGACGTACGAGGCGCTCCTCACGAGCTTGACCACTCTGCTTGCACCCCGCTTCAGAGCGGGAGCACCAGACATGGCGGCAATAATGGTGGTCCACGTACTAGGTCAAAATCCGCACAGCACCATCATTCTCTCATTCTTACGTGTTGTGTGACTTGGATCCACATGCGAGCCTGCGAGCTCAAATTGGGGAGTTAGGGCGTGATTGTTTAACGAAACCCTGATCGCGGGTGGCCTTTCGAGAAGAGGAGTGGGAACAGTAAGGGCATACCAGAGAGCTATGCGTATTCCCCACGATTCGTCAACAATTACTGAATTTTGAGGCGATTTTGCCGACCCCGATCCGAGTGGAGTGAGCTCGCATCGGCTGGCGGATGGTGTACGATGTTAACTGGGTTACTAGATCGTGTATGGCCGCGCCGGAGCACCCGAGCTCACCCCCAGCCGGCCGAGGGCACTTCCCCTTCCGTTTCTGAGCCGCTCCGACTGCCCATCACCTCTTCGTCATCTTCACGCCGCCACCAGGGGGCGTCGAGCAACCCCAGTAGCATGGGGGAGCCGTCATCCAAGAAACAGAGGCTCGAAGGTCGCGTCGGCACCCGCTCGCTGCGCGTCAACGCCCTCTCTAGCGTCTTCTTCCACCCCTGCGAGTGCCTAGACGACTATCGCAAGCCGCCGGTGACCTTCTCGCCCTCCTTCGCCCACCACTTCTTCGACACCGACCAGGTCATTATGGGGTTCGAGGAGCTCGCAGTCCGCATCTACTACATCCCGGACACTTTCGACCTGTTCGTGAAGGTGGAGGGCGAGAGCCCGTCCTTCCAGGCCTCCCGCGAGCGCGTCATGGCCTGCCTCACCAACGTGGCCTTCCCGGGCGGGTTCTGCCCTTCGGAGCATGACTTCGTGGCCAAGCTCGAGTGTCGGACGACCCGTGGGTGGCCATTCCTGCCGCCAGGGGAGCGGGTGGGGGTGTTGGGGCACACGGCGGGGGCGGGGGACGAGCAGATCGAGGTGAGACGGTGCACCTTCGACGATAGCGAGTTCAAGTCGCTCCACCGGCGGATGGAGTGGTTCCTGCACTGGTTCATCGACGGCATCTCGGAGATCGACCAGGATGAGCGGTGGCACGTGTACGTCGCCTACAAGCGGCCCCTGACGTCGCCTGGCGGCGTCGACTACCCGTCCCACAGCCGCAAGCTGAGACCCCGTGCGTCGAGCGGGCGGCCGGGGTGCCTGAGCCTCTGCGGGTTTGCCACCACCTACACCTTCTGGAGCCTCCCGAGCAGCCGCCGCCGCCTCTCGCAGTTCCTCATCTTCCCGCACTATCAGAGAAAAGGTCAGTCAGTGCGATGCACTCACTGCACGGAGACGGGGATGGGAGAGCGGCATTGTGTTGTGTTGTGTTGTGTGTGCAGGAGTTGGTATGGAGTTGTTGCAGCTGATCTATCAGCAGACCCTGGACGATCCCGACGTCGGGCAGGTAACACCAACCCACAGAGCGCAACACCACCACACCATGAGACACGTCTTTCCCCCTCGCCCTCCCCCTCCCTCCCCTCCCCGTCCCTCTGTGCTGTGTGTGTGATCCATCCATCCACCAGATGGGCGTCGAAGACCCTGCCCCGGCGTTCGTCCAGCTGCGTGACGTCGTTACGGTCAAGCTAGCCATCGATCGCAACCTCGTGTCCCCTCTCGCACTCTACCCCCCTCCCCCAGGGGCAGAGGTTCCCAGCTCGGCATCAGCGGCCTTCCCGGCCAGCAGCGGCCTGGGCCTCACCAACGGCCACTTCCAGCCGGAGCTCCCCCTAGACCGCACGCGCAACCGCACCCGCGCCCTCCACAACGCCCTCAACGACACGGGGGCCTCGAGTGGCGGGCGGCCCCCGCGCGACAGCAGCAGACGCTGGACGCGGTCGGCTGCCGAGCGCCAGCAGTCGGAGGAGTCCGACGTGCTCATGGCCGGACTCATGATGCCCAACGGCGTCCCTGGTGCAGCATCGTCGGCAGCCGCAGCCGCGTCGGCAAGTGCAGCGTCTGGTGGCATGTCCCGCCGGAGCCAGAAGCGCCGGCTGAGTGTGGGTGATGGCATGGACATCGACAGCGGCGTGCCGGCGGTGGCCGCCAGGGACGTGGCCATGAGCACCAGGAGCCGGGCGAGGGGCAGGGATGGCGGCGGGGCCAGTAGCAGTAGTGCGGCAGCAGCCGCTGGGGGCGGGGGCGTTGGCGTTGGTGGTGGTGCGAGCCACCACGGCACCGGTCGGTCGGGGATGTCGTTGCGCGGGGGGCGAGGGAAACGGTCTATGGGCAGGAGCGAGGGGCGTAAGATGGTCAGTCAGTGAGCGGCACACAACAACACGACGAAAGTTCGTCTATGCTTTGCATCCCATCCTGTATGGTCTGGTCTGTGTGGGTGTCTGTCCGTCCGTCCCATTTATGGTGCAGAAGAAGGTGAATCCGGATGCGGGCAAGGGCGACGCGACGGGCTCCATTCCTACCATCGACTGCCTCGTTCTCAACATGAAGGAAACCAAACAGCAGGCCACTCGGTCGGTCGACAACGACACTTACCTTACGCACACACACTATCCTCCCCTCCCTCCCTCCCTCCCCTCCCTCCCTGCGCATATCGTTGGCATCTGTCAATCAGGATGACGGAGGTGCTCCAGTTCGCTCGTCTGCTGCCGCATCCCCTGCCGGCGCAGATCCCACCGTCATACCTGGCGCCCGGCACCAGCAGCAACGGCCACACCAACGGATACCACAATGGCCACCACAGCGACAGCATGGAGCTGGAGGCAGTGCCCTCGTCCAGCAGTGCGTCCAACGGGCTGGTTCTGGGTCTGGGCGGGGCCGGTGGTGGCAGTGGCGGCGAGGATGGTGACTGGCTGCAGACCTACCGCCTTAGTGTGAAGCACCGGGTGCGCAAGGACCTCATCGAGGAGTTCCATACCGTCTCAAAGGAAGAGGTGAGTGAGGGACGGAGGGCGGTCAGCCAGGCAGACAGGCAGGGAGGTAGGGAGACGGGCAGTTAGGTTGGGATGGAGGTATTAGTCATGGCCGCCGTAGAACAGTAGCACGGTAGCTAGCTCTGTGCGTAGTCACTCACTGTACTCACTGTTTCCCCTCTGCTGCTGTGCTGTGCTGTGCTGTGGTTTGGCATGTACCCTTCCTCGTCTCTTCTCATCTGTCTCTGCTCATCTCATCCCATCTCGTCCACCGCCCTTGTGGTCTCGGCGTTCTTCCCTTCCTCGTCCGTCCGTCCGTCATTGATTAGGGTGACTTGGATTACTTCTGCCTGTGTGACATGTGGAACGGTGATCGCACCCTCACTAGACACTGGGTACGGTACACACACACACACATACACACATACAACACGACACGGCACCACACACACCACGTTCACACATCGAGAGTAGGAGAGGAGAGGAGATGAGAAGGGATGCGTGTGTATATCGACACACGAACCATCCATCCATGTAGAGGTTTTTTGTCGCCCATGCATTGCACCCATCTCATCGCATTACATACACACACTTGATGGAAGCCAGGAGAGGACAGCCGCAGACAGCCGCAGCTGCTGGGCTCACTGGTCGTTGTGTGGCGGTGTGGTGTGTTGGTTGGTTGGTGTGTTGGTGTGTCCCAGATGAAGAAGGCCCTGCAGGACGAGTGGGAGGAGCTAGTGCAGTCCTACTTCAAGTATGTCCCTCACACACACACACACACACACATGCAGACACATGCACACAGACAGACGGGGATGGATGCCTCGTCCCATCCGTGTGATCTCTGTCCGTTGTGTGATGGGTGCGGTGCAGGTCGGTGAAGAAGCTGCGCAGGATCTTCCCGCCGCCCCCTCACATCAAGGCCGCCTCGCGAAGACACAGATAGACAGACAGGTACACCTCATGACTGACTGTAAGCAAGACTGTTTGAGAGCCCGAGGGCTACCTAGCCACGCACGATAGCCAACTGACTGACCGACTGACTGCCTGACTGACTTGAAGACAGAGGGGAGAGGAGAGAAAGGGCGAAGTGTACTACTAAGAGGGAAAAGCTGTCTGTCCGTCCGTCGGTCCGTCCGTCTGTGTGGGTGTCTGATGGTGTTTTGACGATGTGCAAACAACCGATCGTATGATGTGCGTATCTTCCATGAGGTGCCGTGAGGTGCCGTGTCGTGTCGTGCTGTGCCGTGACGTGCCTATGTTGTGCATCGCTTCGTCGTCGCTGCGCGTGTTCTTTGATCATTTTTTTCGTCAATCGAGGAGGGAGGAAGGGGCGTGGGATTGGCCGGCCCGTCCGTCCGTCACACACACACACGAGGCGTGCGTGTGTTGGTGGATGGCTGCAAGCAGACAGACAGACAGGCAGACAGACAGACAAAGAGGCCCTTCTGACGGAAATGGCATTCCTTGTATGTATACTGCTTGGTCGTCGTGTGGTTTCACCAGTTGATGATGTCCTCAGACGTCGTGATGGACATGTGCCGGTCGACCATCCGACACTGCACATGGCCGTCACGCGGTTCGGGGCGTCGGCGATCGGCGAAGCCCACAACAGACAGACAGAAGAGACAGGAGAGGGACTCGACCCATGCCAGCCAACACACGCACGTTTTAACGCACACGCAGGAAGAACACAGGTTTTGTTCCACCCACCCCACCGATGGCCACCCACCAGCCAGCTAGTCACCTAGGCTTTCTTTCCCCACCCCCACCCATTATCCCACGACAGACACCTGAGTGATCGTGTGTGTCGTGTCCTGGTGTGGTGCTGACATTTTTCCACCTCTGCTGCCTGACTGGCTGCCTGACTGATTGACCGAAGGAGGAGAGTGGATGTGCGTGATGGCTGTGCGGGTGGTGTGGTGTGGTGTTGTATCAGTAGAGGAGGCAGGCGAGTTGTGGTGCGGCTACGAGTCCGTGCAGAGATACATCACATCACATCACCTACATTACATTACACACGGACGGACGGACCGATGGAGGGATGGATGGATGGTGCCTGCTTGGTGTGTGCGCATGTGTGCATGGATGGATGGATGAGCGTGTCTGTGTGTGTGACTGTCGTTGGTCTGCTTGGCGGACTCTTACCAGACTGGTGTGGTAAATCTTTGCAAGCATAAGACACTCACTCACACACATTGGTGCGTCCATTAATCAATCACTCCACCCCTGTCACTCCCTCCCGTTGCTGGTCCCCTCCACTCCTCCCCATCTATACACACACACACACACACACACACAAGTACACGCGACACTGAAAAACATTGCGGGCAGCAACGCACGAAAAGAAGTCATATAAGTCAGCCACCCCACCCACACACTGTCGCACGATGGCCGGTCAGGCGAAAATGGCGTGACTCTGAGCGGCACAGCACAGACATGGTGACCTGACCCCGTTTCTTCCTGCCTGCCATCGGCAGCCAGTCAATATGGAAACACGAGTGTGCACCCCACACGCATGTGACCGCACGGGACACGTGCACGGATGGAGAGAAAGACGAGACCACCACCTACAGTACCATGACACCGCACCGCATATAGGCCGAGGGAAAAGTGTGGACACTCAGCCAGAGCTCCCACTCGACGACTGGGGCTGCTGCTGGGGACCAGAACCAGATGGCCCACCCTGGGGCTGCTGCTGCTGCTCATCGGGGAACTTCCTGAAGCCACCCACAGGGAGACAGACGGAGACGCAGACAAAAGGGATGATTGAGATTGAGGTCTGTCTCCCTGGAGCGGTCGTGGCCCTCGTCTGTCTATACGCACGTACTTTCTGGTTAAAAGAGCTCGTACGTACTTAGGTATCGGTTTCTTGTTCTTCTTCTTGTTCTTGTGCTGGTGGCTGCAGTGCTGGTGGCTGCACGGGTGGTCGTCACCTGCGACAAACAAGCCGATGGATAGATAAGAAAGTTACATACGTACATACATTCCGACCTGCCTGCCTGCCTGCCCCATCCCTCAACACGCGTGTGTGTTTTCCAACACGCGTGTGTGTTTTCCGTTAACGCAGATCAGATCCCCACCTTCGCTCTCCGATGAGCTCTCGCCAAACTCACGCGGCTTGTGGTAGATACAACACTCTGACGCACACACGACACGACCACACGCACAGTGTCAGTCACATGCTGGCCTCCTCGTGTTGACGTGCTTCGAGCTTCGGCTCACGCACTTTTTGATTTCTTCTTGTCCATGTGCTCATTGTCGACAGTGCCCTCCTCCCAAGTCACGTTGTGGTGCTGAGGCGCCGGCTGGAGGGTCAGCAGCTGCAGCTGCTCGGCGGGGGGCGCCGGAACTGCCGCCTGTACCGTCACCACGGCCGTCTGACCTCTGATAGCCTGCATCGCTAAGTACGGGCCAAAGGCACGGTACTGGTCTGCTAAGGAAGAGAAGCGGGGCAATTTGAAGCGTGGAGAAGCAAAACAAACGAATTTTTGGCAACAGCGGTTTCATGGAAATACCCTAAGCCAACGGCTGCGAGCTTGCTTGGCGAAGGGAAGGACAATGTGGTATTTGACGGCCAGCGCCCTTGCCATACTGAGCATCTACGATGCCCTGGCGTTTCAGCCATCGACATTCACTCTCAGCGTCCCTCGCCCACACCTGCCTGTGGAGAGCATCAGACGGAGGCCACCTCGCCACCATCTTTATGCCTCCAGCGACGATGCAGACGTGCAGAAGCTGCTCGAGGAGGCGGCCAAGCTCCGGGAAGAGGCCAGTGCAATGGAGGTCCAAAAGGCCAAAGATGACGAGGCGGACCGACAGCGGCAGGAGGCTGAGGCAGCCAAGCAGGCGGCTATGAAGCCTGCTGACGCTCCGCAGACCAATGCAGCCGCTGCGCCCCCTCCTGCAGAGGCGAGACTGTTGACATCTCCCGTGGCATCTGTCCCCAAGCTGCCCTTGGACAGCGCCGTGGCGTGCGCCACGAAGCTGGACGAGCTGAAAGAGCAGGGGGTGATTGGGTACTGGAACAGCGAGGCGCGGCCGTCCTACTACAACGTTGAATCGTACACGTGGAAGGCCTCCACTGGCTGTGACGACAACGCCATCCAGAGCAAGTCGGGGGAGACGGACTTCTTCCAAAGGCTTTTTGTTGGCACCCTCATAGTATCGACTCTACTCGTAAGTCAGTCGACACACAGACACACGGACGAGCGTGTGAGTGTGTGTGTGTGTGTGTGTGTGCAGGCCATTGGTTCATCGCAGTTCATCGGCGGCAACCTGGGAGCGCTATTCACCTACCTGTTTGCGGCCCTGCCCATCGTGGTGGTGGCGATAGGCAGCATCAACCCGGGGGTGCTGCTGGGCCTCTACACCAATGTGCAGAACGCGGCGGATGGGTCGTTCAAGGAGAGGCGACGGTGGCACGAGGCATCGCACTTCCTCGTCGGTCAGTCAGTGGACGGAGGGACTCGCCGGACGCACATTGCCTGCCTCCTTGAATGAATGCATTGGCTGTGTTTGTGTGTGCAGGGTATTTGTTGGGCTACCCGCCGAGGCGAGTGGTCAAGGCTCCGGAGACCTCTCTTGTGGAGTTCTACGAGTCGAGGGACGACTCACAGGACAGAAGACAGGTTATCCCCACGCCCAACACACACACACTGAACAGAAAATGTGGTGCCTGCCCTGCTGTCTTGTCTTGTTGGGCCTGTGCTGTCTGCAGCCTCTTGAGCGGAGCACCCTCGAGCCCTTGTGCGTGGTGGCCATCAGCGGTATATCTGGCGAGCTGCTGAAGTATAAGACCGCCAAGGACACCGATGTGGACATCAACTACATCCAGAATCTGATGAAGCGGACCCAGCCACAGCTCAGCGGCGGCCAGCAGACATCCATACCCAGGTAAGTCACTCAGTTAGTGCAGTGGAGGAGAGAGAGGGCCGAGATCCATGCTTGTCTGTCGTTCTGTTTTGTTCAGGTGGTCGTCCCTGGCAGCGTACCAGATCTTGGAGAAGCACCAGCCTGTGGTGGACGAACTCGCTGGCGCAATGGGTCAGTGACCTGCACAAATGGCCATCCATCCCTTGTGTGACATGAGGTGTGACATTGTTGGTCCGTGAGTAGGCGGTGGTGCGGACATCAGTGAGTGCATCCGTGTGGTGGAGAACGCCATGATCAAGCAGTACAGCAGCCAGGCCACTACCACCGCCCCAGCTGAAGCTGGCGCTGTGTCCAAGGGCTGACCGACGGCATGACGAGAGATGATAGCCTGAGGGTGTCTGAGAGGCGAGGGAAGAGATCCATGGATTTTTGGGTGTGGTGTGAGTGGCGTGCGTGCACGACGTGCATGGATGGATGGATGGATGCTGAGTTTGCGAAGCTGCTCAAGCTTAAGCTTTGAGAGAGATGTGACAATTGTCAATCTGTCGCACCGCACGAAGCCACAAGATCTGTCTGTCTGTCTGTCTGCACACACATGTACACACACCCGGCCGGCCACACGTCAGTCACGCACATGCTATCTGTTCTATCTACACCCACACACCCACCCCACCCCTCCAGCAAACATCCATCAGTCGAGTCGCCTGTCTCTCATCCAAAACCAAGCGGGAAACCGCTCTCGATTACACAACAGGTACCACGGCCCCCTGCCCGCGACCTCACCCAGCATCCGGTATCTCGCGTTGTGAGCCGCAAGCGCATCAAATCTCGTAAGTCGCTTTTTCCATCCCTTCATCAGCGGCCGAAAATCAGGTCGAACTTCACCCCTGAGCACGTCTCGCCATATGTGGCTCTCGAGTGCCCTCGATTCGGAAATGGTGATGCGCTTGATGAGGATGAAGGGCAGGAAGGGGTAGTCTGAGAGGTGCCATCCTCCTGGTAGGTACCCACCCGGCTGCACACATGGACATGCCATTCTGGTATGGAGCACAGATCTGTCTGATGGCGTACCCTCTTGGGCTGCTCCAGCCTCCTAATCCGCTTGGCGTCGTGCCATCCTGCATCCAGAGAAGCATTCGCACAGAGATGTCGTGTCATTGTCCTTCTCTGTGCTCTTGTCTTTGGTGTTCACTGTGGTACGAGGGTCGCTCGAGAAGGTACTTCCAGCCTGGCACGGGGCTGTCACTCAGATACACCTCATCCAAACGACTGTTTGGCGGGCAGAAATGACACGGCCGGCGATCGCCTGTGTATGGCGGTTGGGTGCCTGACTGACTGGCTGACTGACTTACCCAATGAAGAAAAGGAGACCGCCAGAGAGAGGAAAGACCCCCGGCCGCGGCTCACACTGCTGCAGGTGACGAAGAGACTCACCCGAGGGCATCTCATCCAAATCTGGCCAAGCCACAAGGATGCAAAGGAAGGAACGGCGTGCACCACGCCTACTGCCTGCAGACGTTGCCACCTACCTCCATATATGATGACATCGTCATTGTCAAGCTCAAGCCCTTCCTGCATGTCCACCATCCTCACAACTCGGAAGGCAGCCTGCCGCGTGGCCCTCTCCCACGGCCACAGGCCCCGTTTCTTGACGGGCGTGTCGCGGGTCAGCACCACCGCCGATGACGTCCGATTGGCGAATCGGGCGAACCTCTCCTGTGTCCGTGCCTCTTGCCACATCAGTGGCTTGGGGACGCCCTTCATCGACAACTCATTCTCAAGCAACACAGTGTGGGCGACGACGTCGTCCAGCTCATGGAAGCGGATTTCGAGCAGATCTAGCTCGTAGCCAAACAGCACCTGGATGGACGGACGCATAAAGCATGTTGTGGCTCTGTCGACCTCTTTTCGTTTCCTCACCACGTCGACAATGCGTATGGGCTTCTCTCTCCGTCTGCCAGTCAGCACGCGCCAGAAGAAGCGGCTGCTGCAGTCTGCAATGGAATCCTGGGCAAAACCACGGTCGTCCGCCTCGTCACGACGCTGCACCAGGCCACAGTCCTCTCTCGACGTGACGGCCGCATCCACGAGGCCACAGTCCTCTGGCGGCATCAAGAGGTAGGGCGTCACGGCGTCCATGATGCGCCGGGTGTCGGAAAGGGTGATGGGATTGTCGAGCTTTGACTGCAGGTGGGCCGTGGTGATGTTGGCTCGCTCCAGTGCCGACAAGAAACCTGTTGCAAGTAAGAACACACAACACGCCGATTTGCAATCCGGTGTGCTGTCTGTCTGTCTGTCTGTCTGCCTGTGCTGTTTGCAGACCTGCAGCATGGGGCTCTTCGACAGGCGATGCTTTTGGCTTTTGGCCACCGCATCCAGGGAAGCACATGATTGACGAGCTGCCACTCGCCTCGTGGTCCCTTGAAGGCGTCCATTGGCGTCGCTGGCAGGCTGTGAAGGGCGCTGAGAATGGCGAGCAAGGAGAGCACCATCACACCCAGCTGCCATGATGCGAACCTGGACATGAATGATCTCCGCTGAAGATGACAAAACTAGGGCATCACATGCTTGAGCAAGGGGGGACGCGCGGCGCGAAACAAGAGGGATGCCATTCAGTGCGAGCTTTGTGAAGATCTACAACTGGGAAAGAGAATGAACGTGTTCACAGGCAACCAATCGAGGAACACGCGCAGCCACTTTAATGTGTTGAGAGTATGCTTCTATCGCAAGTGCAAACCTACTTGCGGTTTTAGCTGACGTCACCTTTATCCCAGCCACGTTCCGGCCACACACCAGCCATCGTCAGGTCAGCCACGTGTCCGGCCGCGCAAAACACGACTCGCCCCGCTCCGAACATACACATTCACGACCACAATATATGACTCCCCCAAGGGGTGCACTCAAGTCAGTCAGTCAGTCATTGGGATGCGAAAACCAAGATGTCCGTCTCCGCTCACGCACACTCCCCCCCCCATCACCATCCCCATCGTCCAACACGCCCCACCCACCCCCTCCCCCTCCCCCTCCCTCCCCATGCAGCACACCGCCGGCAAACCCCAACGCCATTCCCTCTTCACCGCCAGTCTGTGGCGGTGGTGGTGTCGCAGCAGCAACAGAAGGAGGAGCAGCGGCAGCACTCGCAGATGCAGACTGAGCTGGCCCTGGTGCTGCTGTGCGCGGGTACGGGTTGTCGTCACGAGGGGGTACGTACGATTCAGCTTCACGCGATGCAGACGCAGATGCAGAGGCAGAGGCAGATGCTGATGCTGATGCAGACGACGCCCCTCCCCCCAGTCCCTCCCAAGACCACAATGTGGCATCCGGCTGCTGCTGCTGCTGCCCTCGCAGCCCAGCCGTCAGGCCGTAGGTGGCCGGGAAGGACCTCCACTCTTGCTCACCCGCCGTGTCAGAAGCCACAGGGCCCTCGCCAGACGGCTGTGAAGGGGCACCAAGCCCAGCATCGCCCTCCTGTCCAGCTGTTGCTGCCGCAGCCGTCGCCGCCTGTCCGTTCCGCCCCTGCTGCCGGCCTTGTCTGCCGCCCCCATTTCTTCTGCCCGGCGGTAGGTTCAGGTGTCTCATGCCTGGGGGCACCAGCCACGGCGGCGGGGGCATCCTGAGGAAGGTGAAGACGGGCCGCATCAGCCGCAGCATGACGATGACGGAGATGATCCAGAGGGTCTCCAGCCAGTAGACCACCTGGGGGGGCAGCGACCGCAGAGGGTGGGGGAGGATGCCGACGCCGCCATGTGGGGAGGGGGCGGGGGCGGGGTTGCCACCGCCGCCGCCGGCAGGGCGCTGTCTCTGGGTTCTGTTCCGTCGCGAACACGCCAGGTCGATGCCCAAAATGTAGAGGTAAATCAGCAGCTGGTGGAGACAGACACACACACACACAGAGGAAGAGAGAGCGTCATTCGCTGGCCGTGGGGAGTCGTCTTATCAAGGAATGCATTGCGTACACACCTGTATGATCACGAGTTTGACCTCGAAGTCGATCCCGCCCAGACCCCCTGCCGGCGGCTCCACCTTGAAGACCGCCAGCAGCCCGTCCTCAAACAGCAAGGCCACAAAAAACACGTCAGTCGGCAGATAGTCAGCAACGTCATACTGCACAGAGTGCACACAGACATTTACAATCAGGCGGGCCATGGTGAACCGGGAGGCGTGCTGAGCGTGAGCGTACCTTGGCTAAAGCCTCGGGCAAGGCGGGCTCGTCGCCCTCGTTGCATTGGCTGTTGCAGTCCTGCCGCTGCGTGTGTGTGCGATGTGAGATGGCCTTGTGGAGGTGGGCGTTGAGCAGTGCTCGTGTGGGGAAGGCGTACGCACCCATCACCGAGCGAATCCTCAATGCCGCTGAAACGCACTCAAGGGGACAGAATGTGTGTCAATTCCTGCCTTGCGAGGAGGATGCATGGCCTCGCTCAGCTGTTGCACTCCACTCACTGGGTATATTCTCCAGCGCTAGTTCGTAGTCAGGCCCCCACTCGAACGGCCACTGACTCGGCTCAACCTGCCATTCGCACCACAGCACACCACACAACACCACACAACGAACAGACAGACTTGCGGTCTTGCCTGCAGCGTCAAGTGCGGTGGGGTGTGTTGTGTGTATGGTACCTCTTGCTCTGTTGGCTGTGTGGTGCCGGGATGAACGTCGAAAATATCGCCGATCAGACCTGGGGCGGTGGGGGCTGCTGAAGGGATGTTGGAGTGCTGTGACTTGACAAACACACGGTCATAGGCCGACGTCACCACCACATGCTGCCCGTCCTCACTGACACACACATTCACACACATTCACAGAGAGAGAGAAAAGGTGTGCTCAACACTCACTCCTCCGTAGGTGGGTGCTGCAAAGTACTCACCTGACGATGAGTGACTTGAAGCGTTGCGAGTATTCCCAGAAGGATGCGAAGAGGATCGCCCCCTTGTCCTGCCCCCTGCTGCCCCCCATGTCCCTCCCAGCCCTGAATGCCGTCGCCGTCACACGCAACAGATACGCCATCACGACCACGTTGCCATCCGCCGACGAGGCCACCAACGGCCGCTTGATGAAATCTCGCACACCCTTGCCGTCCTCCGAGCTGGCCCCCGGCCCGTCATCGACCGAGGGATGGAAGAACGTCACGGCGTGTGTGTGGAGGGTCTCCTTGCCCGTCCACTTCCACGCGATCTCTGCAGTAGTGTCCGTCTCGTTGCCCTCATCCCCACCAGCACCAGCTCCGTCACCGGCAGAGGTCTCCTCACCGGTGTGCACTTGGACGGCGTATGCGAGCGTCGAGTCGTTGCCGCGCATCGTCATGCTGACAACAGTGGCTGGCCATCCGTGCAGCCGGTCCTGCATGTTCATGGGGCTGACGACGATCGTGTCGCTGTAGAGGTCGGCGTGGTCGGCTGTCGGGCCCTTGCCCTCCACCACCAGGGTGGGCACCTCCTCACCACCGACAGGCGTCGCAAGTCGGCCGTTGCTCATGGTGAGTGCGTCGGCGGCGGACGGGGGATGCGCTTGGAAGAGGCTGTCGAGGGATGCCGATGCGCGGAACATGTAAGTGTCCTCGCGGCTGACAAAAAGCATCCATCAAGGAAAAAAGAACAGCCATGTGAGCTGAGCTCCATCCTCTGTGTGTGCGCCCACCCCACTGCCACCGCCCACTTCACTCACCGGCTGTAGAAGAGCCTGTCGCGTGCTAATGCGATGGAGGCCACAGGCGTGTTGCCGGCGAACTTGAATGTCTGTCCGAGCTGGTCGCCTTGCCTCTCCTGGCCCTCCTCGCATGCCACCCGATGCAGTCCACGGTAGATGTGAACCTGCCACGTCACGAACTCGCCGTGCAGCTCGCGGTACGCCAGTGCCGCGTCGTGCGTCTGACGGTTCAGCGACAGCTGAGCCGCCGTACCAGCTGCACACACATCAGACAGACACGTAACACAATACATCTTTCCGTGTCTGTGCTGTGCTGCCTCTCTCCCATTTCCACCCTGCTTACGGAAGAAGTCGACGAAGCATCTTTGCCAGCCGACGTCGCCCAACCCATTTTGCTCCGCATCCCCATCACCAGCAGCAGCAGCAGCAGCAGCGGTCCCAGCAGACCCGTTGGAGCCACCCACCCTGGTGAGCACAGCCTGCTGGAACGCATCGGTCATGTCCACGTCCACATCGATCAGCCGCCGCAGCTGCGACCGCAGGTCAGCCAAGAGGTTGTTGTTGGGACGGGCAGAGAGCCTGAAGAGCTGGAAGTCCAGCTGGCGCTTGTAGAGCGAGAGCGAGGTGAAGTAGGGCACTTGCGTCTGGTAGGACGGCACGGCGCGGTTCATGACCAGCACAAAGATGGACGAGAAGGCGCCGTCGAAGAAGATCTGCGTGGTGGCCGTCTTGGGGTTGCTGAGCTCCTGGATGGGCTCAGACTGCACAGCCTTTCTCTCCGCCAGGGGCAGCGGGCCGATGCCGAGCATGGCGTCGTACTCAGCCATCCGCCTCGCGAGGGCAGTCCAGAGCGGATTATCGTCCTCCACTTTGTTGGCATCCTCCTTCTGCGCGTCGAGATCATCTTGCGTGGTCATCGTTGTGAAGAGCAGCTCAATCTCCCTCATCTCAGGCCCCTCTTCATCAAACATGAGGGCCACAAGCAGCATCAGCAGGATGAGAATCGACGAGAAGGCAAACAGGGTCAAAGGCAACCGCATCCTGTCAATCAATCGGGAATCTCGTGTCCATCGACGGATGCTCGCATCACGCAGCGTTACCTATACATCACAGCCGCCACACAGCGACAGTTTTTTTCCCCTTCTGCTGCCCTAACCCCAGACGACAGACCCACTTTTCGTCCGTATCCTTTCACCTAGGCGGTCAAAGATGCATGAGAAAGGTTACTTCGCGAGGGCATCCCACCGTCACCCAGGCAATCAGTGACCGTCGGACAGCCTGGCCAAGGCTGGCACTCTTCAAATCTCATCTCACCCACACACCCACTGAAGTTAAGCACTACGCCCCCCCCCACACACACTCACGAGTGCGAGCGAGATGGAAAAAAACTGACATGGTATTCTCAATCGGCCATCTTGTCCGCGTCTGCCGCAGCGGCTGCGTCAGTCGCCTCGGCTGGCTTCGCATCGCCTTCATCCCCACCACCCTTCCCCTCCGCGTTGGCTGTGGCAGGAGCGGGCGGCGCCCCACCACTCGCCGTGCCCTCTCCCTCCTCTGGGACGGCATCTTTCTCGCCCTCCCCTTCTCTGCTCTCCTCATCCATTGGAGTCGCCTCAGGCGCCTTGGGAGGTGCCCTCTCCTCTTCGGCGGTAGCCTTCTGGCCGGCTGCTGCCGCCATGCGGGCGTCGCCATCGCCGCCGCCGTCGGGAGGTGCGTCGGCCATGGTGACATCACCAGCAGGGAGCGGCCCACTGGGCTCCGCTGCAGCCGATAGAGGGGCGGGGGCCGCTGCAGGTTGCTCGTGGGTCTGAGCAGCTGCAGGGGCAGCAGGGACAGCAGCAGCATCCTGGGCGGGTGGCGGGGGTGGGAGTGGGGGTGGTGCCGCGGCCGCCGCCTTGGCTTTTGCTTGCTCCGCCTTGCGCCGCTTGTCGTGTCTGCGCGAGCGGAGCCCGATGAGCTTCTGCTCCAGCTGCTTGAGCTTCTTGATGGTCTTCTCGACCTTGTCCAAGCTCTCCTGCTCCCTGCAAACACACCCACACGCACACACACACACACACACACACAGAGAGAGAGAGAGAGAGAGAGGGAGAGAAAGAGGGAGAGAGGGAGAGAGAGAGAGAGAGTTGAGCAGGTGACCCCAGTCGAACTGTGGGTTCATTCATCGATTGATAGTCTTACTCTTTGTGTTTCTTATCGGCTTTGGCTCTCTCGGCCATGGCAGCCCGCTTCTTCTTCTTGGCCTCGTCGATGCTGGGCTGGTGCTGCTCGGGCACCGCCTGACCAACCAATGACACCATAGCATCGAACATCAACCACCGTGTGCATCCTTTGCTTCCCTTCCCTTGCAAGCTGGCTGATGATCAGAGTGCGTACCTACCTTTTCTGCCAGTTTTACATCGGCTGTTTCCTTCTCCAGCGCAATGCGATCCTCAATGGCCTTGGCCTCCGCGGCCTCACGCTTCTTAATCTACACGCAGGGAAGCGGAGCAGACACAGACAGATATATGGACAGTTTGATGGGTCATGTCATGTGGCCTACCAGTTCCTGGTTGCGAATCCTCAGGTCCCTGACCTTCCTGTCCATCGCCTCGAGCTGCAGACACCACAGCACAGAAACACACAAGACACGAGAATGTTAATCCCTGTCGTGTTCCGCATTCATACGTGCAGCATGTAGTGAGTGGTTCATCCACCTCCTGTCTGGTGTCAGGCTCAATGTCCTCCTTGCGCTTCAGCAGCTGCTCTCGCTTCTCCTCCAACTCACGATTGCTGCATGTCACACACACACACACACACACACATCAGGTCGCTGTCCGTTCCTTTCCTTCTCCCCTCCCCTCCCCTGATGCTTACTCCTGTTTGCTCCTCTCGAGCTGGTACTGCCAGTCCATCCTTCCCTGACGGATGTAGTAGGTCTTGGGGCCCTTGGGCGCACCACCAGACATGTCAGGGGCGGGGGGCGGCTCCACCGGCGCCACCTCGAGCAGCTCCACCAGCGGCGGCGGCGACTTGCCGCCGTCCGTCGGGAATCCCCCACCCGTCACCGACCTGCCGACAGGCCCGCTGCCCATGGAGTGTCCTGACGAGGACAGAGAGGGGTAGCCCGTCCGCAGCCTCTTGTCTGGCCGGCCCTTCCACTCTTGCGACTCCTGCGACCTGGCCGAGTGACTTGCTCCCTCCAGCTGCTCACGGCCCGGCGACCGGTTGGTGCGATAGCGCTGCTTCTGCACCTCGCGCAGCTTCCTCTTCCTCTCCCGCTCCTCGTACTCCTGCCGCCTGACCTCCATCTCATTGGGCTTGGGACTCCCGCGAGCCACCCCAGGGGACTGCGTCAGGTCGGGCGAGGACGTCTGCTGGCTGGCCGAGAGCTTGCCGGCATTGCCCGTCGACGGCCGGCGTGCCGCGTTCTTCTTCTTGGGTATTGGCCGGATGATGCGCCTCGAGTCCATGGCTGGTGATGGGGAGAGGTTGTCCTTGGGTGGGTCATCGGCCTTTCTGTCGGGCGCTTTGAACGGCTGGGGAGGGGAGTCCGTCATGGTCAAAGGCTGGTGACCGTTGGCGGCCGGCTGCTGCTTGTTGGCATCCTGGTCCCACTTGGACGCCCACCGCTTTGACTTGTCGTCGGTGTGTGCGTGGGATGGGGGAGGGGACGCCAATGGCGACGACATGGGCAGCGACGAGCCCACAACCGGGTCGTATGTATCATCGTCAGGCTTGCCAGATGCTCCAGCGGCTCCCTTCTGGTCGAATCGGCTCCTCTTCTTCGCTGATGATGGCGACAGCGACACGAAGTCCTTGTTTGGCGATGGTGGTGCGCCGAATCCGTCCATGAGGTTGGCCGACGATGATGCAGCGACTGCCGCAGACAGGCCGCCCGTGGCCACCGACGATGGCATCGGTGCCTCAGGGGGGAGGGGAGGGGCAGGGGGGTGGGAGCTAGTCCCGGCGGCTGCGTCACCGTTCATCTTCACTATCGCCTCCACGGGACTGTGCGCTCCTCACACGAGGATGGATTGGACTATCTGAAAACACCCAGCATCGCGCACGCACACAGACAGATATCGAGACATCCTACTCCAGTGTGGCCATCTCATGTGCGCACAAATGTATGCAGCGCTGCATGGATGTGTTGGGTTCTCACCATGTGCTCCCTGGTGTCGTCGGTAACACCAAAACAGTCCTCTGACTTCCACAGTTGCGATAGCGCAGCCAAAGCTTCAGATGCGAGGATGGGCTCAACGCCGATGCTAACGGGAGGTTATACAGGTGCGCAAAGGACCAACATCGTCGCAAGGAGGAAAGCCTCTGCGAGCAGTTTTACGGGACCTTTTGCGAGCTTTGCCGATTTCCCGACCTTTTTCGTAAGGGACCGGAAGATCCATTGAACCTCTTGATCTACGGCAGATTGAAGAAGCGAGCGGAACTAGGAGCGGAAGAGGCCATGGGAAGGCTAGCCAAGTGGAAGAAGCATAACGTGGACGCTGAGAGCATCGGACGGGCGGCAACTGAGGAGCTCAAGACCTACAACAAGCCCCCGAAGCGGAACGATGACTCACTCATCGCCAGGGTGTTTGGCATCCAGCCTCCATCGCAACCATCACAGGTGGCACAGGGCCGTCCGAATCACAAGCACAAGAGCTCGAGCAACAGACGCATGCTGCCAGTCATCAAACAGGTCAGCGGTGGCCACGCGCGGGAAAAGGAGCCGTGTGTGCGGCTGGAAGAAGTGATGACTGAATCTATCTATTTCGTGGCCTCCCTCAGAATGTCAGCAAGGAGAAGAAGGTGCCAAAAACAACGAAGAAGAGTGCAAATCATCAACCACCGGAGGGCTTGCGAGCGGACGAGTCCCTCACCGACTTCACCAAGCGCATCGACGAGCACACCAAGTGGGCAAGCGTCACAACATCCATCGGGGTGCTTGTCCGTTCCTGCATCCATCGTGTCCTCCCTCGTTTTGCTTGCACTTACTTCATCAGGACCGCCCTCCGTGCCATGCCGGCCGTGCACGCCAACGCCATGAAGAAGGAGAAGCAGAGGCAGCGGCTCCTCAAGCTCAAGGCCGCCGACAGGGCCAAGAAGAAACGGACAGAAGATAACGATGACGATGACGACGATGAAAAGCCTGCAGAAGAGTCATCCTTCGAAGACACAACCACTCGGTGGATAGATGCCGAGGCGGAGAGCAGCGGGGGTCAGGCCATGCACATGGCCAGGCTGCAGAGCAAGGCAGCCGACATCTACGGCGGTGGCGGTCAAGCCGCCAAGGTCAAGGCGCTCTATCAGAAGGACAAGGTGGCGTTCGGAGAGGTGGTCAACAGGCCCCCTGCCCTGGCCGCCAAGGCCAAGCTGGAGAAACTGAAGAGCAAATCACAGCAGCACAGGTGTGAAGGATACGATGCCACAGCTACACCCATCCAATGGCATGCTCACACATGGTATGGTGGATGGTCAGGGCTGCTGTGCTGGAGAGAGATCCGCCCACCGCTACCGGTGGCGACTCGGCCGCGCCATCGCCATCATTTCCGCTGCGTATGGCGATGAAGCCGTCGCGTCCGTCGGGGACTGACGAGCTGTCCCGGTATGTGGATCGCGTTCGGGACGCATACGCAGAGCCGAAAAAGAGGAAACGCGAGGAAGGCCGCCCGCAGACAATGAAGAAGAAACGGAACAAGATAACGCCGTAGGTAGAGTGTTTGGTGGTGGTATCTATCGTGTGTGTCGACTGACTGGCGGTTTGTGTGTGTTGTCGATTGCATCGATTGCATGGATGGATGGACCTCACGCTTGGTTGTGGTGGTGGGGGGTGAATCCATTCAGTCACTGGTGCATGGTCGGACGTCAATTCTCATGTCTTTCTCTCTTTGTACGTACGTACGTACGCACACACGCTATCTCTCGTCCATGAACAAGCCTCTTGGGTCGGCAATGGGGTAGAGAGGTACGGCCGGCACAGACTATCACCACAGACAGACAGACAAACGACGAGACACCCGCCCTAAACCCATTGGCAAGGCTGTTCTACAGATGATGGACGGACGGGGAGGGAGAAAGGGAGGGAGAGGGAGAGGGGGGAAGGATAAGAGAAATCAGTGAGGCGAAGTGAGTTGAAACAGTAAGACGGCGGGCAGACGGCGGGCAGCAGCGGGCAGACCAGAGCAGACCATATCACATCACCCATGTCCAAGGTATCGAGGCCCTGCCCTTCTTTCCCCCCACGCAAAGAAACACACCCACACACGCATAACGAAAACTGACTGACGTCCCTACACCATCACACACACATGTAAGTAACTCATCGATGGACGTGAGAAGGCAAACACCAATAGCCACGCCCGCATCACACATGTCTCCGCCATCTCCGCCCCGCCCGCCCGCCCGCCCCATATCGCCGGGCGAAATGAAATGAACGCTGCGCAAAAATTTGTGCCAGCACGAGGAGTGAGTGAGTGCATGGCACAGCCAGCCAGCCAGCTCAGGCGCACACGTACCTACACATACACACGCACATCCCGCAGACCGTATCAAAATCCCGCCGCCCTCATCGGTGTCATGATAGCATAGCATCTCTCGGGGGGCCCTCAGAGCGATAGACACATAGACCGTGCCGATTGACGAGGGACAGACAGCCAGACAGGCAGGCAGGCAGGCCACACAAGTCAGACATACACAGGCAGGGCATCCATCGGTCGGTCAGCCAGACAGGCAGGCAGGCAGCCCTGCGAATTACGAGAAATACAGACATGGCGGTAGGTAGCCCAGCCAAGAGGGCATCACGGCCACCTGTTTGTCTGCAGAAAAAGGCGTGAATGCACCCATCCATCCATCCATCCATCAATCCATCCATCCGCAATCTAGCTCGTGGCAACGTCCATGTGGAGAGTGGGCTGGGGCGATGCGAGCACGAGACACTCACACATATACGCACGCGTAGAGAGGGCTTTCTGCAATCTCCCTTCTCTTCTCTCCGCCGGGCCTTGGCCCTTGTCCCACACCTTGACAGGACACGCGTTATCACTCCGTCACCGACATCGATTCGGTGAAGAACCGACCCCGCCGAGCCTGAGAAGGTGTGGGGCTAGGACCTTGGTCAACCGACGAGAGAGGGATCCCGCCATACACACATGCCATGCAGCAGCTCATTTCATCGTGTGTTTGCAGCATCTTTGTCAGTTAGAAAAGACCGGTGCGATGGTATGGTATGCGATGATATGCATGCTATGCATGTTATGTACGTGGCATGATGACAGTGACGAATTGGATAATTGGATAAAGCACCACACACACACCCTCACCCGACAACCCCCCCACAGTGACTAAGACACAGCCACACACGCTCACGCTCACGCTCATGTGCACACGCATCCCCCCTCTCCCTCCCTCCCTCCCTCCCTGTAGATGACCGATTCGAGCATGGCAGCCCGCCCGCCCATATTGGTACGCCTGACGTCGTCCACAGCTAGATACCTGCCTGTACACACCAGCAGTGAGTGAATGGGCAAAGGGAAGACGAGAAGAAAGGACAAGAGGAGACAGACAGGACGATAGGAGGGAGGCGTCTGGAGTGAGTGAATGCATGGGTGAGTGGCTGTCACATCATATCATAGGAGAAAGGAACAGGGAGGGAGGGAGGGAAGGGATGATGAGCAGAAGCAGGCCAGGCAGGCAGTAGAAGGGTGGCGTGGCGGTCCGAGAAAAATGCCCACTTTGGTGTAGTGAGTGGATGGACAAAACCAGCCTGCCATGCCTTTCTGCCATCATGGCATCGATCGCATCACTCATGGTCGATTCGATTCGGTCAATTCCTCTTGACAGACAGCATGCCATGCACAGCACAGCACACCCGCCTCCTCAATCGATTGACCAATAAATGACATCCGCGCCTTTCCCAGGCACTCACTCACAGCAAATTGGAAAATAAGATACGCCCCACCCACCCAGCCGCCAGCCAGCCAGCCAGCCATCACGCAGGCACACGAACACACAACACATACAGTGAAAAATCATGAAGCCCTCCCTCCCTCCCTCCCTCCCTCCAAACACCATCTCTCTCCCCCGCCACATCCCCACCCCCACCTCACCCTCCCTCACCCACACAGCGCAACGCAATGCAGCACAAGCGATTGAGTCCAGTGTGTGGTCGGTCATGCTCATGCACCAGCCATCCATCCCACCCATCACGAGCCCTGCACGAAGCCTCCCTCCTGAGGGTAGAACTGGTGCTGGTCCCCACCTCCCCACTTGTCGCCGTGGCTGGGGAAGTCCCTCGGCGTGTGGTAGTCAGAGGGCGTCCCCAGCTGGTCGGGCTCCCCCGCCCTCTTGTCGTATCGCTCCAGCTGCCGCAGTCGTGACGTGTACGTGGGTGAGGGGCCGGCGGATGGGTCGGGCACCCACTGTGGCGTGGGGTCGGACGAGTCGCCGTCCGACTGGGGGTCGTGGTTGGCCACGTGCACCTGCTCGTCCTGGTCAACCACATACCAGTAGTCTACCGGGGGCTCAGACGGGTGCGGGGTGCCGTAGGGCGTTGCTGCAGACCAGACACACACGACACACAGGGAGAGAGAGGGGAATGGAGGGATGGATGGATGGATGTGTGTGTGTGTGTGTGTACCGATTGAGTAGCAGTCTGGCGCGCGGCACGCCGGGCGGCCGCTGGGCGATGGCGTCACGTTCGAATCCACAATCTCAGCTGCACTCAGACCACACACACACAGACCATCAATCACCGCATGCTGCCCGATTCACAGTCAGTGCACTCGTCTGTCTGTGTGTGTACACACATGGAATGGCGTTGGCGAGTGAGCATTCGATGAGGTTGCCGTCAGGGTAGATGACAAACGCGCCGGGGAAACCGATGCGGAAGTTGGTCCCGTCGGGGCCGTTCAGCCAACGCGACCCGTCATGGTTGCGGATCTGACACACATTGCACACACACACACACACACACACGCGTACATGCATCACCCTCACCCCCAAGCCCCGCCCCGTCCTTCATCTCATCAATCCATTCCATCTCACTACGAAGGTGACGGCCCGTGCGTTGAGCAGCAGGGCTGTTCGGTCGACGAAGGGCAGTTCCTTCCATGACCCGTCGGTCTCGTCGAGGAAGTGCAGCCAGTGTCTTGTGGGCTTGGGGCGGTGGGTGCGGACCTCCTGCCACCCGGTGGGCGTGTCGCCGTCCTGCTCGTCCTCCCAGCCGTCGAAACGGATGGCAATGCCGATGTTGCTCAGACGGTCGCCGTCCAGGATCTCACCGTCGCGCAACGAGCTCAACGAGATGTTGACCAGGCTGACGATAGGTGAACAGGGATGGGTGATGGGTGTGTGCATGTGTGTCGGATGGGTGGTGGTGCGGGTGCATACTTGTAGAATTGGTCGTGGGCCATGTTGGGGTGGTCGCTGGCGTTGGAGACGGGATCTAGACACACACACACACACAGACAGACAGACAGACAGACACACAGACAGCGAGAGAGAGGGCCGATGGATGGATGGATGGACGGTGAGTATCAATCATGTGTGTGAGAGTGTCGCACCTTTGACGAAGAACATGCATGGGACTTCCGTCTTGGGCAGCGTAACGCGGAAGAGGAAGTCGCCGTTGACGGGGTCTTGCAGCAGAAACTCAAAGGTCTTCTCACTCCACATCTTCGCAAATACAACACACACCAACGCATGAGCGCAAGCCTGTCTGTGCAGTGGTCGCTGGCTTACCCCCGGTCTGTTGTAAGGTTGGTAGGCGAGTGTGCATTCGAACCACTGGTTGTTGACCTCCCCGTTGCGGCCTCTGCGGGGGATGCTGTACAGCAACACGCACTCCTGCTCGGCTACCGCACCAGTCTCCGTCCAGATCTCACGGTACCGGCGGAACGCACTGACGCACACACACGCACCCACACGCACACAACACACCACAACATACAAGGGGCCTTGTGTGTGCGTGTCGGTCTTTTCTCTCCCAGGCTGCCTGGCTGCCTGCCTCACCGCTCGACGATCGACACCCATGGGTCCACATCTGACTCGACCGACACGTTGCCGCCACCTGACAGACAGACAGACGTGACATGAACAGATACATACATGTGGTTACATGTGCTCATGGGGCCACGTATCTATCTGCGTTGGTTGGTCGCCTGTCCCTCCCTCCCTCCCTCCCTCACCTGTGTGTGTGGAGTCAACACTGACTCGTTTCTCCCTGTCGGTCAGCTTGGCTGGGGGCGGCACCTGGGGACTGAAGTGGCTCCTGTCAGACCATGCCGACTGGACCAACACACAATAATGGAACGAATCATGCAATCAGTGTCATGACATGACTACCTCCCTCCGCTCAGTGACTCCCTCTCCTCTCACCCCGTGGTCGGTGGATGTGGCTCGTGGGGGCAGCATGTCGCCGAACTGGACCGCCCCGACGGTGATGATGTCTTCGGCCTTGGGCGTGTGGATAAGGGTCGATGTGGCGCCGCTCGAATCGGACTCCTGCTGCAGCTTCTGCTCGCCACGGAGGACAGCTATGCTGCGCTGCAGCTGAACGTCGCATAGACAGACAAACAGACAGGCAGACAATCGGTTGACGAGCCAGAAGGGTGTGTGTTGATGCTGCCTGCCTGCCTGTCTGGCTGAGTACCGTGTCCAGTTTGGTCTCGAGTTGGTGTTTCTCCTCATCGGTCTCGCGCAACAGGCCCCTCGCCACCTCAGCACAGGCTATCTCACGACCGCACTCCTCCCTGAACACAGCACGACCAACCATCCGCCAATCAAGATTGTCCAGAACGAGTGGATGAGTGAATCATCCATTGATCGACATCCCTCACCCACTCCGCCTCACCTGGCCATGATGAGGTCCCTCTTGACCTGCATGGCATACCGCAGCAGGATGCTCTCGCGCTCATGAGGCTTGTTGGCATGCTCCAGGTCATTCAGCAGCGACAAAGGCAAACCCTCACGAGTGTCTGCACACATCACATCACACACAACACACCGCCACTGCAGACTGCCGGAGACACGGCCAACGAGGGAGCGAATCCCGCCTCACCCACCCACCAGTGAGGACGTGCAGCCGCTTCCCTTCTGGCTTCCCCTCAGTGTCTGTGCCGGAATCGCCCCCCGTCTTGGCGGCCGCGGGCATCGCAGTGGTGACGATATCCCTCTGCTGTGCGGATGCGGGGGTGTTGTCGCATGACACATCCGACACCCCACACTGATCGAGCCGCTGCACGCGGGGCGTGCCTCTTGCCGACGACCCAGATGCCCTCCGGCCCTCCCTGTCGATGCTGCGGGGAGTCTCGGGCGCCATGCGGAACCCAAGCAGGCCGCCACTCCCGTCGGATGACCGGGTGGTCTTGCTGCCACGCCGCATCATCAGATCTCGCCTCTCGATCTCGCCTCAATGACACACGCTCCAGATCACTGAAGCCGCAATAAGCCGCCACGCCGGGGAGCGATGCGCAACAGATCAGCTTAGGAGTTGGGGTCTTTCCCCTTCAAACACACTCGAGGGTCTGCGAGCTTGGCTCGCAGAGCAGAGTCCTTTTCTGATTGCTTTGAGCAGTGCAAGAGCACTCCACATGATGCGGCGTATGCAGTGGCACCTTTGGAGAGAGTTAGCCATGCGAGCTGAGCGGACGCGGCTACTGGTGACCTGACACCGTCAGGCAGCACGAGCATCCGCGTGACGAGAGGCCAGAGGTGTGAAAGCCTGGGAGGTCATGTACCACTGAGATGAGAGAAGGCGAGAGTGCAGCAGCGATGGAGGGTGAAGCCGAGGACTGCAGCCGGCCTCAGCTGCCAAGTCAGCAGCTGGATGTTTCTCCCCCTCAGGAGACCGAGGGCGGCAAAGACAGCCGCCAGATGACCAACAATGGAGGCCCGAGCGACGACTGGTGCGCTGATGGGGAGGAGAGCGACGCCTCCGAGATGGCGGGTGGGGAGGGGGGCGCTGCGGCGAAGAAGAAGGCGAGACCCAAGAAGGCACCTCCCAAGAAGTAAGGAGAGCCGATACACCCACTGCATGGTGTCACATAGCTATGCATAGACAGACCCGTTGTCCACTCTGGATGGATGGACGGATGCGTGTGTGTGTGTGTGTGCAGGTCTGGCGATGGTAGTGGGAGGAATGGGAATGGCCGCGCCAAGCCGTCCGTGTGTCCCTTCTGCAAGATTCGTCTCAACAGCCAGATCGAGTCCCTCTCGCGACACATCGCCATGTGCCAGGGTCTGAATGAATGACCGACACTCTCACTCACGATAACTTACCCCTTCTGTGCCTGTCTGTGTCGTCAGGTTCGTGTGCGCGTGCTGATGACATTCTGCACGACATTGAGCTCATGGTCAAGGACCTGCCTCCAGAGGAGCGGCCCATCATCACCCCCACCAACCGCCACTCCAACCGCCAGCCGCCCCCTGTGCCGGACCACTGCATTGCCAAGAGTCGCCCCCGCCGGCAGGCGGCCCTCAACCTCAAATACCCCTTCAAACGAGACGGCGACAAGCGGCCACACGCCGAGGATGAAAACGACGAGGCAAACGACGATTCCTCGCGTAACAACAAGGGCAACGGAAGGGCCAAGAGCAAGGGCAAGTCGGCGCCAGCCACACCGGCAACAAAGCCGCTGATGCGGACAAGGGCGGCCAAGGGCGGTGTGGCTGATGATGAGCCCAGCATTGAGGTGGGGGAGGCGTATCGCGACTCCAGGGCCATCCTGCGGGACTGCGAGGAGGCTATGCGGGCACTGGCCGATGCCGCACTCAGCTTCGATCAGGAGGAGTGGCACAGAGGGCGGCATGAGACAACAGACGATGAGGGGCAAGACGAGGGTGAGATGGACGAGGACCCTGCTGCTGATGAGGAGGTCGACAGCGAGTGGGAGTACGCCAAGGACTCGAGACAGCGCAAGGGCGACAATAAGCACAAGCGCGCCAAGAGAAGGCGCATCGCCGCGCAGCCGCAGGAGGAGGGTGACGACGTGGGCCAGCCCCGCCCCTCAGGTGTGTCGATGGACGGCGGCATGGATGACGCCGGCCTCCAGCTCTTCGCCAAGATCGTTGCTCGTGCACAGACCAATGGCACCTCCCCTGCCGACTTCTCACAAGAGCCCGAGAGCAAGGGCAAGGGCAACGACAGAGGAGAGGAGCCACCGGTTGACCAGACGGCAGAGGGCACCACCCAAGACAATCGGGATCCCGATGATGCGGCCTTGCGGCTGCCCCTGAAGGAGCCAGGCCAGCAGCAGCAGAACAGGAGCCACGAGTCCGCTCTGCCCCCGCTGTACTCGCTTGCCGTGGCAGCGTTGTCTCATCCGAAGGCGTCAGAGTTGCTGGCCGAGCTGCAGAGTGAGGGACAGCTGCCCATCCCGCTCAGCGGACAGCAGGTAGCTACCGTCCGTCATGGACTCATGGACTCGTCTATGTGTTCTGTGTTGGTTGATGTGATGTGTGTCAGGGTGAGGCGTTACAGCAGCAGCTAGCCGAGCTGCTGCGGGCCGACGGCAAGGCCACCTTCCGCCCCAGCAACGTCCGGGCCAGCATCAAGGCAGCTGACGAGGACCACAGCCCCATGACCACACCAGAACGGACAGTGGACCCCGGCGCCACCAACAAGAACCATCACCAGCAGCATCACCCGCCCCTGTCTGAGGGCGACGTCGGTAACAACGGCGGCGGGAGCAGCCAGAAGAGGGGCAGATCCAAGAGCAGTGGCAATGATGCGTCGCTGGCTGCGGCCTTGGCGGATGACGGCATCGATGATGAGCTGGCGCTGGCCTTCCTGGACGACCTGGATGACGACATGGACAGCCGGCCGAGGAAAAGGCGGCAGGTCAGGGGAGGCAGGAAGGGAAGAGGGCAGGGCGCTGCTAGACGCAAGACGGGGGCTGCTCACGGCACCAGCAAGGTGAGTGAGTTCACGGCCTGCAGGGGTGTTCACAGAATCACGATCATGTTGGCGATGTGCGTTCCATTGCTGCAGGGCAAGAGAGGTCGCGGGAAGGCCAACGACGGCGGCCGACGGAAGAAGGCGGCAGGCAAGAACGGCGAATCCACTCCCCCATCGCTCTTGGTTCCTCCCCCACCTCTCACCGATGCTGCCGACCCCAGCACGTCGCCATCACAACCACCCGCCCCCTCCTCTGCACACCCCAATCAGGAGTCCAAGTCGGTTCTCGCGTCCAGCTCCCCGTTCCCCAGCCCCTTCTTCGCTCTGTCCGACGAGGACCAGATGGAGTGGCAGCGACTGCTGCGGCAAAAGGCGCAGGAACTCACCTTCATGTCGCGGCGCAGAAAGAAGGCCGACGACGATGCTGGCGGCGGTGGAACAAGTGCCGCACCGGCGGATTCCCTCGGCGGCCCCTCTGCGTCTCTCTTGTCGATATTGAATCGTCGCAAGAGGCTGCAGCAGGGTGGGGATGATGCCGAGGCCGCCGACGACGCAGAGTCCGCCGGCGACGAGGACAAGCCGAAGGATGGCGCGAGCCCCGCGGCGAGATGCCCTTTCACTTTCGGGCGCCCCCCTCCCCCGTATCCCTATCCCCCGCCCCCAGCTCCACCCCCAGACACTGGCTGGGGCGCTCCGCCGTACCCTCCACCACCTCTCCATGGATATCGGCCAGACGGTCCGTATCATCCGGCCCCCTATGTGCCCCCCCACCCCCCCTACGCCGCCATCCGGCACCCGCACTTCCCACTCATGCATCACCCGATGCACGAGGGAGGGTTCGCGCCGTGCAACTGCCCCGAGTGCGTCAACGCGAGAAGGGGAGGGCCGCCATTGCCCGCCAGGCCGCCCATGTGGCACCAGCAGCATGCGGCGGTCGACAGGGGCAGCCCTGCCCTGAAGGGCGAGGACGGTGGGGTGGGTGACGGCACTGGGTCTGAGGTGTCGATGCCCGATGGTGAGTATGACTTTTTCCCGATGGAGGGCGAGACCGAGGAGGCCATCTCAAGCGGGCAGGGCATATACTTCGACAGCCACACCAACAACTGGTTCGTCCCCTGGTGGCTCGACGGCAAGCGCAAGACACGGACCTTCAACAAAGGCAGGTACGGGGAGCACGCCTTCACTGTGGCCAAGGACTTCTACTGCGTCGCTAAGAGGTGGGGGCTCATGGACGTCAACAACCGCCTTCACGCTCGATCCACCGGCTTCGACCCTTCCAAAGCCTACTCTGCCCTCCTGGGCAAACCATCGGCCGCCACACCAGCTGACAGCAACAACAGCCGCGCCGAGTCAGCACCACCCGACGCAGCACAAGATCCGCCAGAGGAGGTCGGTGCTGAGAGCCAGCAGCCACAAGTGGGTGTCAAGCAACAGGAGGATGGGCCGTCTGATGGCCTCAGCAGTTTGGTAGCGGCTGTGACGGCCATGAGCATGGCCAAGGAGCGGCAAGAGAAAGAGGCTGTCAGTGGCGACAAGAGGAAGGCCGCTTGTCTCAAGTCAGAGCCCGATGCCGAGGGCGGGCAAGAGGAGGGGGGATCGAGGCCGCCATCGAGCAAGGAGAGGCGCGTCGATGGAGACCCGCGAGAGCTGTCTGCCGCTCCCACAAGCGACGCCGCCAAGAAGCCCATACAGCCGCCATCGTTTTCGTCGCCAGGCCCCCCGCTTCACATGCCCTCCCCTCTGAGCGCCCAGCGCAGCCCCCATCGGCCCTTCCCTCCCCCGCCCCCCTACCCACTAGTCTTTCCATCCAAGATGATCCCGCCGGCCGCCGCACTCAGCCCCCACCCTCACCGGCCTGCGTTCATGGCTCCCTCGCCCCCCGCCCCGCTGTTCCGCATGCCCAATGCTCGTGAGCCGACGTCGAGTGCTCTGCTGCATCGTGGGCCGGTCGGCAAGCGGCAGGCGGGGTCGCCACGAGGTGTGTTCTGGGACCCATTCACCGGGGCGTGGTGCGTCGAGTGGCCCTGTCAGGGACACATCAGGTCAGCAACGAAGGATGGAAGCATCACGCCACCCACGACTATGCACAATCTGTCTGTCTACTCATCCTTGCCTTTCTCCATTGGCTATCTTCCGTAGGCGTAAGTTGTTTCCTGTTCAGCAGGTGCAGCACGATTTGCATGACAAGGAGCGGATGGCGCGGGTCTATTACAAGGAGCTGGCCGAGAAGGGCTGGCTCGTGCCTCTCAACGACCAGTGGGACGACGCTCACTTCACCTTTTACAAGCTCTTCCCCAACGTCATGCGCAACAAACCCATCACGCCTAGCCTCAACATCGACATGAGTGGGCAGCACGGCGGTGGCAAGAAGGCCAGCAGAGTCAGCAAAAGCGACGCCAGCAGCAAGAGTGACGACCGACAGAGGAATGCCACGCCCGCTGCAGAAGATCACGACACAGCCAAGAGGGAGGAGCCGAGCAAGCCGACTGACGGCAAGGACAGAGAGAGCCAAGCCGCCCCCCCGCAGAGCGACTCGCCATTTGCCCGAATCAAGACGGAGAGAGACCTAGAGGGGCCCCGCCCGGCCATCAGCACCCTCCCGCCACACACGCCGGCTTTCGGCTACCCCAATCATATACCTTTCTACGGCCCCCCGCCCCATTCAGCACACGAGGCGGCGCCGATTCGGTCGCCGACCAGCACCCTGCTGCCCAGGCGGAGGCCCGATGGTCACGTGCCTATGTTGTCTTTGGGTGTGCCATCGTACCCTCCCGCATCGATGGGCCATGGGTGGACTGGCGCGAGGCCGCCCCCTGCTGCTGGTGGTGTTTAACAGCCAGGAGAGGAGAGTAGTGGGTGTCACGGCCGGCGTGTATATGCTGATGTGCCCGTTTGCTTGTGTGCGTGTGCGTGTGTGTGTGTGTGCGTGAGCCTCTTCGTCGACTACTCTGTCTATGTCTGTGTAAGCGGCTCGCATTTTTGCGGCGAGGGGCGGGCGCAGATTCTGATTGTCCATGCATCAGAGTGCATATCCCGTGTGTACGTGAAAGGAGCATCATGATGCGTCCTTGATCTCCTACTTTTGGCCGATGAGTGTGCATGTGCGTGTGCCAGATGGGTGACGGGTGAGCGTGTCGCTCCTTCTCTCTGGTGAATAAAGCGCATGCGGCGTCCAGCCACAGGGCTGTGCGTGCCCATTTTGATCACTGGCGAGGGGATAGGAGGTGACATGAGAATGTCTGCTGTCTTAGTGCTCGCCGGGTGCGTGTGTTGGCGGAGTGAGGGCGCAGTTGCTTTGGTTTGGTTTGGTTGGTTGGTTGGTAGTGTGAGCGGGGAGGTGGTCTGCTGTATTGTAGTACTATCTACCTATCTTATCTGATCTACACGTACATCCATCCATCCATGGGAGGTGACGGATGTGCGAATGAGTGAATGGTCAGCCACACCACCCTCCCTGCCTCCCTCTCTCCCTCCCTCCCTCCCTCCCAGCCCCCCTCCTATGGCTGCTCGCCATTTTTCCCGGTCTCTGAATGGTGCAGTGGACATGTGTCTCTAACTATCGCTATGTGATGACATTCGGTCAACTGAATTGCCCGCCTTGCTATGCACACATGCCCAGACAGACGTTCACGAAAAGTGAGTGTGTCGCGCCACACAGAAATGTCCACGTCATCTCCTTCCACAGCACCATCAGAAACCAGCAACCAACTCAGACGGAAATAGCCGACCGAATGCATTCTATGCTTCCTTCAGCATATGAACAGGAACCGACCGACCTACCTACAAATACAGAACTACTCACCCCAACCACAAATTCGCCCCTCGCTCTTTAGCCTAGCCGTCCCTGTTGGTCTGGAAGGCCGCCACGTCCTTGGCCGGCGGCCAGTCGTCAGGGCACTCCAGCACGTGACGTGTGTCGGGCGGCGGCGGGCAGTAGGCAACATCCTCCATGTCCCCCCTCTCCCAAGAGCTGTGGGCGGCGGCCTTCCTGACCCACCGTGCCGCCGCTTCTCGGTATTTCCACGTGGCATAGGCTTGAGGCACCAGCACAGCAAGGCCACAGAAGCCCAAGAGGCCGAAGCCGGCGTTGTATGAGACCATTTGTGTGAGGCCCGATGACAGCAAAGGGGAAACCATGATGCCTGCAGGCAGGGACGACATACACACAGTCACACAGATCCACCCCAACCCACCCATTTGACGCCGCCAGTGTCACTCAGTCACTGACCCAGATTGACAGCCTCAGACAGCACAGCAAACCCTTTTCCGCGATCACAGAAACCTCTGTCCTTCACGTAGAGGCCGACAAAGGCCACCACACAGCTGTCGGTCATGCCTACCCCTCCGCCCGCCACGGCGACGATGGCCGCCTGTGCGGTCACCCCCAGGACCGCCGCAGCCATGACCAACGACACCGCCACGCAACACAAAAACACCCCCAACAGCACAAACACTTGCGGCAGCAGCTGGTACCTGCACCGCACCCACACATACACCAATAGATAGACAGATAGATAACAGTGGCTGGCCTGGCCGATTGGATTGCGCTCCTGACCACACACGCATGGCATGACGTACCTATCAGCCAGGAGCGGCATGAGAGCCGCACAGACGACTTTAGTCAGCATGCAGGGAAACAGAATGCTGCCCACCACACCCGCGGACGTGCCGAAGCGATCACGCCAGTAGAGCGGGAGGAGCGCCTGGAGGGAGAGCAGGCACCCCCAAGCGTAGAGCAGACTCATGAAGGAGCAGCAGAAGTGCCACTCCCAGAACGACACGAATCGCGACTTCTCCCGCCGCAGCCGGGCAGCGGAGGGGGGCGTCCTCTCCTGCGTCGACTCGCTCTCGCCCGAAATAAACTCCTGTTCCATCTGCGCGTTATCCGCCAGGGTAGAGGGGAGTCGGTTGCGCAGTGAGAGGGCCAGACACGTGACGGCCACGGACAGGGCAAGGATGGTGGCAAAGGTGACGTAGTCGCCACCAAGCTGAAACAAGACCCCGCCCACAGAAGGGCCCAGCACGGAACCAATGTCTGATGACACAATCAATGACTGAATGAACAACACGACCGTGCCGTGGGGCATCCATCCATCCCTCACTGACCTGCGCTATACGCGATGCCCGTTGCCGTGCTGCGGCAGCCGTCGTCATGGGATGCTGATACCGCCGTCATTATGGCCGGCCACAAGAAGGATGATGACACCCCCAGGATGACCCGACCGAGCAGATAGACGGGCACCGATGGTGGCATAAGAAACACCGCACAGCCGAGGATCAGCAGCGGGTAGGGCACCCACATGATGGCCTGCCAGCCGTATGTGTCGACGAAGTGGCCGGCCACTGGTGTGACGAAGAAGGCCACCAGTGGGTGTGCGGCGAAGACGATCCCCTGGATAAAGGGCTTGGTCTGCAGCGCAAAGGGGGCGATGGGAATGACGACCGTGTAGAGAATGGTCTCCACGAAGATGGTCAGCCAGGCGACCGCCAAGAGACCCACATGCAGACCCCGCCACCGCACCCTCTGTGAATCACATAGAAAGAACACACAGATCCATCACATAGAAAGAGCACTGGGTGGGCATTCATCGCGTTGCGTGGCGTTTTGTGTTGGTTTGCATGGTGTGGTGTGGTGTGGCGCGGACCTGGTGAATCAGTCGCTGCCTTTCGTCTTGATCTGCAGCAGGCGGACCTTCGCAGCCACCGTGAGTGTCCTTGGACAGCTCGTGCATCAGCTCACCGTCCTCGAAAGCTCCATCCCGCCCTTCGTTCATCCGCAGGCGGTCTTCGGCCAGCAGCGGCTGACGAAAGGATGGCACTGCTGTATTCATCAACTTGCTCTGACCATCACTTAGCTGCTTCTCTTTCTCTCTTTTCCTGCCCTTCTTCGACACGATCCGGAGCTCGCACTGCAAGCTTAGCCCAAAAAGCGGGAAATGCCGTCGTCTGTGCTGCTGCTGCGATGCTTCATCGTCGCCTCAACAGCTGTCACCACCGTATTCTCAAGGGAGGCCTCCAGCCAGAGGTCAGTGTCAATGACACCAACCGCACACATGGAGAACATTCCTCCAGCATGTATCTTTCTTTGCTTCTCAGGGAGAGCTTCATCGCCCCCATCTCTACCCCACTTGACCGTCAGAAGTCGGCTCCACCAAGCCGCCTCAACTCCCTTTCTTTGGCGAACCTGAGGCGGGCTGGAGGTGGCGGCCGCGCCGTTGTAGAGGCCTACTACGAAGCCATGAATAACCGGGACTGGGAAACTCTGGAGGACCTCCTGGATGAAGACTGCACCCTCTCGGATTGGGCCATGCTCTCGCCATTCAAAAGTGCGTGCGATGGAGGGAGGAGTGGGAGAGGGAGAGAGGGGTGGCGGCACAGATGGTGCTCATTCAATGCTCCTGTGCATATATGGCATTCAGGCAAGCGGCAGGTGCGTGCGTATTTCGAGAGGCTGGCGAGGTCCGCGCCGCGGGACGTGGTGATCCAGGTGGAGGACATCACAGATGGGAGGACCTCCTTCGGCGTCCAGTCGCACTTCACGATGGGAGGTGACCGACCGACGCAACACAACAAGAACATAGAGAGGCAGAACGACGCAAACACACGCCATTAGGTCTTGTCGTGTTCTGTGTGTGTATGTCAGGTGCGCCATTGCCCTTGACGCGCATGTTGAGTCTGATATCCTTGAGCCCTGAAGGCAAGGTTCTGGAGATCGTTGATTCGGCCGAGAACATGACCAAGGTCGGGGAGCTGGGCATGAGTGTCATCCTTCGGTTCCTGCCGGCGTATCGACTCTCGCGTCACGTCATGCCCGCGTTCGTCACGCGCATACTCGAGCCAAATGTAGAGGGCGACTGAGAGACAGAGAGGGAAGGGGCGGGGCGACGCATTGGCTGGATGGGATGTCTGCCGATGTGGCGTAGCGAGACCAGAAGGCATGGCAGACGGTCTGTCGGTCCTAGTCTGTAGAGAGTGCTGGTGGATGAACACGCGATGCATGTGGTGTTTCTCTCTCTCTCTCATGTGTGTGTGTGTGTGTGTGTATGTGTCGTGCGTGTGTGTACAGGTCGCTAGCTATGTCGATAGGTTTTGGCTTCGCTGGCCTGCTGAACGAAGCGCTGTGCGGCAGTTTTGTTTGCTCGCATGCTCTGCCTTCTTGTCGGGCGTGCAGAGCAACAAGCTTTGCAAATGAATTGATAATCTGCATGTACGACTCTGCCGCGACAAGAGGCTTATTGTGGCGTGAACATGTGTGTGCATCCCTCGCTGCGAAATGTGGGGGTGACTGACGTGACCGATGCGAAGCTCGCATGGTGGAACCTTCTCGAGAGCGAAATGGACTCCTCAGCATCCATAGCATCCGAAGCAGCGGCCGCAGCTGTTGCAGCTGCTGCTTCGGCCGCACTCAACCATGACCCATGCGAAGATCTGGTCAGTCGTTGATAAGGGCAGGCACTATGGACGGATCTGTGCGCGTTGTGCCTCTGTGTGTGTGCCAGCTGTGTGATGTATTGTTCTCGCTGGCGGCGCATGCTTGTGATGTCGCCAAAGCAGTTGCTGACAAGACTGGTAGGTGCTGTGCGGGGGGAGGAAGGGAAGGAGGACAGCGGGCAGCCAGAGCATGTTGTGTCTTGCTGACCCTGCAGGCTACAAGTGGACCCCTCCTGCGCTACAGGGTGAGAGGCCAAGGTGAGAAGTGCTTTAAGACGGGTCCCTCCCACCCTTGCAGCCAGCCATCAAGTGTGTGTCGTTGGATCCTGCGTGCAGGGGGCCATCTCAGCGTCAGTTAGACATCACATCATACTCTCTCTGGTGCAACTACATGAGAACGCTACTCAAGGTACGACACCCTGGACATCAAGGACCCTCCAAGGAAGGTCAGCCACGCACCCTTACATGAATGACAGCAACAGCGCCTCACCCGTTGCATGGTGTGTGCTGTAATCATTCAGAGCTATCTGAGTTGTGGGCTGAGCTACCTGCTGACGAGAAGGCCCCGTGGGAGAAGCAGGCCCGTGATGCCGCGGCGGGCCTCCATCCTTTACATCCTTCCTCACCCCTGGCCCCCATCGGCACCACTCTGACCCAGCTGCAGTCCAGACTGAGGGCTTGACTGCGCGTGAGGAGGTGGTGCCTTTGCAACGGCCCTCCAAAGGTGGGGAGATAAAAAAAAAGACCCAAACAAACACACACAGCCACACAACCGCATCGATCGATTGCTGTGTCGTGTCTTGATTTGTAGAGATGAGGGCGAGTGAGCGCGCTCAAGAGCCGCACGGCTTCGAGAAGGTGCGGTCAGCCACTGCCCTGACCAGGCTGGCCTCCACTCAGCTCACGACATTCAGCCTTTAATGTGTTGTGTGTGACTGACGGATGGATGCAGGACGACAAAGAGGGTGCCGAGGGGGAGGAAGGCGACGACGAGCGAGGCGGCATTCTTAAGCGCATCAAGACAGAGAAACCGTGAATGACATATGTACTCTGTGCGCCTAGAGTGGATCTGCTGAGGATTCGTTCTGTAGAGACATGCGTGACGAACGCAATGGATGATTTTTTTGTATTTCTGCATGCGAATGATTAACCATACAGAAGAACAGATGTATCTTGCGTAAGCCATACAAACATGTGTATGGCTTTCTGGCTTTCGCGAGACTGTCGAGAATTTACGAAAATGAGACGGGAAAACGAAAAAAACTTCTCCTCCACACCGTTAAAGCGGAGTTCTTTCGTAACGCTGACGCATGTGTGATGGGAAGCAGTCTCTGACCACCCCTGTGCGAGTTCGAGTTGGAATCACGACTGACAGCCCAGCAGCAGCAGCAGCGGTAGGTGTGTTTGCCCATGCCCGATTCGTCCCAGCCGCGAAACCGCCAACGGATCAACGATTTGAGGGTCACATTGACGGCTCGCATACATCGCGTCGATGGGCAGAGTCGACTGACCGCTTTCCTTTCGCCAGATGATTGTGCTCGACACCAATAACTCGACACCTACATCAACCAGCATTACGGCAGCCACAGGGCAGCGGCTTTATGCTGAAAACCGACACCGGCCGTCTGTTCGTCGCTACGGCGGCACATGTGGCAATTGGAGCCCTCTCAGTGACAATGGATGTAGAGAGCAACGGGTGATGATGGTGCTGGAGACATACATCCACCGGCACAACCCAATCGACGGGCATCCCGATCTGGCGGTCATGGAGGTAGAGGGCAATCACGAGGTGCGTTCGGTGCTTCCAGGGGGGCTCGTGGTCGCCAAGAGTGTCGGCCTGCGACAGCAACTCCACTCGATCGACGCCGCCCGCTTTTTTCAGTCGAGAAGAGAGAGACGCCGCCAAGAAGCCAGCCAAGCCCGACAAGACACCCACCAAGAAGCCAGCCAAGGAGACGGGCAAGAAGAAGGCCAGCAGGAAGACCATCAAGCCCGGCAAGAAGACCCCCAAGAAGAAGCTGCAGGTGGGAAGACGGGTGCGGCAGCCGGTGTGGTGTTGCTGCAGGTCGACAAAGAGGTGTGGTGCCCCGTCGCCATCTGTGTCGCCCAAGAAGCAGCGGGGGAGAGGCGTCGCGGACAGAGTCCGCAAGGCGCCAAGAAGAAGAAGAAGACGGCGGCTGCGAAGAACATGTTTTGGGTGCTGAGGAAGGAGCTCTTCGGCGTATGTTAGGCAGGCAGGCAGACGCAGGCAGAACCATCTGCTTTTTTCAGTTGGTGAGCGAGATCATAGGACAATCACGCAAGAGACACTGCCTGCGATCTGCAGTAACGACCAGGGGGGAGTGGTTCGTTGCTGCTGCTTGTCTGTCCACTCATGAATAAGCTGGAATGTTCTGCTTGTGTATGCAGGTAATATCGCTGCCTACACTTTATATGTGATGAGCTGCATTCTCCCCTCTCAGCACCACAAGGGAGAGAAACACGATCATGTCTCTGTTGACGCCGGCGCGGTAGGGAGAGAGACAACTAGGGAGAGACACAACAGAGACACAATGTGTGTGTTTGTGTGTGCCTGTCTTGACACAGAGCAGTCGGAGAAAGCCCATTCGATGCATTCGCTTCAACTGCAGCTTTTTTGACCGAGGCTATGAGCACCTCACGGCGGACAACAAGACCAACATCGAGAACGCCAAGACGTCAACCCCGACATCCAGTAGGTCAATGGCGACAGCAACTGCCTCCCGATGGCGCTGGCAGACGGGCTGAAGAGGGCGCACAGGTGGCTGAGGGGGTGGAGGTGTGGGGCGGCGTGCCGGCCAGATGGAAGTTTCGGCAGAGGGAGCCGGCGTCGTCGCAGGTGTTGGAGTGGAGCGGGCGCGAGGGACTTACAAGAAGCTGAGGTCCTCACAGCGATACCAGCTCAGCATCAGTAAAGAGACAACACGGGCAAATGCACTGGGGAACGAAATGTGCCGAGGGTTGGTGTGTTGTCTTTTTTTCTTCAGGTTTCGCGTTTCGCAAGTTGATCGCCACGGCCCTGCTGCGCTACCAGCATGAGCTGTCTCACCCGGCTGCCGGCATCAGCTACATCGTGACAAGTAATATGAGTCGAATGTGCGAAGATATGCAGAAAGACCAATGCCTGTGCGTGTGAGTGTGTCAGCAGTGTGTTTCCTTCAGCGGGTGCATACAGCCGCTGCGTGTGTTCCCTACGCTGGCGGGCATGATCGTGTCGATTCAGCTGGTGGATCGCTGCCTACATTTTATATTATGTATGTACCTGTCGTCGACCTGCGCTGCCATGTCTCGCCAATGTGTGTCATTTGGATGGGCGCACTTTGCATCGAGGTGGGTGGGTTGGTTGACGGATACGCAGCGAAGACGAGTCAGGAAAAAGAGTACTCCACTGCAGTCACGGATGTAAGTATGCTAGCTTGAATAAATCCCTCACACGTACGCAATCGTTCCCAACCATCTGCTGCTTTGCTTCAGCCACGACTGACTCCCTCGTGATGCTTCTCGAGACCATGGCGACAATGTGGTGGTGGCCACACATTGCCGGCAGCGTCGAGAAAGGCAGACCAGATGCAGAGGCTCTCTCATCATCCTGAGGGAAGAAAGTACACTCACACACCTAAACAAACGAACGAACGACTGATTTTCCATCCATCAATCACTGGTGCTGGCGAAGCCTACAGCCAGCCAGCCCGATCCCCCCACCGCCACCGCCCCTGCCACCTATCCCTCTACACATTCGGCAGCAGCCCTCCCCTCCAGCAGGCCCCTGTTCGTTCGAAAAAGGCCGTCGGCCATCCATCCACGCCAACTGACTGACGTCCACCCACACAGTCTGTCTGCCCACACAGGGTGGTGCACACATATCAACAGCCATGTACCTAGCTATGAACCTCCCTCTATCTAGTTGGTGCTGCACTCGCCCAGCCCGCAACGCCTTCACAGTTTGGAGTCGCCCGGCGCGTTGCGGACACAGTCGTCGATGGCACCCACGACGTAAGGGATGTTCTTGTGGTTCAAACCAGCCTGAACACACACACACGCACGGGCGCACACACACGTGTCGGTTGATGCGGGGGTGCATATATTTGTGTCTCTCTATGTACCAGGCTGATGCGGCCGTTCTTGAGCATGTAGATGTGCCACTGGTCGATCATGCGCTCGCTCTGGGCCACCGACAGGCCCGTGTAGCTGAACATCCCTATCTGTCGCGTGATGTGCTCCCAGCTCCCGGGCGTCCCCTTGGCCTCCAACCCACCACGCAAATCAGACCTGATTCATCCACACACACATACCAACACACGTAAGTAAACCCATGTGGTCTGTCCCGTGTGTGTGTGTGTGTGTGTCTCGTGTTGCCCGACCTGACGCGGTGTATGCGCGCGGCGACGTCCTTGAGCTGCTGCTGCCACTCGGCGAAGAGGGTCGGGTCGGAGAGGATGCGCTCGACGATGCGGCCGCCGTGCACCGGTGGGTTACTGTACATGGCGCGGACCACTGGCTTCACCTGAGACAACACCACCTTGGCACGCTCCGCACTGCTCGCGACCTGATTTCACACACGCACCGCACACGAGAGACCGCATGCAGTCAGTGCCACCTCCCTCTCTCTGTCGGGTAGGGTAGGTGTGTGAAGGGGCGACAGTACGATGTGGAACATGCCAACACGCTCGCCGTAGAGGCCGAAATTCTTGGCGAACGACTGAGCGACGAAGAACTCCAGCCCACTCGACTCGAAGAGACGCAGCGAGTAGGCGTCCTCATCCAAATCACCACTCGCATAACCCTGCACACACACACCCACACACACACACACACATCTCCCTCTCATGCCAGTCAGTCCCTATCTATGAGTGGGTCAAGCGAGTGGCTGACCTGGTAGGCTGTGTCGATGAATGGAATGAGGTTGTTGTCCTTGATGACCTGCACGATCTGCTGCCACTCGTCCTTGGTGGGGTCCAGGCCCGTGGGGTTGTGGGCGCACCCGTGCAGCACGATGATGGAGTGCTTGGGGGCGAACTTGAGGGTGTGGAGCATGGCGTCCATGTCCACGCACCGGCGGGCCTGGTCCCAGTAGGGGTACGTCTTGACGGCAAACCCGGCCGCGAGGAAGATCTGCTTGTGGTTGCCCCACGTGGGGTCGCTCAGATACACTGTCTGCAGGGAAACAAAGAGAGAGAGAAGGAGAGAGCAGCGTGGATGCGCACCTCCACCATCTGTGCGTGTGTGATCTTGTGGCTGACCCGGCCCCAGTCCTGCGGCAGGTGTCTGTTCATAAACTCCGCACCCACACGCAACGCCCCAGTGCCGGACAAGGCCTGAGTGGCAAAGAGCAGAAAGCGATGCAGTGTTCAGTCCGTCTGTGTGTGGTGTGGTTGGCATGTCCCTACCTGGATTGAGCATATTCTGTCCCCTCGGTAGGCCGCGCACTCGCCGAACAGCAGCTTCTGAGTCACCTGCAGGGCCACGGCGCACGCACAGAACGAAAGCAGGTGTGACAACACTGATTGATAAATCCACGTGTCTGTGTGTGTGTGTGTGTGTGAGTGAGTGACCTTCTTGAGTCCTGGGAGGCCGTCGATGGGCAGATACTCCTTGTCGAGTGTCTGTGCCGCCAGCTCCTTGTCCACCTTGGCCACCACGGGGAACACATACGTCGCGCCCTCCTCAGTGCGATAAGCGCCAACACCCAAATTCACCTGTCCATCCGCCACACACACACACACACACAGTGAATGCGCCCCCTTGCCAGATGCATGCCTCACCTTGTTTGGGTTTGTGTCGGCCTTGTACGCCAGGGCCGTGCCGAGGATGGGATCGGGAGGCGCCTCGACGATGTGTTCAAACATCGATGACGACGCCATGGCGCTGCTGGTGGTCGCGAACATGCGGCGCGAAGGATAATTGAAGAAGCCCAGCCGACGTGTGGATGTGTTGAGCAGGGGCAGTGCGGATCTGGCTGCCAACCGGGCGGCGCAGGGAGAGAGGGAGGCGAGATGAGTGGAGGAAGATACAAGGCTACTCGGCGTCTGCAACAGAGCTGTCAGCATCAAGAAAATATACCGTGTTGCATTTGTCCCAGCCTCAAGCGACATCGTCCTTTTGAGCTCGCAATTTTTGAGCGATCGGGCTGTTGTTCGAGCCTCTTTGCGTGTGTGTTGGGGAGAGCTGGCCTGTACAGCCGCCATCTCTTCCAGCCTTCCAGCGTGTCGTCCTGCGTGAGACCGGCGAGGGCACCCGGCGTGTTGTCGGAGTCTGAAACCCCGCCCGTGGCTTGGCGGTGTGCCTGGAGAACTGCATCCACCGAGCAGCAGGTGCGCATCCACCGCACGGGCAAAAAAGGCGCCCATCCGGCGCTGTCCTCCTGGGCCCAATTTCTGAACGTCACGCATCGCATTTGCTGGTGCTGTGATGGCTACTGGGATGGTTGTCTTTCTCCGTTGTCAGGTGTGTTGGTGCGTTTGGTAGCATAGCGGCTGAGGATGTCGTCGAGTGAGCTGTCTGCGCGGTTCAAGCAGTACGAGAAGGAGGAATGGCTCCTCAACCCGGTGTCGGAACGCAAGGTGACCAGTGCAGTGAGTGCAGCGAGGCAGATCTGGATGGATGGATGGATGGATGGATGGATGGACGCCTGCACGTCTGTATGTGTGTTGTGTGTTGTGTGTTGTGTGTCAGAACATCTTCCCGGTGGTGCACGCGGACATCTGGGAGTTCTATAAGAAGGCCAAGGCGTCCTTCTGGACCACTGAGGAAATCGACCTCGCACAGGTACCACACAGACACAGATGCCGACACAGACAGATACAACAGGTCAACGTCACGTGTGGCTAATGGATGGATGGATCTCGGTTTGTTATGGTGCGTGTGTGTGTGTGTATCAGGACATGTCTGACTGGGCGTCGCTGAGCGAGAACGAGCAGCACTTCATCAAATACGTCCTCGCGTTCTTCGCAGCAAGGTACGGTACACACGCACCTCACCCATCCAAGCCACACCGCACCCCCAACACACACCGCACCCATCCGGTTCGCCTGTGTGCCTTGTCTGTGTGTGGCAAATCGTTTGTCAGTGACGGCATAGTGTTGGAGAATTTGGCGGCGTTGTTTCTGCAGGAGGTGCAGGTGCCTGAGGCCCGCGCCTTCTACGGCTTCCAGATCGCCATGGAGAACATCCACTCGGAGACCTACTCGGTCATGATCGACGAGTACATCAAGGTCACTCACTCACACACTTACCCTCTCGGGCCCCAGCCCCCACCCTCCCACACACGCGCGTGTGTGTGTTGTGTGTGGTGGTGCCTGCCACAGGACTCGGGCGAGAAGGACAAGTTGTTCCACGCCATCCAGACGGTGGACGCGGTGCGGGTCAAGGCCGAGTGGGCCGTCAAGTGGATGGACAAGGACCGGTCATTCCACGAGCGGCTCGTCGCGTACGCCGCCGTCGAGGGCATCCTCTTCTCGGGCAGCTTCTGCGCCATCTACTGGTCGGTATGCCGAAGAGTGACGGACGGCATGAGCGGCATCCTTTATGCGTGACCATCATGGTTGCAATATGTATCAGGTTGAAGAAGCGAGGCCTGAATCCCGGTTTGACGTTCAGCAACGAGCTCATCAGCAGAGACGAGGGCCTCCACGCGGTGAGTCACACCCACCGACACGCCTATATGTTCAGACAGTGGATGGGCATCGGTCGTCGCATGTGTGTGTGTGCAGGACTTCGGCTGCCTGCTGTACTCGAAACTCAAGCACAAGTTGCCCCAGGAGGTGGGTGGGTGGGTGTCCACCACCACCACTTACAACACGGAAGAGCCCATCTCATCTGTGGTGGACGTGTGTGTGTGTGATAGTTCGTTCACGAGATCATCGCGAGTGCGGTTGAGGTTGAGAAGACCTTCATCTGCGACTCCATCCCAGTGTCACTCATCGGAATGAACTCAGGTGCGCACACCGTACCACAGAGACGCACACTTTTCGCTCCTCGACTGACTGGTGCGTCGCATCTCTCCATCCATCCATCCATCCATGTGTGTGTGTGTGTGTGTGTATTGTGTTGTAGAGTTGATGGTTCAGTACATCAAGTTTGTGGCCGACCGTCTGCTGGTGGCCTTGGGGTACGCCAAGCTCTTCAACGTCACCAACCCATTCGACTGGATGGAACTCATCTCACTCCAGGCACAAACACACACACACACACACCACACACCACACATACGTGTGTGTGGATGTATGTGTGTGTTGTCGTGGTGTGTCTGGTGTCAGGGCAAGACCAACTTCTTCGAGAAGCGCGTTGGCGAGTACCAGAAGGCCGGCGTCATGGCCGGCATGGAGATGCAGAAATTCGACCTCAACGCGGAGTTCTGATGGACAATGGTCGGATGAACGAGTACCTTAGCCCGCTCACCTAGACACACGCATACTCACTGACTGACTGACTGACTGACTCGGCTGCCTCACCTGTGTGGATACCAACCGATTGATTGCCGCTTGCACGGCTGTGTGCTTGTGTCGCAGGAGAGGGAGGGAGGGGGGGATGGAGGGGTGGGGGCGGCTCTTTCCCGCCTTTTTGAGGTTTTGCAGTGACGTGTGTGGGCGATGTGTGTGGTGTGTGCGCGTGTGTTGGTGGCTTGTATGTGTGTGCTATATCGTTTTCTTGCGGCTGCATGGCATCCATGTCCATGAGAGGTCCGACCCGCGCACATACCCACTGCACAGCAGTGTGGGGCGCACATCACATAGCCCAAAGCCCACACACACATACGTACGGACAGCAGTTGTACAAAGCACTTTTGGGTGGTTTGGTGACCGGGGAGGGGAGGGGTGTGGTGTGTGGCGGACATGTTCACGTGACGTTTTATTTGGATGCATCCATCATGCGCTGTGTGAATATGTATTGGCTGCTCCTGCATGGATGGATGGATGGATGGATAAATGGAACACGCGCCGTCTTGTGCAGATGACGTCAACCTTCACCACTCACACACACATGCGTTGGTCCCTTCCCTTCTCGTCTGCACGTGTCCTCCCTCATCCACTCACTCAGCTACCTACCTAGCTCCCTCCCTCGTCATCGACACACCCACCATTGATTGAAATCGAAAAAACCACCCCAAAAAATACATATGTTGACACCCCCACCACCCCCACCACCACCACCCACTCGACACGCCCTCCCTCGTCTCTCCTCTCTCTCTGTGAGGCTGTCTGTCTTGTGTTGGCCTCTGCAAGGCCAACAGACACCTGCCCCGCCCCCTGTACATGCTCCCTGCCACAGCACCCCATCCCACCGCCCGCCACCCATTACCCATTACCCAACACAGCGATCGTTATCGTTAATGGTATATATAAACTGTGGATGGATGGAGACAATGCGCACAAAGTACACACACACACACACACACACCCCACACGGCCGCACTCACACAGTGTGACAGGACAGTAGTCCTCAGCCACACGCATGCACGCCAGACCAGACCAGCCACTCACTCATGATCAGCCAGCCAGCAGCCCGCTGTTCAAACTATCCATCCATCCATCCACCCCTCGAGTGTGTGACGCAGGAGAGCATCACGAAAAATGAGGCGAGTCAAGCACTGCAAGAAAAGCGCGCTTGACACCCCCCTTCCCCCCTCTCGGACACATCACTCCCCCCAGACACACACACACTCGGCCTGCCTCACGACGACCGCTGCAGCGGCATGTCCATGTCTCTCTGCTCCGACACGTCATCGTCGATGTCGTCCTCGTCCATGTAGACATCCACCTTGGCCATCGACCGTGCCATGCCGGCCTCGCCCGCACTCGACACACTCGACACAGTCGACGCCGCCGACGGTGACGAAGACGGTGACATGTCGTTCTTGTCCATCTCTTCCTCCTCGTCGGTGATCTCCTCGTTTTGCAGGTGCATCTTGTCCTCAAACTGGTGGCCGAGACGCTGGGCGGCCTGCATCCATATGGTGATGGTGCCGAAAAGGATCATGGCCAGGTAGGGCGTGGACGCAGCCAGCGACCCGAAGGCGAAAATCAGCAGCTGCTGCACAAACGCGCCGCCTGACGAAGAAAAGGAGAGCAATGAGTGGGAACGGGTGGGTGTACTCGGCTGGCTGTTTGGGTGCGGGGGGGGTGTGCGTGTGTCTGTGTGTGTGTGTCTGTGTAGGTACCTGATTTGCCGAGTGGGTTTCCGATGACGTCGATGGCGGCCTTGCCCTTTGACTTCTGCTCGGCGTCGAGAGGGATGTAAGCCATTTCCTTACAGGGGTCGAACAGACTGTACTTGGCGCCCTTCGACAAGATGTTCTGCAGCGCACCGATCTGCCAGACACCAAACAAACAGCACAATGACGACATGGCACTCATGGCCGCAAGCGCATGCTTACCATGACGGCAAGGTGCAGAGGTGAGAGTCCGCCTAGTTTGCTGAGGATCGGTGTGAGCTGTGGCTGGAAGAGCAGGAGAGAGAAGAACCCCAGGCCCGTCACCAGCAGCACCGCTGGCGGGATGAGGGCGCCCGTCGTCCAGCCGAACCGATTCAGCACCACCTGGCTCACCAAGAGCATCAGCAATGTCACAGACCTGACACACACGCAAGCAAGACACACATGACATGAGCGCATTGAGACAAAAAGGGAGACATCGATTCACTGGCTGATGTGTGTCCCCCATCCCACCCCACCCGGTTGCAGTGGAGAAGGCCCCCATGAAGGAGGAGTAGGCATTGGGGTCGGGGTAGGCCTGCCTCAGTCGCGCCTTCCAGGAGACCTCCACCATGTTGATGCTCATGCCGTAGCAGATGACCAGCAGCGCCAGGTCCCGGATGTAGGGCGAGCTGGCGAGGTACTTGATGCTCTCGCGGATCCCCATGGAGGTCTTCTGCTTGGTCTTCTTCTGCACCGTGGCGTCCACCAGGTTGGGGTTGGGGATCACGAACCGTTGCATCCAGTAGAAGATGCCCGTGATGGCCGTCCCGCACACGGCGATTGCACTCATCAGGTACCGCAGGCTGACCGTCCAGCCGTCCACGCCCAGCGGCAGATTCGCACGCAGACGAGACACATACCTGACCAAACAACGGCGTGAACAGAGAGTCTTTCTGTCTGCCTCGTGTGTCTGTGGCAGTCAGTGTGTGTAGTGTACCTGACGTATTGTCCCGAGAAGATGAGTGCGACGTTGGCCATGAGCGAGAAGAGGGGGTAGTACCGCTTGGCCTCATTCACGCTGGTCACTTCGTTGGCAAACCCCCAAAACAGCAGCGACACCACCACCGAGCCCCACAGCTCGGCCATCGTGTAGAACACGGCAAAGGACCAGTTCTTGATGATGCCCAGCGGTGCTGCGAGACGAGCAGCCAAACTGGGAGGGAACACACACAACTTACACGTGTGTCGGCTTCATTGCTGGGTGGCTGTGGTGGTGTCTGTGTGTGTGTCCTACCCGGCAGGCAGAGCAGCAGAGAGTGCTGATACGGCTCCGACGGGGTGCAGGAGGGCTCTGTGGGGGTAGATGATGAAGGCGAACGACAAAAAGAACGCCAGGAAGGGGAAAACGTTGACGTAAAACAGCTGCTCCCTGAACACACACACACACACACACAGAGAGAGATCAATGGCCGTGTTGCCATTGCCATGATTCGGTGGCTTTGTTGTGTTGGTTGACCTGCTGAACATGTTGGACATTTTCGAGAACAGTATGGTGTATGCGATGGCTGCGGGGAGGTTGACGTAGGTCTTGAGGAAGGGGATGATCTCCGCACCGGTCGACGTCACTACCAACACATCCTTCGTGTCTGCACATCCGGTCCGGACATCAACACACACACACACACACAGAGAGAGAGATGCGTGCTTCCTTCCTGCCAACAGGCCAAGCCGGGGCCCATGCCTCTTTTGCTCACCCCTGAGTATGGTGTAGTTAAAGAGGATGAGGAAAAACATGGCGCCGAGCGGGAGGATCTTCTTGAGCGTCCGCTCAGAAGGAACAAACCGCTTCCTGAAGCACACACGCGTACTCACTCACTCACGACCACCTCAACCATCCGCTGACCACAGGGGTTTATGGCTCTTCTCCAGGTGAGCGCTCGTGTCCAGCGACACAGCTCCCAGTGTGGGAGGCACCGCAGGCCCGGTCGCAGGGATGGCTGAGGTTGGTGGTCGCTGCCTGATCTTGGATGCGGCCTGCTCCCATCGCCTCCTGGTAGCTCCCACGACGCTGCCGATGAATGCCTCGTCGGCTGAGGGCGCGAGAGGCCTCACGACAGGCAGCGTGCGTGTCGCCTTCAGCGGTGGGACAGAATGCGCCGCGCATATCCATGCCCCTCCCAAGATCTCCAGCACGATCAACAAGACGGCTGCCGGCTGTCTTGCCATGATGATCATGACGATGCGGAGGCCGCAAAGAGCACAAGCAATGAGTGAGTGAGAGCCTTGCGAGATGAGGCGAGATCAGTGATGACGGTGGTATATCGACAATGGCGGGGGCAGTGAGTCAGCCGGGAAGGTAGGCGCGATGTTGGCGCTCCGAGACAGCTGCGAGCTTAGCGTGGAGAGGGGGAGCTCGCAAATTTTCCACGGGGTGCATCTGTCGGGCTTTACCATTCATGCGATTCGCCATTCACCCGCAAGTAGTGGATCCATCCACTCATCCACTTCGACAAAAGACCCTTGCCTGACGTCTGGTCTGTGTGCCAGTTGAATGCCACCGTGCTGTCCCAGGTCGCGGCCTGATGCCGGCGATGGCGATGAGGGTGACGCGGGTGAGGCCAGCAGCAGACCCACAGGAGTCAGAGGGTGGAAGAGATTCACGTAAGCAACCAACATAACAAATGGAGTCACAGCCAGGCACTCATCTGTCACTTCCGCCTGTCTGTCTGACTGTCGGTCCGTTTCAGGTTCTTCGTCCGCAGCGCCTTGTCGGAGATCCGGCGGCGAAAGTGCGCCTTCCTGCTGGGATTCCTCTCGTGTCTGCTCGTGGTCGCGGCGTCGGCCATCGTGTCCACCGTCACGGAGGTGGCCCCAGCCATCTTCTTGCGACGTGCCGAGGGAGAGGGCGGCCAGATTGACGTCGAGGTCTACGGCCGCGGCTCACCCAGTCTACCCGTCTACTTCCGCGCAGTTGACCGCTCGCCGCCCTTCATCAACTATACGGTAGCTCGGAGCATCCTCATGCAGGACCCTGCCAAGCGGTTCGCGGCCTCCTCTCCCCGAGTGCGCTTGGAGGGCGTCAATGCCTACAGCATGTGCCGCGTGAACCGGTCGTCGATCCATACGGCGGTGCTGGGACGGGTGTGCGGGGCCTACGAGCTGGGCGTGCAGCTGGTGCTCATCGACACGAACCAGGAGAGGAAGATGGGCCTCGGCCGCGACTGGCCCTTCGACAAGCTCGACCCCGCCACGGCCGTCCTCGCACCAGCCATGGCAGGCAAGCTGCGGCTGACATCCGGCCAAGAGTTCATCATCGCCTTTTATGCGGCCGATCTGCTGGTGTCGTATGCCGCCCAGATGCCCTCTGTGTCGAATCGCACGCTCGACATGGCTGCCGAGTACTCGCAGGTGCGCATGCCGGTGGTCTTTGCGAGCCGCTTCCCTCGCGGGGCGGCGGGGAAGGTGCCTGAGAGCGAGGCCAACAAGGTGGTGTTCATGGAGCTGGAGACCTTCCACACCCTCCTGGCGCAGAGCCTCGACCCATGGCTGGACAACTCGACGGCAATCCCACAACAGGTCGCCGGTCGGTCTGTGGCCGAGTTCGCCACATCGGTGGTGGTTAATTATGCTGAGAATCGCATCAGCAACTACCTGAGGTCCAATTTCGACTCTGTGCAAGTGGACGTGACCGAATACGCCGCGGACGTGAGGACACTCCTGTCGTGGGACGCCGTCATCTGTGTGCCGCAGACGCTCAAGGCGCTGGCGGCGTATCGGTTCGGGGGGCTCTTTGTGGGCCTGGTGCTCAACCTGATTGTGTTCATCCTGTTCGTGCTGTCGATCGTGCTGGTCTACTCCCTGCTGCTCATCTCGGTGGAGACCAAGACCTTCCAGCTGGGAATTCTCCGCATGATCGGACTCAACAGGAGAGGGCTGGTGGAGCTCATCCTCATCCAGGCGCTCTCGTACGTCCTCCCGGCCCTTGTCTTTGGGCTCCTGGCGGCGGTGGGCGGCAACGCGCTGGTGGCACGGATGTTCTATCGGCTGACGAGGATACCCGTGAGCTCTGCCCTCTCGTGGCGGTCGATTGTGTACTCGTGCACGCTAGGCATCCTCATCCCAGTCGTGGCGTCCTTCCTGCCCATCAAGGCGGCTCTCCAGCTCAACATCCACGAGGCATTGGACGTCCACCGATCTAAGACCAAAGTGGTGGCCGTGCAGCTGGAGCGGACCGCCACACGCGTCAATTGGACGGGGGTGTTGGTGGGCCTGCTGCTGGCGGTGTTTGGCTTCTGCATCTACTACCTGGTGTGTCAGCACAAGACAAGACCACACAACGCACGACGATCACACCAGACCAGACATGAAGCGAGCAAGTGACCCTGCAATGCCCTCTCTGTGCGTGTGTCCGGCAGGTGCCGCTCGCACTGATCTCGTTCAACATCGCCCTGTTCACGAACATCTTCTTCGCCGTCCTCATGGGCATGCTATTCGGCTTCGTGGTGCTCAGCCTTAACCTCGAGCAGCTCGTCGAGCGGGCAGTGGTGTTCATCTTCCTCTGGTGGGAGACCACCGCCGTCAAGCGCATGGTCCTCAACAACCTCGTGGCCCATCGGCTGCGCAACCGCAAGACGACCATCATGTACGCCGTGGCCCTTGCCTTCATCATCTTTTTGATGGTGTCGTACACCATGGAGCTGGAGACCAGCAAGATGGACGCGCTCAAGCAGAAGGGCACCGAGCTGGCGGTGGACGTCGAGAGCAACTACAGGAAGCTAGAGGGCATTCTCCAGCAGTTTATGCGGGGCAGCAGGCCGCCCATCCACTCATACGCGAGTGTGTCCACCTCCCTGGACCAGTCGCTGGGCACCAAGCAGCTGCAGGGCGAGAAGGTGGCCTTTGATCTCGTCACCATCGAGAACATCGGCCATCTGCACGTCCAGTACAGCACCATCACGGCCGTCTCACCCAACGTATTCGACACCACCGGCTCGCAGTTCCTGCGAGTGTCTGAGCGGATCGACGGCGGCCGGCCGTCGGGCCTCTCCCTGACCGAGTACCTCTACACGGTGCGCGGTTCGTCGAGCGGCCTGATGGGTGCGATCTTCAAAGACAAATTCCAGCTGCAGGACCCCCACCTGCCAAACAAGCAGTCCTTCCTCGTCACCATCAGCGGCGACACCGTCGATAAGTCCGTCTCCACGTCGGCAGTCGGGGGCCTCACCGTGCCTGGCAACCTGCTCCAGCCGGGCAAGAAGAAGGGCCACAACCTCCTTGCGAGGATCCAGCCCGCTGCCTTTGTCGAGTCGGCTCCGGCCTTCTATTTCTCCAAGTTCCCTGACCAGCTGGACTTCCAGAATCTGCTGGTGTCGTACCCGACCTTTCTGCGGCTGGCTGAGCAGGCGGGCGGGCCACGGTCGGTACGGCAGCTGGGCATCGAGAGGGTGCTGGTGGATCTGCGGCGCGACAAGAGGGGGCGGGTGGATGTGGATGGGCGGACGCTTGACGCCATCGTCAGCGACCTGTCGGACTACAGCACCGTGTCCGACTACCGCGACATCGAAAACAGCGTCAATGAGGTGCGACGGGCGGAGGGAAAGAACGACATCACATCTCTTTCTCATTCTTGTTGGTGTTCATGTGTGGCTTGGTTGGTTCAGTCTCGTGGCATCATGGATGTGGTCTTTGCCGCGGCGGCTGTGGTGGTGATGGTGCTGTGTTTCTTCAGCCTGGTGTCGTCCATGGCCGCGAACATTTTCGAGCAGACCAAGGAGATGGCCATCCTCCGATCCATCGGGGTCACCAAGGCACGAGTCACCATCCTCTTCATCTACGAGGTGTCTATCGCACACACACACACACACACACACACACACACATGTCCGTGTGCTACAAGCGCATCCATCCACCAATGTGTGTGCACACACAGGCGTTCGTGTTGATAACGTCAGCGTCGGTGCTGGGTCTGTCCATCGGGATGGCTGTCGGCTGGACCATGACGGCACAGCGAGCCTTATTCACCCAGCTGCCACTCACATTCGTGTTCCCCTACTGGGTGGCCATCGCCGTCGTGGCCACGGCGGCGCTCTCCGCCACCCTCGCGTCCTACTTTCCCGCCAGCAGCCTTCTCAGGCTGCAGATCAGCGAACTCATGAGGTTCGTCACCTGATGGACGGATGGGCGGGCGGGCATGCAAGCGTGAGTGCATTGCACCGAGGCCATACGGACTGTACGATATACGCCTTTAGTGAATAGAGTCATGAGTTCGATCCATGACTCACACGTCTCAGCTAAGCTCGCAGATGACAAGGGCTGGGAAGACGAGGCGCCATTCGGACAGTCTGGTGTCCCTTTTCATCCTCGTTGGATCTGTCGTTGCTTTTCAATCTCCACCGACACACATCCGGAAACATCCGTCTGCATCTCGCAGGCAGATCCAGCGTCCCAGCGCCCTCACCATGACGACCACAGCCCCTGAGTGGAGCTTCCTCGACGACAAGTGAGGCAACGCACTGACGCCGCGTGCATGATCCATGTGCCTGTCTGCCGTGGGGTGTGTGTGTGTTAGGGGTGTGTTCACTGTGACGTCCGGGCTGGATCACAATCTCGTGTGCGAGGCCAAGCTCAACCAGCCGTCATCCAGAGAGGCAATCGTACTCTGCCATGGGTGGGCGGATGGCTGGACTCGGATGGGGGCACCAGGAGATGGAATCGCTGGATGTCTGTGTGTGTGTGTGTGTGTGTGTCGGTTTGGCTGTCCGTCAGGTATCTCGCTGACCGCACAAGCCATGTGATCGATGCGCTGTTCCACCGGCTGCCCCTCAACACAGTGCGCTTCGACTTCCACGGATGCGGTGAGTCGGACGGCCATGACCAGTGGTCGTACGGCGGGTATCTGGACGAGGTCGACCACGACATGAAGGCCGTCATCGACTTCATCAGGTGGGTGACCTGACCTGGCCCACTGACCATCGTGTTGCGCTTGCTTTGCTGTCTGAATGTGTGGGGCATCGTGTGCGTGCGCGTGTGTGTGTGAAGGAGCAAAGGCATCATCGTGCAGGCTGTGGCTGGCCACTCGCGTGGAGGCAACAACGTCCTCATCTATGCCGGCCGGTGAGCCAGTCAGTGACGAGCGCAGCGCACGAACAGCACTCAATATACTCTACACCATCGCTGGTCTGTCTGTCTGTACGTTGTGTTGTCCACACACCGGCCGGCAGGCATGACGACGTGCCGTTGGTCATCAACATCGCGGGGCGGTACGACATGTCGCGTGGCATCAAGGAGCGGTTCACCCCCTCTCAGCTGAGCAGCGTGGAGGAGGAGGGCGGCTACTTTGAGATACAGGGCGGCGGCGCCACACGCAAGGTCTACAAGAAATGCATCGACAACCGAAAGGCAATCGGTAGGACACCAACAGACCCACACACCCACACGCGTGTGGGTGGAGGGAAGCACTGTCTGTCTGTCTGTCTGTTTGTGTGTGTGTCTGTGTCGTCATTATGTCAAGATATGAAGGAGGTGATAGCCAAGGTCGGCACCAAGGGCGGGCCGACGCAGACACAGAGGGTGCTCACCATACATGGCGAAAAGGACACAACCATCCCCGTCGAGGTAATGGAGAGACAGAGACAGGCAACACATACAAACAGGGCACATCTATCTGGGCAGGCAGGCCCTTTGTCAAGTCATCTCTCTGTGTCCACACGGTGTGTGTCACAGGACGGTGAGGCCATCCACAGCCTGTTGGGGGAGAAGGGCCATCTGAAGGTCATCCCGGAGGCCTCACACATGTTCGACCACCCTGACGTGAGCACAGCGAGCACACAGACGATAGAGACATGCGCATAAGTCACCATTGTGTCCATTCATTGTGTTGTGCGTGCAGCATTTGCACGATGTGGTAGAGACGTCCAAGGATTTTCTGAACACCCACCTGCAGAAAGGATGAGCAGGAGGATGGTGGGGATGGTGGGGAAGTCGGGATGCGGTGCGTGTCTGTGCACGCTGCTGTAGCTGCCAAGTCGAGTCCGTTCGGTGACTCATTCATTCAGCGGACACGCATCAGTGTAGGTGTAGATATAGATCCAGGTGGTGGCTGGCGATGGCTGGTGGGTGCGTGGGGTGGTCGGCCCATAGGTGCGGTGCACTCACTGCCTGCAGGTGGACAGACACAAAGGTGACGGTTTTCGTTCGTCCGTGAGCTTCGCTCATGGATGGTGCATGCCAGTGGTCGGTCAATTTTATATTTGTTCAAGTCAGGTGCAAGCGGCGCTGTTAGATAGAGAAACCACCACTGTCAGGGTCATCAAATCACTCATTCATCGAGTACACGGACACCGATCACTCAGTCAGCCAGCCCCTCAGCTGCCAGTCAGTCAGTACGGCCTGTTGGGTTTCCAAGTGATTGGGTGGGTCTCTGGAGTGGCCTCGTCGTCCTCCTTCCATATCTGGTGGGTGACACACACACAGACCATCACACATGCACATAACCAGCCCGCTGGCGGGTGTGCAGTGCCTTGCCGTGTTTGCCGACACAGGTACCTTGATGGTCTTGTCGCACTCGCCGGTGATGAGGCGCGAGTAGGATTGGTCAAAGACAGACGCGAAGATGCCGTTCTCGCTCTCCAACGAGCCGGGCTGCACCTGGCTCTGCACATACACGCAGAGGAAAAACAAGACGATGCACAAATATCCTATATCGCCTCGCCAGCCATGGACTGGGCCACCCCCCCCACCCCCCCTCCCTCACCCACTGACCTGTCTGGTTTGGAATTTGTACCCCGACTTCCAGTCCCAGAAATTTAAACACCTGAGGAACAAAGACACAGAATGCATGAGAGCCGCGCATCCCATGCTGTGGCTGGCGTGTGGTGTGTCTACTTACCCATTGTCAGTGCCGGCCACGAGAATGCCCGACTCCCCATTGTCACCGTCACGAACGCAGCACGTGTTCACTATGGCATTGTGACCCTGACACACAGACAGCCACCAACACACAGACAGCCACCAACACATCACATCACATCATGGTGAGGAATGGTCTGCTGGCCGTCTGTCTCGACTTGCTCTCTACCCTGACTGACTGACCTGTATATTGCGCTCAAATCGGCCCTCTGGGCACTTCCACACCTTGATGTTGTCGGCAGCGCATGACGCGAATGTGTACTCGGTGCCGGGGTGCATGGCCATCGCCCGCACGCTCTTCTTGTGATGCGTCAACACCACTGAGCTCTTACCGGCCGCCAAATCCCACAACCGAACCTACATATACAATCACACAGTGAGGGATCATCATCATGGCTCAGGGGCTTTGTGGGTGGTGGTGGTGCTAACGTGGTGGTCCATGGAGCCCGATATGATCTGTGGTTCCGTGTTCTGAGATATCAGCGACGTGATGGTGCCCGTATGGCCTGCACGGATGACATTAACCACACACCGAAACCACAACCACACACGCACGTAGGCCACATCGACGGACAGACAGACAGATGGACCACTCGATGTGATGTGTACGTACCTCCGAGTGTGTGGATGCTCTGCTTGGTGCGCATGTCCCAGACGCGGACGACGGCATCGCGCCCGCCGGTGGAGAGGATGTCGAGGGAAGGGTGGATGGCCAGACAGTACACACCACTGAGGTGGCCGTGGTAGCTGCGGATCACCTTGTTCTGCTCCAAATCCCAACACTTGACTGACACAACCAAACAACACACACACACACATGAGGATCCATGCAGCCATCTGGGTGGGGTGGCTGTGCTGACCTTGGTTGTCCTCTCCGCAGGAGAAGAGGTAGGGGTGTCGAGTGGAGATAGCCAGCCCGCGGATGTTGTTGATGTGTCCCGTGAGCGACAGCTTGAGCGTCCCGGTGGCCAGGTCCCATATCTTGAGCAGCCGGTCGTTGGACCCCGACGCAAACCACTCGTTCCTGGGGTCCACCGCCAGACACCGCACCCACCCCTGGTGACCCGAGATGACGCGCATCAGCTTCCATGGCGGGTGCCACACGGGTTTGGGAGCCGTCGGCTGCTTCCGAATCGCCAGCTGGTTGAGACCGCCCTGCTCGCCTGGGCGTGACGCGGGGAGGGTGGCCAGCTGACCAGATTGGTAAAGCGCCAGGTCCATGGTGTTGGCGGGCCGGGAGTCCTCGCTCCTCTTGCTGCTGAGGTCGTCAATCATCTTGCCGATGGTCGATGACGGGATGGCTGCTTTCGCACCGCCTCCCTCCTGCCCAGGGGCACCGCCACTACCGTCACCCTCTTCGGTAGCTCCCCTTCTGGCTCCCTGCACCTCCGGCAGCCAGTCGTATTCGTCGGCCATCTTGATCTTGAGCTTGGCGGCGGCAGCTGTGGGTTCATCTTGCGGCTTGAGACCCCAATTGCCGGCGAACATGTCGTAGGTGCGCTTCAGGTCCTTCCTCACCAACACAGCGAAGGTCTGAGGAATCACATCGTCCACCAAATCTGGCCCACCGCCGGCATTCTCCTCAATGCTTGCCATCGTTGTTTCAGTCAAGTGCTCCCTGAGACCGCTGCTGCTGCGCTGGGCGGCCTGACGGCCAAGCAGTAAAATCTGCGAGCTCAAAGCTCGCAGGTCTTTGCAGAGATCTCGAGGCGGGAGGCGCCGTGAGGACAGATCTAGTGAGGGTACTTGCAGAGCGTCATGGCGCACAAGAGTTTGGAGAAAGATCTGCTGCCTGGCAGCGGCGCAGCTGATGAGAAGGGCCTCAAGATCATCGGGTACACACCACAATGCACACACACCGCAATGCACAGATCCTCTCTTCGGACATGCAATCAAATCACGTCATGCATTTGTGCGTGACTCACTTGCAGGGCTGGCTACGGAAGGACCGGGTACATGCAGCCACGCCAGCCAAGAGGCTCAGCTTTCACACCATGATGCGTGTGGTTCCCTCCTTTGATGTGTGGTTTGCAGGACTTTGTCCATGAAGCAGGCCCTGAACGAGCTCGGGTATCCTTGCTATCACATGACGGAGATGTGGAAGGACCTCAACGGCCGGTGTGCCCTGTGGCGGGAGATCACGAGGAAGAACGGCAAGGGCGTCGACTGGGACGCGGTCTTCGACGGCTACAAGGCCACCGTGGACTTCCCTGCGACGCCCTTCTTCCACGAGCTCTTCCAGAAATATCCTGACGCCAAGGTGAGCACACATGCGGATGGGTAGATGGCATGGCTGATTTCTGATCATGTGCATGTGTCTGCCTTGTTGTTGTGTGTGTGTGTGTGTGTGCAGGTGATCCTGACGGTGCGGGACCCATCCAAGTGGTATCAGAGCATCCGGAGGTGCGTCATGCAGAACACACAACGGCTCTCACGCACCGGCCTGTCTGTCTGTCTGTCTGTCTGTTTTGTGTGTGCAGGACGATCATCAGCTTCCGGAAGCACCACAAGTCGCCCATCAACCGGCTGGGTCTGCGCCTCCTGCCCAGGCCTGGCTTGCGGCACTTCCAGCAGATGTGGCACGAGCTGCAGCTGGCCCGCCCATTCACCGACGCCTTTGACTTCGACGAGATGACCGAGGAGGGCACCGTGGCCATGTTCAACCAGTGGACACAGCACGTCAAGGACACCGTCCCGCCACAACAGCTGCTCGTTTTCGAGGTAGGCAAGGGCCCACCCGCAGTCACGCTCACATGTCCTCACTCCGCGCCTGTGTGTGTGTGTGTGTGTGGTCGGTCAGGTGAAGGACGGTTGGGGCCCGTTGTGTGCTTTCCTCGTGAATGACGGCGAGTCGTTCGAGCGAATGGTCAGAAAGCAGTCGAGAGAGGTGTATGGCATCGGCTATGCGGCGGTGGGGCTGGCTGCACTGGCATCAGTTGGGGTGGGCTGGGCTCTGTTCAATGCTGTGGGGGTCAGTCGGGCCACGACAAGTGGCTAGCTGACTGCCTGCCTGCCGGATGAATGAATCGACAGGCCCTCTCCTCTCCTCTGCGTGTGTGTGTAGTGGTGTAGTGCCTCGTGTGACAGATGTCATTCATACTTTGCTGTTCATACTGCCAGTGGTTGCCAACCACCCTCCCTCCCTCCCTCCCTCCCTCTGACGTGCCGACTCAGTGTTCTACGTGGCCGCGCCGAGTGCGCTGTTTGATGAATGAATATGGCTTTGTACAGCATGGCCATGTACTATACATGTGGACTGTGCTGCGCTGTGCACCAAGCGCACGGCCAGGCCGGCGTTGGTGGGTGGGGTGGGGTTTGCTTTCGTCCGTCTGTCTCGTCCGTTGATTGTCGATGCTCGTTCGTTGGTTGTCGATGGAGATCTTTGATGTGAAGTGACTGAGATGTTGTCCATCATTGCGTCAAGGGCATTCACTGCGTGTCCGATCCGTCCCCGCACACGCACATCCATCCATCCATCCATCGACGAAAGACAAAAAGCACGTCAGCTTGAAGCACGGCATGAGTCATCTACCTTCCGCACGTCCCTCTCCCCCCACCACTCAGTCAGTCAGTCAGTCAGTCGTCTCCCGTATTCACACTCACTCCCATAGGCACACACTGCACACACTCCGGGAGGACATGCAGACACCCTCATCCATTGATCCATTGATCCATCCATCCAACTATCTGTCAGCCATCCCTCGCCCCCAGCCATCTTTTCTCCGAGACACACATCATGATGCCCTCTGCACTGACCCTCCCGCTCACACTGGCTGCTCGTAGATACCCCACCCCTCCCCCTCCCCCCGCCGCCCCTCTCTGTGTGCCGTCTACTTCGCTCCGCCGTGCTGCTGCGATGGCTGGCCCGGGATGATTGGCATGGGGACGCCAGTGTAGGGCGCCATGAGCACCACGGGGTAGTGGGCAGCCATGGGGGGGCCGCCGGGAATGGGCGGGTGAGTCAGGCCGGGCGGCGCCATGACGGCAGGGGGCGCACCCTACACGGCATCACACACACAGACAGACATGTGTGTGAGCGCCTGTTGGATCTCATGGCGCCTTCCTGGGCTCTCATTATCTGTGTGTTTACTGTACCTGCTGCTGTCCGCCCGTCTGAGCCATGCCTGCAACTACGCCGGGTACGCCAAACATCTGCATTACAGCCACACATACAGCAACACGCGACGCTATATATGAGATGTCGGCGTGTGTGTGTTCTTGTCGTACCGGTGCTGGGGGTGGGGCGGGCGCATCGAGCCACCCCAAGGCCCGCATGTCATTCAGTAATTCTGGGATCTCGTCCCGCTCGTCGTCGTCCACTTCAGACGACCCGTCCGCAGCGGCCCCTTCACCAGACGGCGCATGTCCGCTGGGCGGCTGAGGGGAGGGCTGGGGCACCATGACCACTGGGGAACAACACCCTACACGGCATCAAACAGACAGACAGACCAGACAGACGTGGACGTGCCCTCCTGGCCTCTCCCATTGGTGTAGTTTACCTGCTGCTGTCCGCCCGTCTGAGCGATGGCTACGGTAACACCAGGTACGCCAAACATCTGAATGAACCACACCACACACACAGAGTGGGATGCTGTGGCCACGCAATGTGTGTGTGTTCTGCAGCCGCACCTGCATCGGCGGTGCGTAGGGGGCGATGTAGCCGACTGCTGCCGGTGCACCAGGCACCCACCCACCGCCATAAGGACCATCGCCGCCATGCTGTGCCGTCTGCTGGCCGCTTGCCGACGCGCCCATAGCCGTCCTGCAGCCGACCTCACGGAGAGAGCGAAGGCGATGCCGGCCGTGTGCGCATGGCCACCGCTAGAAACGTCAATTCGCTACCGTAAAACGGAGATGGACGAGTAAACTTGCACTGCATTCTTGTCCACCAACGTCGTCTGTCTGTCTTCTGTCTGTCTGTTGTCTGTCTGTCTGTCTGTCTGTCTGTCTGTGTCCCTCTTTGATGCCCACGCACACAATGAAAGAAAAAGGAGCCGACGAGTGAGTGTACTGCCCAACGGACACCCACACACGCACACGCGAAAGCTTCCAGTGTCGGGCTGTTTGCCGCTCGATGGCGACCAACGCCCATCCATCCATCCATCCATCCATCCATCTCGACATCCACCAGACAGAGAGGGTGCATGGGCGGAGGGTGTGTGCGTGTGTTGGTGTGATGGCGGGGGCTGACTGCTGAATGTATGCGTGCGCGTGTGTGCCGCACACATTACTTCGGCTGAGTGTTTGGACGGACGGATTTGGTATTTCTGAAGGGCGTTCATTCATCGCCAGCCAGCCAGTCCATCTACCCATCACGTGAAGAAGAGACATCGGGTATGTACACACACACGCACACGCACACAGTATGCAACCGTCAGGACCGGCGATCGTATACACAAACGCACCCATGCCATGCCATCCATATCGGCAGCTAATCAGATGTCGACCATTCGTTCTGCTATAGGGTGGGTGGGGCTCTCGGCACACAGGACAGCATGGCCTGCCTGCCTGCCTGCCTCAGCTGTTCTATCTAAAGTCTCAAGGGTACGGTGTTTCCCTTCTGGCTCACCACGTGCAGGCGGTGCCAGCCGAACTGCATCGGTTGGAGGCCGAACCGCAGACACTCCTCGTTGATGGCATGGCGCAACACGTCCCGCAGGCCCATGGACACCCCACCCACATCAAAGAACTGCAAAGGCAGCACCATCCGCCCCTCTACCTTCCCCCCCACCACATGCACGTTGCCTTGCTCGATGATGGCTATCGCCGCCACCTCCACGTACGCCTTCGCAATCTGGTTGATGCGCCTGCCCAGCGGCTCCTCGCCGATTCTGAAGGGCTGGCTGGGGAGCAGAGGGCCGACCATGTCGATGATCCTCGCCACGACATCGCCGGGAAGGCTTTTGGCTGTCAGCCAGCGGATGGGCCGGAGCGCCGTGCCGATGGTGCGGATGACCACTGTGGGCAGCGCTTCGGTCAGGTAGAATCGGTATGCCTTGAGCACCTCCGCCTCCCACTCCTGCCGCTTGTCAGCCCCCGACTGTGTGGGAAGATTGACCCCCGCAGCCGCCAGGGATGCACCACACTGCAGCAGCGTCAGCAAGACGGCATGGGTATGGTCGATCGGCCCGCTGGCGGCCTTGTAGGCGACCTTGCGCGCTGCCAGCTGGAGGGGCTTGCCGCGCATGTTCCCGGATGCAGGAGGGCCCGCCGTCTCGTTGACGTCTTTCTTGGCGCTGCACAGCATGGGGATGGTGGCTCGGTCGGAGGGGTTGGCCGTCAGTGCCGCGCGGTGGATGGGGCCGTAGCCGAACGTGTCACGCGCCGACAGGGTGGCGGCGTCCCCGGCATGCGTGATCAGGGACAGCAGCAGCTGCTGCTGTGCCACGGGGTTGTCGAGAGGGAACTGGCAGAAGAAGTGAAAAGGGGGTGCGGCCTGGTGTTGGTCATGCTCGGTGGCGAGGGAAGGGGATGCAGCCAGGAGGGACGTCACGATGGCGAACTTGTCGCCTGGTGCACCGTTTGCACAGGCCACCTTGTGAAGGAGCTCGAGGCCGTCCAGGGCGGGGTGGTGGTTGAGCAACGTGTCGACGAGCGTCGGCATCACCAGCTGTGTGGCTGCCGGCAGGCTGGGACGCCCACAGTCGACGTCGGCCCCCCCCTGCCCCTGCCCCTCCAGCAGGGCATCCACCACGCCACACAGATCCCACTGCACACCCCCATACTCGATCGCCAGCTCCACCAGCGACTTGGGTGTGATTGACACGACGCCGCCCGCCGACCACCCGTCGCACCGATTGACCACCACACTTGCGTCGCCTCCGTGGTCCAGCCGCAGCTGCATGGTCTCGATGCTGTTGATCTTGCCTTCTGCGATGCCCAGCAGCAGCTGCCGGGTGGCGTCGGTGGCGTTGGTTGGGAGCGAGAGGAAGGTTCGGTCCGGCTTGTGAGCGAAGGCGAACGTCTGACAGAGAGGAAAGACAGGCAAGGGAGAAGGACCAAGATGCATCCATCAGCAACACGCAGCAATAGCGGTGCGGTGTCGTTGCTGCTCACGTGTGAGTAGAGGGGACGGGCCGGGCCGGTCTTCTTGTATTCGTCGCCCACGATGAGCAGGTCGCAGTGTGTGGGGACCGTCAGGGTGCGGGGTTCGGTCTGCGAGGGCGCGATCGACTCGCCAGCGTCAAACTCCACGTAGCGATACTGGTGCTGTGTGCCCGCAGGCAGTGTCACGGTCAGCGTGTAGTGCGACCACGGGTGGTTCAGGCAGGGGTCCATCCGCTGAGCTCGAGGTGCAGGGAGCTGGTCGAGGTCGTCGAGCTCGTCGTCTTCCAAAGAGCTCGCCTGGGGAGAGGCGCCCCAGCTGCCGAGAATGGCCACTGCACAGCACAAGACAACATAGAAGGAAGCCACGTGAGCCACGGATGGATGGATGGGAGAGGCGTTTTCGTGGCTTGTTCATGTGTCTGTCCCACCTGAGCGTCCGCAGATGTTGGAGAAGCCCTTCAAGTGGAAGATGACGATCACCTCCCGCGAACAGCCGTTGGTGAGACCCTTGACGAGCTGAACCAGGATGCCGTTCTGCACATGGCCGCTCGATGTGGGCTGGGACGCAGCTGAGCCCGACCCCCCACCCCACATGCTGACAGGCAAACAGGAGGCGAAGGCAATGCCATGTGTCCATTGCCTTGGGTGTCTGTCTGTCTGTCTGTCTTGCTTCTTTGCTCACAGTTTTTTGTCAGTCTTCTTCTCCTCCTTGTTCGTTCCATCCCTGCTGCCACCCTTGTCGCCACCCCCCGCCCCCTGGCCCTCGCCTCCAGCCGCACCCACCACACACTGCGCCATCTGCCCATGCCAGCGGCGCTGGCCGGTCGGAGGATCCACTGCGGGGGCGGGAGCAGGCAGATTCAGCATGACCTGCGGCTGAAGGATGGGTGCCAATGTACGTTCGTTGGGTGGAATGCTGGGGTGGTCATGGTCACCCACACCCTGCTGCTGCTGCTGCTGCTCTCCCTCCTGTGCGAGGGACGGTTGGGCGTGCTCGCCGCCATTGCCGTTGTCGTCTCCAAAGTTGCCCCAGCCGAAGCCGTCGCCGCCCCCATCGGTATCACGATGCTCCCCCACACGCGACGCCACGTCCCCTTCGACACCCATACCGCGCTGCTGGTATTTCTCCTGCTGCTGCTGCCCCTGCCGGCCCTCCTCGGTCTCGTTGAGGTTCCTGCTCGTGAAGGGACGGGGGTGCTGGTCCTGGTCGTCGTCCTGCTGCTCGTTCTCGTGTTCGTCATCTTGCTCCAGCTCTTCTTCCTGGTCGTCGGCATTGAATGTGTTGGCGGGGTTGGGGTGCATGGGCTGGCTGCGCTTGGACGGCTGCTTCTTGCCCTTGCGCTTCTTGCCCTTGCGCTTCTTGTTACCATCTTGCTGTGGCGGCCTGGTGTGGCTCTCGGCCTCGGGATTGTTGTGAGAAGCGGCAGCTGCTGCAGACTCCCTCTCAACTTGTGCGAGAAGCTTCTTTTCGATCCTCTTGGCCGCTTTGGCATGCTCGCGGCGCTGCCTGTGCTCCGCTTTCATGCGCCGCAGACGCTGCCTCTGCTCCGCTTTCATGTGCTGCAGACGCGCCACGAACTCGTTTCTGGGGGAGACGTTGGGCAGCTGCTGACACACACCGACACACAAGACGGAACACATGAATGTGATGTGCTTGGTTGCATGTGGGGTGCCCTGTGTGCTGTATGAGTATGTCTGTACAAGAATTAATGCGTTGAAGACGTCCTGGTCTTGAACGACCCTGTCGCGCAGCCACTCCATCACGGTCAGGAGCCGCCGCGTCTCATCTCGGTTCGCCGGTCCAGGTGAAGCACCGAGAAATGGCGAAGCGGGAGGAGAGCCTCCCCTGCACCACACGCACAGAGGGAGGGAGAAGGGGGGGGGGGGGG